CTCCCTCAGAAAAGGTCTCTTGAACTTGAGGAGGGAAAAAAACCAACTTGTCCTTTGTCTCTTGCACAGATGTTCTGGTTCTCGAGGGATCAGCACAGCTGCCGACAATCCTGGGCTCTTAAAGGGCTAAACTCCAATCTTCTTTGTTGTGGTGAAAATTATTCCCCTTTTTGTTTAAAATTTATTATTTTCATCTTCCCCCTTCCATTCATCTATTTGGTGAATCAATTATTTACTTTTTTTCTTTCTTTACCCATATAATGAAGGAGCTGGGGGTGGTGACGGCCGACAGGGAGCTCTGCCGTGGGCTGGTCCATGAGGTCACGAAGAGTCAGAGACGACTGAACGAATGAACAACAACAACAACCCATATAATTATTTTCAGTGGGTTGCTGTAAGTTTTTCAAGCAGTATGGCCATGTTCCAGAAGCATTCTCTCCTGACGTTTTGCCTGCATCTATGACAGGCATCTTTCTCCCACCCTGGACATTCCCCATATATATAAACCCCACTAGTTTCCAACAGACCTCACAACCTCTCAAGATGCCTGCCATAGATGCAGGGGAAACATCAGGAGAGAATGCTTCTGGAACATGGCCATAAAGCCAAAAAACTCACAGCAACCCAGTGATTCCAGCCATGAAAGCCTTCAACAACACATAACTATTTTAATCTTTTTAATAATATGTTTTTTAAAAGATGAAAATTATTATGTGTTGTCGAAGGCTTTCATGGCTGGAATCACTGGGTTGCTGTAAGTTTATATATATATATATATATATATATATATATATATATATATATATATACACACACACACACACACACACATATATACACACACATATATACACACACATATATATACACACACACACAATATTTTCATCTATTCTCGCTTCAAATATTCTTTAACAATTGCCAATCCATTTGCTTCTTAAGTTTTCCTTGGTGTTTTGATAAGAGTTGAGTTAACCTATCCATATCCATAATCTCCATTATTTTTATTATCCATTGATCTATTTACTCTTCCAATTTCTCACATATACTATTCTTGCTCCTGTTACTAAATAGTTGAAAAGTATTTCTTTGTTCTTCTCCTTCTCCAAATCAATTAATCCCAATGAGAAATGTTCCGTTTTCACTGGACTTTCGTATCTAACATTTTCTGTATTATTTCCTGTGTTTCTCTCCAGTATTGTCTTGCAGCTCTGTATGTCCACCACATATGGTAGAACGTGCCTACTTGAGTATTGCACTTCTAACATTTGTTTTGTAAATTTTTCTAGCAACGCTTTCTGATATCATTGATAGAGCCATCCTTGTTCTCCTAACACCCATGGGTTAGAAGATGCTCCAGATGCTGGATCATAGAATTGGATTATCCAGTCCAACCCCTGCCAAGAAGCAAGAAAATCATGTTCAAAGCACCCCCAACAGATGGCCATCCAGCCTGTTTAAAAGCCTCCATAGAACAAGCCCCCACCACACTTCAAAGTAGAGAGTTCCACTGCTGAACAGCTCTCACAATCAGAAAGTTATTCCCAATGTTCAGGTGGAATCTCCTTTCCTGTAGTTTGAAGCCATTGCTCTGCATTCTAGTATCCAGGGCAGCAGAAAACAGGCTTGCTCCCTCCTCCCTATGACTTCCCCTCACATACTTATACATGGTTATCATGTCTCCTTTCAGTCTTCTTTTCTACAAGCTAAACATGCCCGGCTCTTTAAGCCGCTCCTCATAGGGCTTATTTTCCAGACTCTTGATCATTTTAGTCGCCCTCCTCTGGACACATTCCAGCTTGTCAATATCTCTCTTCAATTGTGGTGCCCAGAAATGGACACAGTGTGATTCCAGGTAAAGTGGTCTGACCAAGGCAGAATAGAGGGGTAGCATGACTTCTCTGGATCTAGACACTATTTTGCAGCAGACCCTCTGTTTAGTTTCCCTTTGCTCTACTCCAGCTTTACAACAAGGTTGGTTGCTGCGCTGGAACACCCCAGCAAGTGAGAGTTCAAAAATGGCAGGCTCAAACCCAAAACCTCAATCCATAGCTGATACCAAATGAGAGACTCCCCCCTGGGCACACAGAAGACTGGGCGACTTGGAAGGCGCTGAACAGACTGCGCTCGGGCACCATGAGATGCAGAGCCAATTTTAAGAAATGGGGCCACAAAGTGAATTTATGCAGGCCAAAATCCCATTGGCTTTTTTAGCTGCAGCATATTTAATGGCTTCTGTAAACCCATCGGCATCACCTGAAAAAGTCACCTCTTTCCTCCCAGCAGTATTGAATATGAGCAAATTGGCCAAGGAACATCACCAAGTGCAATTTCCCCTCCACCCTTAGACTAAATAAAGAATAGTGGTGGAAAATAATGCATCCATCACTGCCTTAACATCATCATCATCATCATATCATCATCATTTGCCTGTAGCTAAAGAAAGATGGATGGGTAGCAAGTGCCTCTTGTATTTCTAAATTCAATTGCTTTTTCATGTTGGATGGGAAAAGGAGAAACTAGGTATCTTCTCAAAAAATGCAACTCCCCAATGACTTTCCCTCCCAGTCTTGGTCTACTTTCCAAGCAAAAAACACAAACAAATAAAAACCCAACAAAATTCAGATTTGTTTTAATGACCAATATTTTGTTCCAAAAACATACAACCTTATCAGCTAATTAATAAGAGCTATTTTACAAACATACATACATCTGGATAATTAGAACAATAAATTCTTTTTTTTCTTCTTCTTCTTCCTTAGACATTCATACATGATCAGTTAAAAATACAGGGTAATTAATAAGAGGACTTTTCTTTTTGCATTTTGAAGAATATTGTCCAGATTGGGCTGCTTTCGTTTGTTTATTGTTTTGTTTGTTTTTCTTTAAACTAACATCTGTTTTAAAAAAGAGTAAATGATTGCATGGTGAACAAATAAAATACAATTCGAGTAGTTAGAGAGAATGTCAAACAATGTACTTTTTGTGTGTTTAAAGAAGAGCAAAGTAGTGCTCTGGTTGCAGAATCCCTTTTGGAGACGATCTGCTTATGAGGGGATGGGTCAAAAGGGAGCTGAAGGGGAAGCAAAGGGTCTCTTTGGAATGAAACAGAGGAATCAAACAGATCCATGAAATATAAGCCACTCTGGGATTCCAAAATTGGGGAGGAATGGGAGTGGGGAGCACAAGAAAAGCACAGAACGACTTCTATTGAAAAAGGAAGAATTAGCTAAGATGTCGGCACACTTACTCTGGAAAACAACACTTGGCACCTCTGAACTCATGCAGCTCTTTTCAAGCTTTGCTGATTGGAATGGAGGGAGCCTTTCTTTTCACAAAGGCTCCTTAAAAGCCTTTTCAAGAGCCCCCCACAACATACACAAGCAGCACAGGAACCTCCAGTCCAACCCCATCATCAAACCCTATTCTTTGCTAGTTCCAAATGGCAAATTGTAGAAGGAAGGTAAGCAATGAGTGGCATAATGAAAAAATAAGGCGACTGGCCTAGGATTGTAATCTTCTGTATGAAACATCAAAGAAGTCCTTATCTCCCCCATTCTTCTTTCCTTAAGTCTGACCTACACATGCTGTAAAATGAGGCAGACGGAGTCCCAAGATGGGAAGATGCAAGTGAGCTACAAGATGGGATGGGAAGCTAGAGTGTGTCCTATGTAAAATACAACTCTCTGTAAGGCCAAAACTAGTCTAGCATTCAAAAATATGACTCCTCCTGGTCCTTAAGTCTTCCAGATTCTAAGATGTAGCTGCTAAGGACTGGCTTAAGTGAGAGAAATGGTTCTCAACCTGTGAGTCCCCAGGTGTTTGGGCCTTCACCTCCCAGAAATCCTAACAGCTGGTAAACTGCCTGGCATTTCTGGGAGTTGTAGGCCAAAACACCTGGGGACCCACAGGTTGAGAACCACCGAGTTAGAGGGAAGATCTCAAACAAGAATTTGAGCCAATAGGAAGCACAGTGCAGAAACGCAGATGATAAACAATACTGCTGCAAATAAAGAAGATTGTATTAGCCTCATGTTGACATTGGGGAAAAATGGAGCCCTGTTCAAAAGAAGATTACGTTTGCTCAATCCTCCAGGTTGGCTCAACCCTCCAGGTGGTCCCCACAAGTCTCCAGTCTGTATATTCTATGGTTTTTTGGGAGGTTTTCTTTTTGGTTTTGCTCGTGGTCCCAAGACAGCCTTGAGGCAAAAAATAAAACACAAAATGGGAAGACAGTTTGCTCCTCTGCTCTCAGGGTTCTACCAACGCATCCAACCTAAATTATTATACAAACAAGCTGCTGAGGAAGATGCCATCTGGATCCAGGCCTGGTTCTTGGAACGCAAACCCCAATCAACCTTAAATCCAGGGTAAAAACAAGTCATGATTTCCAAAAGCAGTAATGTGGCACAGACATCAAATTATTCTCCTGTTAGTTAAGTCTTTGATTACTATTTTTTGTGGGGGGTGGAAAGAAAAGACTGTTCTATCCTACTGTCCAGTCCAAAGACGGGAATGTTCACAGCCAGCAATGCAGGAGAGGAAAGGTTTCTTTGGCTGGAATTCCTCATGGCTATTTTAGTACATTAAAATCATCATCGTTATAATAAAAACACCCAAAACCAATGGGAACCCCACAAAGTGCATTTTAGTATGGATCCTCTTCACACAAAAAGGACCTGTGCCTGGGGCCTGTTGTACAGTAGACGCGCTAGGGAGTTAGAGAAAGAGAGATCCCCAGTGATTTTAGGTTTTATGGTGTTGGGAGCCATCGACGGCCCCCATTTCTCACCATCTTCTTTTTCTTAGAATAATGCCCTTAATGGGAGATTGCATATTGTATGGCGTAGACAAGCTTGGAAAACACATACAACTCTTCCCCAGAACAAGACAAGAGCACAACACTCTGTTTAAGTTCCTAGAGAGGGAAAAGAATCTATTTTGACTACAGAGGAATAAGAAAGGCTGTTGTTTTGCTACTCCCCCCCCCCCCCCCCCCCCCCCCAGGAATTTGGCAGCCTGGTTTCCAGACACCTCTTAAAGCTGCTAAAAAACACTTCCATTCCCACAACATGGTGAAATTTATAATCTGAGGACTAGCGCAGTAAGAGATGTATGGGAGTCTTGCAACAAGGAAGCAGCAAAGGGGCTGATAATTATTATCTGCAATGGATTGTCTCCTGATTGTTTGAAAGCTACTGGAGTTAGGGAGAGATCCAAAAGGTTTCCTGATAGATCCAGGCATACATTCCCTGGGCTTTGTATGGCAAGAGAATAAAAGGGTGAAAAATGTGATGAGCTCAATGTCAGCACAGTTACAAATCTACAAAAAATGCCATCCAACGTTAGGAAGTTAGAAGTCCGAGTTCATTTCGTCAGCTCAGGCACAGTCTTGTAAGGACAAGCGATGGCAAAATAATGCTTCAGAAAAGCAGAAAATACTAGAATACTAGAAATTTGAGAAATGAAAACTAGCAGATTGTTGTGGTGTTTGGGTTGGCACCAATAACGGAAATCCCCCCTACGTACGAAAGGAGAGCATTTGGCCTCAAAGAGCTTCCTGCCGCTGATCCTGAGTCACGCAATTGGGCCCTGGAAAAACAGAATCTTCTTTCCATCTCACTACTATGCATCGGTTTATGATGGATCTGAACTATCTGGGGGCAGGGACGGGAATACAAATCACCCATTTCAGCTGGTCCATTTCAATACTCTTTTCTCCTCCCGGTGAGAGAAAGGAGAGGTTTTGTGCTTCGCATGGCTGGGAAACGGCCGTTCTGATTCGTGGCCATTATAGCTACAGGGAAAATGTGTTTATGTGTTAATGGAGCAGGCAGTATGACCTTCACGCGGGAAGGAGGAGGAAAAGGAAAGATGCTCCACACTCCATAGTGCATACAATGTAATATAGCAAGGAGGGGCACAATATTAAGGGAGAAGGGCTTCTAGAATTTGGCACTTTTAGAAGCAAAATAAAAGGCCCAGGTGGGTACTTGGTGCAGGAAAACAGTCATCAGCAGCCTGTAACAGCCTCTTGCAGTGAAAGTTTCCAAGGCAGAAGTTGCATCCCAAATTGTCTCTCATACCAGTACCATCTGGCCCAGTCTCAACACTGGTTAAAACCAGATTGCACTTTTCTGTATTTTCCAGCCGTGCTCCTGAGGCTTACGGCTGCATTCTGAAAGACAGTTTGGCTTCAAAAACATCATGATGCAAAGACTTGGTTATAAAAAAAAATACTTACACTAGCTATTCTGGTTATGTTTTTTTTCTCTCTGTCCCCCAACCAGTGTGATTTCAGAGCACTTTGGCACAAACAATGCAAAACGACATTACCCCAAACCAAACCGTGTTCCCTTTCCCCACACAATGATCAACAACGGTAGTGAAGAGCCCTAGCTTCATAGGCAGAAGCAGCATGCGGCTACTACCTCCAGTGGCAGCTACAATACAAGGGACTTGGCAGATGCACCGTGATCCAGAGAGACTTTGATCATGCTTGCCCTGTTCTGTAAAAGGTCCTCCCCACACCAAAAGACAGAAAGGCCAAGGGATTGCCTTCTGGGAGAGACCATGATCAAGCCATAGTTGAGGGTTTCGGGACAGAACCAGAACTCCAATCCCTTTCCATTCCTCCTCTTACGTCCGCATCTTACTGAAGGAGAGCCCAAAGGGAGACTAGACTGCCAGCTTTCAAGTGCCTGATTGTGTCATTGCACACGAGAAAGGCCTGCCTATATTTCCTGAATCTTACATGGGAAACTCTTTTTTGAGAGGTGGACTGGTTGCTGTGGAATCCAATCCAGTGAAAAACCAAGACAGGTTTACACTCCTCCACCCTGGATTCGAGAACAGAGGGATGCTGGGAGGGAGGCCTGCAAACTGGCACTATCCATTTTCTTTTCTTAAAGCAAAAAAAAAAATTACAAATTAAAGTGTGCTTTCAGTACACGGAATGAAGTCAAATAAATACATCGATATTTTTTTTTTGTATGTCTAAATACATTTGTATATCCTACACCCAAAGCTTTATACATTTGGTTTCTTTTTTTTCTCTCTCTCTGTTCCTTATTTCCTCTTGTTTCAAAATAGGAATTTCATGTAGAAAGAGGAGAAGGACAAGATCACCGCCCCTCTCCAACAGGCTAGTGCAGAGGCCCCAAAGGAAACTGCCCATCCCTCCACTTTGTGCTTGGATGGTCCATGGAAAGAGAGGCCTCTTGCGCCCCCCAAAGTCCAGGCAGAAACCAGCAGGCACCGAGCAAGGCTGCTTCCATCCAACCTTCAGCCACTTGCAGAAAGAGGGACTAACTTTTATCTATGGAGGGAAGAAAAAAAGAGAAAGCAGTAAAACAACTACAACAGCAAAACAACAGAGAGGAAACAATCAGGCACATCAAATCACCTCCCAACAAAATATTCCCCCAGGCACTTCCAAGCCATTAAATGCTAATCAAGGTGAAACATTCACACCTAGCTCCAGCAGACAAAAGTCCTTTGTCCCACCCTGGTCATTCCACAGATATATAAACCCATTTTCCTACTTCCAACAGACCTCACTACCTCTGAGGATGCTTGCCATAGATGCAGGCGAAACGTCAGGAGAAAATGCCTCTTGAACATGGCCATATAGCCCGAAAAAACCTACAACAACCCAGAAAGCAGTAATGTTCAGAGGTTGTTCCACAGTTCATTGGCATTTTGGGATGTGTTCCCCTCAAGTCACAGTTATAGCCCAGTTCTCCATTTGTCTCTGAAAGCTTCCTGTTTCAACCCAAAGTATTCAAGATCACTGCCTCGCAATATCTTAGGGAAAATACTTTGATTCACTGAATGTTGGAAATTACAACCTTCTTCAAGCCTCCTCTAGTAATTTGCTTATCAATAATATTTATTTATTTATTTCGAACATGTTTACCCTACCCTTCTCAACCCCTAGGGAGACTCAGCGCGGCTTCCAATTGGCAATAATTCAATGCCGCATCATAAAATACAAAATAGCAAATATAACAATTAAAACAATGACATTAATAAATAAAGATTAAAACAGTATACTTAACGATCTATTTAGCTATTGCCAGTCTGGTGGCTATTTAGCTAGCCATATACTAATGATTACTCCATTTAACTTATCCAAATCCTCTTCCGAGCCATAGTCAAACATTATCAATTGTCCTTTAACCTGATTGCCCGAAGGCCTGGTCCCAGAACCACGTTTTAACCTTTTTTCTAAAGGCGAGGAGGGACGACGATGACTTAATTTCCCTGGGAAGTGAATTCCACAGGCGGGGGGCCACCACCGAGAAGGCCCTGTCCCTCGTCCCCACCAAGCATGTTTGAGACAAAGGTGGGGCCGAGAGCAGGGCCTCCCCAGAAGATCTTAAGCTCCAAGGTGGGACGTAGAAGGAGATACGTTCGGACAGGTACGCTGGACCATATAGGGTTTTATAGGTTAAGACCAGCACTTTGAATTGTGTTCGGAATTGGATAAACTTTATTTGTATATTGCCCTAGCTCTCCAAAGGGACTCAGGGCGGTTTCTAACATGTAAGGCAAAGCCATGGTTTTCCGGGCTGTATGGACATGTTCCAGAAGCATTCTCTCCTGACTTTTTGCCTGCCTCTATGGCAGGCATCCTCAGAGGTTGTGAAATCTGCTGGGTACTAGGCAAGTGGGGTTTATATATCTGTAGAATGTCAGGGTGGGAGAAATACTCTTGTCTGTTTGAGGAAAGTGGGAATGTTGCCATTGGTCAGCTGGATTAGCACTGAATAGCCTTGCAGGTTCAAAGCCTGGCTGCTTTCTGCCTGGGGAAATCCTTTGTTGGATGTGGACAATTTCAACAGAAAGAAAGAAACCATAAAAATGGACAAAATCTGGCTATCAGTGTTTAAAAAAAAAACCTCTAGAATTAGGACAGTAAATAAAGAGGAACACTTAAAACACAGGGGAATTCCAGACAGGAAACAATCAGGGCCAGTTAACACCTCCCAACAAAGGATTCCCCCAGGCAGGAAGCAGCCAGACTTTGAAACAGCAAGTGGGGTTTATATATCATTGGAATGTCCAGGGTGAGAGAAAGAACTCTTGTCCCTGGTAAACTCACAGCAACCCAGTGATTCTGGCCATGAGACCCTTCGACAATACAATGAAAGGCAAACATTCAATTGCCGGAAATAAACCATACAGACAATTACATCAAAGTTAACACATTAGACAATATAACACAACCTAATTAAACTAATAAACAAAATAACAACAATGGAAAACATGATAAAATACAATAAAAAATCTGCTCAAACACAATAAAGATAAAAATATTTAAAAACCCATTTCATTGTAGTTCCATCAGTAGAGGTTCAACAAAACCAATAATCTTGTTGCTTAGTTATTGTAGGTATGTTCTGGTATGCAGCTTTCTTTCTTTGCTCTGTGGTTTCCTGAGAAGTTGTGGGAGGGGCTGCAGACTATGTGATCTGCTGAGACGAGCACAGAGCACTGACTTCTTTAGACTTTGGGACTGCTCGGATTGCAGATTTGCAAACACTATGCCATCTGGTAAGAGAGAGATGTTCTGACCAGATGGCACAGAAACTATCTCAAACATGTATTGTCGAATGCTTTCATGGCTGGAATCACTGGGTTATTGTAGGTTTTTTCGGGCTATATGGCCATGTTCTAGAGGCATTCTCTCCTGACGTTTCGCCTGCATCTATGGCAAACATCCTCAGAGATAGTGAGGATGCTTGCCATAGATGCAGGCAAAATGTCAGGAGAGAATGCCTCTAGAACATGGCCATATAGCCCGAAAAAACCTACAACAACCCAGTATCTCAAACATATCTGTAACTGGCTGATAAGCTGTGTGCCTGTGTATGCTGAACACATGAAGGTTGTGAGTAAACTAAATACTGTATATACTCAAGTATAAGCCTAGTTTTTCAACACTTTTTTTAGGCTGAAAAAGTCCCTCTCGGCTTATAATTGAGTCAAGATTATTTATTATTGAATTCTGTTGTTGTTGTTGTTACATTTATCATTTTGCTTCTATTATTATTACATTTATTATTTTACAGTTATTACTATTATTATTACATTTATTATTTAATTCTCTTTATTATTATTGCAAGGATACATAAGCACATTTACATTGCAGAAGGCTAGAATAATGGTTTAATCAGAGTTGGGCAGTCTTATCTTAAATTACAGTTTTATGTAAATATTTAAAAACATTTAACCTTCTTATGCCTCAATTAATGTAATTATATTGGTATCTAATCTATTTATATTTTGAAATTGACCAGTAGCTGCTGCATGTCACATCCCTCGGCTTATACTCGAGTCAATCCATTTTCCCAGTTTTTTGTGGTAAAATTAGGTGCCTCGTAGGCCTGGGCGGTTTCGTTCGTTAATTTTGTAATTCGTTAAATATTCGTTATATTTAACAATTACAAAATGATTTCAAAATATATTTTCAAACCCGGAAGGGTTTTTCAATAACGAAACGACATCCTCCATACTTTTTACGAGCTTCCACCCGTTTCGGAAATGGGATGGAGGATGCTGGGTGCCCTAGGAGCCAATCCGGCGCTCCCAAGCACCCAAGCAGTGCACCGTGGCTGATTGTGATTGGGCGGGCAGCCCTTTAAAAGCAGCTCCGCGTGGCCGCATTGCTCATTGTTGCGGAGGCGAGGGAGAAGAGAAGACGGGAGGTCCAGGAGGGCGGCTTGGATTGGCTTGGTGGCTTGGATTCATTCCTTGCATTGATTCATTTGCTTTCATTTTTGCATTCCTTAATTCTGTTGTTGGGAGAGCGAGGGCGGTTTTTGTTAATTTGTTAATTTTCCATTTTTAAATATTTTTGAAAAATACCTTTCTTTTATTCTAAAAAAAAAAATCAAAAAATATTCTAAAAAAAGAAAAGACCCTTCTGTGGCTGTGTGCTATCGTTTGTCCCTGTCTTGTGGCTGTTTGCTCCACAGCAGGGCGAGCATTTTGTTAATTTTCCATTTTTAAATATTTTTGAAAAATACCTTTCTTTTATTCTTCAAAAAAATCAAAAAATATTCTAAAAAAAGAAAAGACACTTGTGTGCCTGTGTGTGCATTTGTCATTTGTGTAGTTCCAACCAGTGCGCTCCTTTTGCCAACAGAAAGTGCTATAATACAGTGGTCGCTCATTTGTGTAGTTCCAACCAGTGCGCTCCTTTTGCCAACACAAAGTGCTACATAATACAGTGGTCGCTCATTATTTGTGTAGTTCCAACCAGTGCGCTCCTTTTGCCAACACAAAGTGCTATATAATACAGTGCTCGCTCATTATTTGTGTAGTTTTATTTACGAATTATTATTTACGAATTATTATTTACGAAATTTCGTAAATGCTTTTGCGCATGCGCTAACGCGGGCGCCATCTTTACGAATCGATTCGTAAATATTTATGAAATTTCGTAAATACCGAACTTTTTTAAGGGAAAATTTTGTAATTATTTTAAATATCGAAACAAAAAAACCCCCCAAATACAAATCGATTTTAGAAACAATTTTTTCCGTTGTTACCCAGGCCTAGTGCCTCGGCTTATATTTGGATCGGCTTATATTCGAGTATATATGGTATGTTATTTTTATCAAAGTCTACATTATTTTGTCTCTTGATTGCATAATATAAAGGGGAACAAAAAGAGAAAGCATGAAGAATAAGGAGGAGTGTGCTCCTTATCGTACTAGCCACTGCAATGAAATTACTAACACAGGAAAGAGAGAAAATCATCCAGGGCCTAGAAAGCTTTCTAGAGCTTTGTGAGTGCCGTAAGTGGAATATCCATGGTGCCGGGGGATGACACACAGAGGCAAGAGAAACCTCCCAAGATACAAATTACACTGAAAAGGGCAAGTGGCTATTTGACAGAGAAAAACTTGTGGGTGTCTCTGACCCTGCCAGAATGACTAATGCGAAGAAAGTATTGCTGACTGCTGGCAGAACTGAAAGGTCTCTTGGTACGCTCACAAGGTGGTCTGGAGGCCAAGCAGACTTGGTGTCTATAGAAGACTAGAGTCCAGCTATATATATGGAGCTTATGGTAAAAAACAAGAGAAGACATCTGCAGGATGTTCTGGTATGGTTTAAAAAAGGTAAAAGTTCACCTTTTATAGTTGCAAGTAATATATCTCGTATAAAAAGGTAGACAGATAAGAGAACGTTGCCTAAATTTTGTAGAGGAGCCCCTAATGCTGACTCTCATATCTTGGTGTAAGTAATGCCTCACGAGGCAGAGAGAAACCTCATGGTGCTCTCTTCTCAAACAAAGGACAATAAAGCACCAAAGCAGTGTTTCTCAACCTTCCTAATGCCGCAAGCCCTTAATACAGTTCCTCGTGTTGTGGTGACCCCCAACCAGAACATTATTTTCGTTGCAACTTCATAATTGTAATTTTGCTATTGGGTTGTTGTAGGTTTTTCTGGGCTATATGGCCATGTTCTGGAGGCAATTTTTCTCCTGACGTTTCGCCTGCATCTATGGCAAGCATCCTCAGAGGTAGAACATGGCCATATAGCCCGGAAAAACCTACAACAACCCAGTGATCCCGGCCATGAAAGCCTTCGACAATAAATTTTGCTATTGCTTTGAATTGTAATGTAAATATCCAATATGCAGGATATAGTTTTATTCACTGGACCAAATTTGACACAAATACCCAATACACCCAAATTTGAATACTGGTGGGGTTGGAGAGGGTATTGATTTTGTCATTTGGGAGTTGTAGTTGCTGGGATGTATAGTTCACCTACAATCAAAGAGCATTCTGAACTCCATCAATGATGGAATTTAACCAAACTTGGCACAACAGAACTTCCATGACCAACAGAAAATATTGGAAGGGTTTGGTGGGCATTGACCTTGAGTTTTGGAGTTGTAGTTCACCTACATCCAGAGAGCACTTTGGAATCAAACAATGATGGATCTGGAACAAACTTGGCACGAATATTCAATATGCCCAAATGCGAACACTGGTGGAGTTTGGGGAAAATAGACCCTGACATTTGGGGGTTGTAGTTGCTGGAATTTATAGTTCACCTACAAACAAAGAGAATTCTGAACCCCACCAACGATAGAATTGGGCCAATTCACTTACATTTGGAGAGCACTGTGAACCCAAATGACTATGCCAAAGGGGTTCCTAAGATCACCACAAATATGCATTTTCTGATGTCTTTGGTGACCCCTCTGAAACCCCTTCGTGACCTCCCCATAGGGTTCTTGACCCCTAGGTTGAGAAACACTGCACTAAAGACATCTAGAAAGAAGAGGGTAGTGACCTCTCCATGCAGACAGGAAGCAAACACACTTTGAGTTACATAGGTCTACAAAACAGTGAAAACAGGACTTATAAGTCCTGCATGGCAAAATTTTGTTGATTGTTGGGATGCATCAAATATTTTTTTTAAAAAAAACCCAAAACAAAACAGTGAAAACAAGATTGGGGGTATGCTCTACAGGATTTCCTTTGTTTCTAATCCTTCCCTTCTTCCCTTCTAATAGAGAGCACTTGACACCTCGATGCACATCAGTCCTAGAACTGCTGGCAGAAGCAGGGTTACGCCAGCAAAGGAGATAAATAGGAATCTGGGCCAGGACTACCATTACCCATTCTTCCTGAGATTTGTACTTAAATTTTAAATCTAAACATGAAACTTGGGAACAGGCCTTTGCTGATTTTCTGTTGGATCCTTTGAACCATAAATCCTTCCATCCCAATATGTTGGTACACATTATCAGAGGTGAGAGTGCTGAATGGAAGAAGATCACTCCTTATACAAGAAATTCCACTTAAGAGGAAAGAACGCACAGTCAGCAACCCTACGTATTGATTTGCGCTGTTTGGCAGCCAGGAGTTTCTTCCAAAATATTGGGAGCTGCAGTGTAAGCACCGAAGACTTCCGCTAGAAAGATTAACAACTAGCTTCCCAAGAAGTGACGGCCTGGTGATTATAAATGCATTACATGGCTTGTTTAGAAAGTACTGCAGGGAATGCAGAAGTGGTACCTGAGTGCTCATCCGTGGGGACTGATCCAGCCAGCCTTTGCTGAAGAGTCGCATAGTTTTCCTCGACCTCCTGGAAGATACAATCCACAGCACAAAGTTAATCGGCAAGCCGTTTAAAGAGCCAGTTGATTCAAATTGGTTGTGAATGTAAATGGCAAAACTCAGAAACAAGTAATCAATGAGGTTACTATATCTGAACTGAAGGGGAACAGTTCAGACATAGTAATATTTCTCTGACTATTCCAGGCCCAGAAGAAGGTGACACAACTGAGGGCTCAAGTCTGAGAAGTACATAGCACATATTAATACCTTCTAGCTCAACAACCGACACGTGCCTTAGTCTGTCTATAACTGATGTATAAGAAATAGCCATACAACATAGTATTTTACAGTATTCTAGCTGTACCTGTCACGCGTTGCTGTGGCCAAACTTCCCTCCCTCCCTCTTTCTCTTCTTCCTTCCCTCCCTCTTCCCTTTTTTCTTTCTTTCTTTCTCTCCCTCCTTCCTTCTCTTCTTCTTGCCTTCCTTCCCACCCCACCCCTTTTCTTTCCCTTCCCCTTTCTCCCCTTTCTTCCTATTTTGGACTACAACTCCCAGCAGTCCTCTTGATCCATCTACCTACCTACCTACCTACGTATCTATCACTATATAATCTATCTATCTATCTATCTATCTATCTATCTATCTATCTATCTATCTATCTATCTATCTAGAGGATTGCTGGGAGTTGCAGTTCAGGAATAGGAAATTGGAAATATGCAGGGATTGGGATGCTCTCAAAGAAATCCAAGGAGAAGAAAGCTTGCATCTTGGAAGCAGTGCATTTGGATCATCCGCATCTTCTAAAGGGCCTGGTCTACGGAATGCTGGAAGCTGTAGTCTGGAAGAAAGCGTGGATATGGTATTGCGTGTTTTGTTTTCTGGGGAGTCGTTTTTGTGTATGCACTGTAGAATCTTTTTGCTTTTTAAGTCCCCTCTGCTGTGTTTTTCTGTGTTTTTATGAGTGATGGTCACTCGCTGGCCTGATAAGTGTATTGTGTCCAAATTTGGTGTCAATTCGTCCAATGGTTTTTGAGTTATGTTAATCCCACAAACGAACATTACATTTTTATTTATATAGATTGCAGGCCAAGAGTCTCCAAGCCTATTTTGGAGATAGAGAAGTTGGAGTTGGTAAAGAGTCTGCAAAACTAATAGTCTATTTGTTTGTTTATTGATTTGCCACTTTAATTGTACTTCTTTGGTGTGGGAGGAGCTACAGACATGTGATTGTACTTGTTCAGACTAAAGAATCAATTTTGTTATCAGTATGCTTTTGGACTTCAATGTTAGCAGTTTGCTTTAGCCTCAGTGGAGGTGGACGCAGTACATTTTTGGACTTCAATGAAAGCATATGTCATTTGGATTTACACAGGAACAGTTTATCATATGTTTGCTTTCAGAAGCAGTGACTACAGTTAGACAGTTTGGACTTTCATAAGATGTATACTTAAAGACTTTGGACTATTGATTAAGAATGATGACCTGTTTTCTCTACACAGAGAAACTACATCCTATCTGTAACTGAACTTTAATAAGAAATGTGCCTGTATACTGAATAATTACAAGATATTTATGAGTAAACAATATATGTTACTTTTTAAAGAAGACTTTGTTTTTTGCCTCTGAGTGCAGATTTTAAACTAAGAGGTTTGGAGGGAGTATATGTTTTGTGCAACTGCAATTTCAACTTCATTTTCAAAACTCTGCTAGCCAAATATATGTTTTTTGTGCAATGGCATGTCTTTGTCCCTGGCAGTTTAAAGACATAGTTTATCAGTTTAACAGCTGAGTTACTTGTGTGCCATTAGATGCTTGTGAACATCACTTTTTCAAAGGGTTGCTTTGAATAAGGCCATGCCTTTCCTTGACTAGTGGTTTTCAAAAAGTGGTCTCCAGATGATCATGGAGATTCACATTTGCCAAAAGGATATGACATCATTTTTCTTTTCAAAAAGGTTATGACTGCCATTTTTCCAAAAATAGTTTGTTTTTTTCTGGACTGCAAAAACCCCCTTAAACTCTTGTTAAGTGACTATCATAAAATTTCAGGACAAGTTCTCAGTTCTTTCCAGTTAGTTCCAAGAAACACAGCAATGCCTCTGATATTGTCATCATAATCTTGTTCCTGTCATTTACATCAATGATCCCTTCCTTCCAGGCGCTTTGTTCTTCTATCTTTTTCAAACCTTTCAGTCTTTCTCACAGTTTTTGATACAGAACCAAATATCAGTTTGAAAAATTACCATGAGAATTAGTCAAGAAGATAAACATGCACACAACCTTGGGCCCCTTGTTCTTCATTCCCAATTTCGCAGTTTCTGTATGAACTGTGAAATCTGAAAGGAAGCTACACAATTTATGGAACAACAAACTGTACCTTTAAGTGTTCCAAGTTGGCCTCGATCTTCTGGATGTAATACATGATTAGGGAGCGTGACTCCGGAGAGAAGGGAGGCCTTAATACGTCTGAGGAGGAGGGTTCCTTAGTGGCTTCCCAATGGGAGGGCGTCACATCCCCAGCAGGGAAAGGTGAGCTGGCTCCTGGGTCTGGATGCTGGGCCTCCTGCGGAGATGCTGGCAGTTGGGAAGCAGAGTCCATAGCGCTCTTGCCAGCAGTGCACCGGAGGACCAACGAAGCCACCTCCTCATCAGTGGAGCTCTCCTGGGCTGCACCATAATCATCAAGGATCAAAAAATTTCCTGTGAAGAGAACAGCGCTAACGCTCTTGTGTAACAGAAGTTCTTCTGACATATGAGCTGACAGGACCGAACTGCATGCATCAATAGGAACATGGTTCCTTTTCTAAATTCAGAGGTCAACCCATACCAATGGGACTGTATATTAAGTTCTATGGAAGGTATAAATTGATTGGATGTATTCTATTAAGTCAGGAGCCCCCAGTGGCACAATGGGTTAAACTCTTGTGCCAGCAGGACTGCTGACCAAAAGGTCAATGGTTCAAATCTGGAGAGCGAGGTGAGCTCCCGTCTGTCAGCCCTAGCTCCCCATGCGGGGACATGGGAGAAGTCTCCCACAGGATGGTAAAACATCAAACATCCAGGCATCCCCTGGGCAATGTCCTTGCAGTCAGCCAATTCTCTTATACCAGAAGCAACTTGCAGTTTCTCAAGTCGCTCCTGACACAAAAATCGGCATGGGCAAACTTTGGCCCTTTCTCCAGGTGTTTTGGACTTCAACTCCCACAATTCCTAACAGCTGGTAGGCTGTTAGTAATTTGGAGTTGAAGTCCAAAACACCTGAAGGGATGGCTGAAGTTTGCCCATGACTGTATTAATTCAACACCTTCCTTTTTTTGCCATTTTAATCTCAGGGCCTTTTTTGTTGTTGTTCTCGTTCACACTCATTGACAGGTTAATGTTTGGAACGAACACAAACGGATGGACAGGAAATTGATATTACATTTTTTTTTTTGCTGTCATCCTTACCATTTTGGATAAGAACTTGCCTGGATTGTCAATATTTTGACTTAAAACTATGCGACTACATAATCATTATAGGTTAGTACCTGATTAACTTCTCTAAAGGACAACTGGACAAAGGTTTTCCTGAACATATTATTTTACATTCTAGGATAAAGGTAAGTAGAAAAGATGCATGCTCTTTATTACAATATTATGAGAGAACTGTATTTCCCCCCATGTGGCCTTTTCAGCCCAATGTAAAGATATCCAGCCTCTGAGGACTACAGTGTGTGAAAAAGACGTTGATGCTCTCCTAGGGAATTGATAAAGGAACTTTTGCATTGAGACCCACATCCCTTTAATGGCATTACTCATTGGAGGACTCATCTTGGGTGGCAACAGTGCCACTCCTTTTGATCCCTCCATTTAGAGCAGCACATAGAATCCTAGAGTTGGAAGGGCCATCCAGTCCAACCTCATTCTGAAAAATTGCATTCAAAGCACCCCCGACAGATGCCCATCCAGCCTCTGTTTAACAGCCTCCAAAGAAGGAGCCTCCACCACACTCCTGGGCAGAGAGTTCCACTGTTGAACAGCTTTCTCTCACAGTAAGGAAGTTTTTCCTAATATTAAAGTGGAATCTCCTTTCTTTCCTATAGTTTGAAGCCATTGTTCCGCATCCTAGTCTCTAAGGCAGCAGAAAATAAGCTTGCTCCCTCCTCCCTAAGACTTCCCTTCACATATTTATACATGTTCTATTGCTTTGCCCTCAAGTGCTCCTGTAACCTCCTCTGAAAGCACAATTCTCTCTCACTGAGGCAGTGGTTCCTAACCTGTGGGTGCCCAGATGCTTTGGTCTTCAACTCCCAGAAATACTAACAGCTGGTGAACTGGCTAGGATTTCTGGGAGTTGTAGGCCCAACACCTGGAAACTCACAGGCTGAGAACCACTGCACTAATGAAACTCACTCAGGTTAAGCCCAGTCTCTACTCAGACCTGATATTGAGGGAAGGTTAGAAGAAGTGATACCAACTTGCTATTCCTTCCAGATTTGTCATGGTGAAACAACAGCAAACAAGAAACTGATCACAGCTTGTAGAGTCAGCTGGCAAAGGGTCACTTCGACCATCAGATCTCTCCAATATTAGCATTCCATCCAAGTGTGGCAGTATTTTATTTTAGTTCTACGATCTGAGGAATTTACTCACCTGAGATCCGCAACTGCACCTCTTCCACGTCTTTCCTTTCTGTCACTTCGCCTTCTGACTGGTTCTCGTCGCTGTGGGCTTCACGGGCATCAAAGAAATGCTCTCCGCCATCCTCTGCGCTGACCCCTTCCAGCTCAGTAATGGGAGTCTCTGGGTTTGTGCTCAAGGGGTCCATTAACTGACTGCTACTCGGCGTGGTGTCCCCTGCTTGCACAAACTCACCCGAAGTCCGGTGACCAGAGCAAGGCTCAACACTACTTGTTCCCGTGCTGGAGGGCATCCTCCTAACCCCAGGCAGGGATGCCCTCTCCTTCTCTGAGCGCTGCTGTCCTCTAAGGATGCTCTTCTCCACCTGGGCCCCCTGAGAAACTGTCCTATGCCTGGAAAACCGCTGCCAGTCTTCAAGGGACTGCTGTTCAGTCATGCCTAGCTGCTGCATCAGCAACTTCTTCAACAAGCCCACTGGAAGGGAACAGAAAATAGTCAGTCTACTTGACAGCTCCCATCCATTCCCATCGATGGGCGTTGTTAGGGATCCTTGAATGCCGGGGGGAGGGGGGGACCAAGCTGTGGGGAGGCAGAAATCAAAAGTAGGAAGCAATAATCTCAAAACTGGCACTATTCTTAGTTTATAGCTCTGAGTTGATACTCTGGTCCCCCTTCTTTTTCTAGTCCTCTGGCTCTGCACTAGAGAATTTAATTTACTGTATATACTCGAGTATAAACCTAGTTTTTCAGCCTCTTTTTTAGACTGAAAAAGCTCCCCTCGGCTTATACTCGAGTCAAGGTTATTTATTATTTTACTCTGTTATTAGTATTATTTTTATTTAATGTATTATTTTACTCTCTTTATTATTATTACATTTACAGTATTTTACCGTATTATTATTACATTTATTATTTTACTGTATTATTGCATTTATTATTCTACTCTATTATTACTGTTATTATTGCATTTCCATTATTTTACTTTATTATTATTATTATATTTATTATTTTACTCTCTTTATTATTGTTGGAAGGATATGTAAGTATATTTACATTGAAGATATGTAATGATTTAATCAGAGTTGGCAGTCTTATCTCAAATTACAGTTTTATGTAAATATTAAAAAAGTATTTCACCTCCTGATGCCTCAATTAATGTAATTTTATTGGTATCTATTTTTATTTTGAAATTTACCTGTAGCGGCTGCATTTCCCACCCTCGGCTTATCCTCGAGTCAATATGTTTTCCCAGTTTTTTGTGGTAAAATTAGATGCCTCAGCTTATATTCGGGTTGGCTTATACTCGAGTATATTATACAGTAATTTATTTATTTACAGCATTTATATTCTGCCCTTCTCACCTGGAAGGGGACTCAGGGCGGATCACTGAATACATACACGGCAAACATGCAATGCCGTTAGACATACAGGACAGACAAATATGTGTCTCAGCATTTTTCCAACTTTGACGTCCTGAGGGTTATGCTTGATTCTGGCCACAGAGGGGTGCTGACACTCCATCATCTATGACGACAATGATGGAGTGTTTGAAGGCCTGTCCCCACTACTCCCTCTCTAATGAAGTTCTCCCTCATTTCTATCTCATCCAGAGTTTTCATCATTTTATCCTGTACATGTGGCCCGCTCATTGTGATTGTGATTTATTTCTCATTGTATTTTTGCCCTGTTTTATTGTATTCTTATATTTTGTTTATATTATTGTGATGTTTGTTCTGTGGTTTTGGTTTTATTCTGTTGCACTACTGGACTTGGCCTCATGTAAGCCGCCCTGAGTCCCCTTTGGGGAGATGGTGGTGGGGTATAAATAAAGATGATGATGATGATGATTATTTGATCAGACTTTCCTCCTGTTCTTTGATTGACAGCTTTTTACAGTGCCATAAAATACCTCCCTGCTTAAGCGGTGCCTAATTTCTCTACTCACTGTTTTCAAACTGTTTAGTTGGACAGTAAGCTAGGCTGAAGGTCAGGTGCTCACCCTGACCTGGGCTCAAAATGCCAACTTTTTCGTTGGGAAAAATCTATTGCTGCTGGTGATTAACCAGCTGTGCTAGAACCCTGCAATGGCTGAACCTCCAAAACTAATTTGGTGGTGGAGGAGCTTCATAGATACATGTTGGACCCCTGAATGTGTATATCCTACAAGACCTGGCATTTAAAGGTAAAAGGAAGATTACTCACTTCTTTTAAAGATGCAATAGAATAATGATTTTACACGGAAACGCTCACGATAATGCTTTTAAGGCTTTGTATGGTTTTATATTTTTTATATCATGTGCTATTGTTTTTAACAGAAATGTATGATTATTTTTATTTGTTATAATTGTTGAGGCATCGAATTGTTGCCAATTTGTGAACCACTCCGAGTCGCCACTGGGCTGAGAGGGGTGGTATATAAATATAGTAAACAAACAAACAAACAAGCAAGCAAATAATTTGCTTAAAAAAACCCCCAAACACAATCATCAATCTTGTCATACAGCAGTGTGTTCTACTGGCTAATCGTTTACAGAGTAACAGAAAACATGTTCTGCCAAGGGTGTTATCACAACCACTTTATCTGTCCGAATGGATTCTCACCTATGAACCATCAAGGTTGTTAAGATCTTCTGGAGGGGCCCTGCTCTTGGTCCCACCACCCTCGCAATTGCGTCTGGTGGGGACGAGGGACAGGGCCTTCTCGGTGGTGGCCCCTCGGCTCTGGAACTCTCTCCCACTGGAGATTAGATCTGCCCCTTCTCTCCTGACTTTTAGAAAGCTGGTGAAATCCTGGCTTTGGAATATGGCATTTGATGAGTGAGTCAATAACTCTTGACCACACTGACGGATGGATGAATTGTGATTTCATTCTGACAACCTGGCCTTATGTAATTATATGATTGTATTTTAATGTATTTTATGGATTAGTGTATTGTGAGGTTGTGATGTTTTTATACTATTGTCTATGAATCTTTTGTTGTAAACCGGCCTGAGTCCCTCTTCGGAGATCGAGAAGACCGGGTTATCAAAACTCTAAATAATAATAATAATAACAACAACAACAACTAGGAGATTGGGCTGAAAAACTGTTTCAATTGTAGTCAACACACTATCCATTTTATTGAGGTGGGAAAGAATCTAAATGGCTTACGCAACACCAAACTTTAAAGTTTCAATGGGGCCACTTAGTGCTGAGTTCTGTGTCATCCCTGCTTGTTTTTGGATAATGTTTCTACTGAGAAAAAGAGCTGATATTCATCTGGCCCAAAAGGCGAAAGGGAAACTATAAAGTACCCACACACCCCACAGTCCTAGGTTTTTTGTGTACTATACATGCCCAACAACGTACAATTCCGTAGTGCATCCAAAGCCCACCGGTCTTCAGAGATTGGGAACAAGAGCTCTGTTGTGCCCCTGTGGCTGAAGCTGTCGGAGGGCTCTTTGATCAGCAAATCCGCCGGTGCTTTCTCTCTAAACCGCCGGTCGGCCTCCAAGAGCTCTTCCGCTTCTGCTTTTTCCGATGTGGTGGCTGAGGGAGACTCCATTTCCAGATCTTTATCTAACAAGCCAAGCCCAAATGTTAAAATCGATACTGAAGCAACATTTTCATGAAATCAAATATGCTAACCTATTTTGAGATGCAATAAAAATAATAAAAGGTTATTGAATATGCTAAAAATAGAGGTCCTTCTTAACCTAAGGGGAAATAAAAATAGCTATAATTTGTTTTAAAAGTCACCCTTGAAGCAAGGGAGAAAAACAGGTATCCAACTAAGCAGGAGCAATTCTAGTACACAATAACAACAAGCCAGTCAAAGTGGTCCCAGTGGTGATCGGCACACCAGGTACAGTGCCTAAAGACCTTGGCCTGCACTTAAAAACAATCGGCGCTGACAAGATTACCATCTGCCAGCTTCAAAAGACCACCTTACCCAGATCTGCATGCATTATTCGCTGATACATCACATAGTCCTAGACACTCGGGAAGTGTCCGACATGTGATCAAATACAAAAGCCAGCATAGTGATCTTGTTTACTGTGTATCATTCTTGTTGCATATCAAACAACAACAACAACAACAACAACAACAATCCAGTAAAGGTGTTCCCAGTGGTGATCAGCACACCAGGTATAGTGCCTAAAGACCTTGGCCTGCACTTAAAAACAATCAGTGCTGACAAAATTACCATCTGTCAGCTTCAAAAGGACACCCTACCTAGATCTGCACGCATTATTCGCTGATACATCACATAGTCCTAGACACTTGGGAAGTGTCCGACATGTGATCAAATACAAAAGCCAGCATAGTGATCTTGTTTACTGCGTATCAATCTTGTTGTGTATCTAACAACAACAACAACAACAACAAACCAGTAAAGGTGGTCCCAGTGGTGATCGGTACACTGGGTGCAATGCCTAAACCCCTTGGCCTGCACTTAAAAACAATTAGCGCTGATAAAATTAACATCTGCCAGCTGCCTACAGCCATCCTGCTTGGATCTGCACACATTATTCACCAATACATTACACAGTCAAGGACACTTGGGAAGTGTTCGATGTGTGACCAAATACAAAAACCAGCATACTGATCTTGCTTGCTGTGTAGTAACCATGTTGTGTATCAAATAATAATAATGATGATGATGATGATGATGATGATAATAGAAGTGTTTGACTTGTGATTTTGTGATACGAAATCCAGCATATATATCTTATTTGCTGTGACATGCTGTGTTTTTGTGTCAGTAAAATAATAATAATAATAATAATAATAATAATAATAATAATAATAATAATAAAAGACTCTGGCACAACCCAGTAAAGTTGGTCCCAGAGGTGTTTGGCACACTCGATGCAGTGCCTAAAGACCTTGGCCTGCTTAAAAATAATCAGCGCTGACAAGATTACCATCTGCCAGCTGCAAAAGGCCACCTTGCTGTGGACTCATCTTGTTGTGTTTATAATAATAATAATAATACATCACACAGTCCTAGACACTTGGGAAGTGTTTGACTTGCGATTTTTTAATATGAAATCCAGCATATAGATCTCGTTTGCTGTGACATACTGTGTTTTGTGTCAGTAAAATAATAATAATAATAATAATAATAATAATAATAATAATAATAATAATAATAATATTTCAGCTTGAGGCAGGGCACAACATCTATAAAAGCACATATTAGAACATAATTTAAATACAACCATAAAAAGCACATGTTAAAACATACACATATTTAAATACATGACACAGAAGTTAAAACATAATAAAATACACTATGCTTTTAAAAGTCATAGTTAGGCCTGCCGGAATAGATATGTCTTCAGTCTGTTTTACATTTTGATAGCTGATTAGCTGTTGGATCTCTTCTGGCAGGTCATTCCACAGTGAAAATATAAGAAGCCAGGAATAAATATCACAGCTAACATAGAATGATGATGCGCGGGAATAAATATCTACATTTAACTCTTACCTGGGCTCTGCATACTGCTCTCGGGAGTGGTTTGTTCTTCTTTCAGTTTCTGATCCTCTTCCTCGTGGTCTTCCCTGAAAACAGAAGGAAAACACAAAAGAAATCAATCTCATGCTGCTGTACGCTCTTTTTAAAGGGACTGTAATAATATACGTAATTTGAAAAGAAGCACCAAAATATACACATGTACATGTGCCAGATAGTGGAATGAGAACATGGGTGAGGGGAGACTTATTTTAAAAAGTAGCAACTTACTCGCAGGGTCCTGACTGAGGTAACGGAATCACTCGTCTGCCAACTTTCACCGTTCCTGCCATCCGTGCAATGAGCTCCTGCCACCTGTAAGTAGATAAGAACAACAAATAATGTCACTCCAAACAAAATAATAATAATAATAATAATAATAATAATAATAATAATAATAATAATAATAATACACTTTATTTATAACTAGCCACCATCTCCCCAAAGGGGACTCGGTGCGGCTAACATGAGGCCAAGCCCAAAATAATACAACATAATAAACACACAATAACAAAATACATCATAACAAAATATAAAATAACAAAATCAACAATATAAAACAGTATAGTAAAACCAGACACAGAGGGGTAAAATGTTAAAAAATTAAAACTGTGTGCAGATAGTTTTAAAAAGAACTACTAGTGGATATTAGTGGGGTTGCAAGTTTCATTTTGCATACTTAAAGAAAAAAGTAACAAAAAGGAAAGGGCCCTGCTTTATCCTTAATGGAAACCTAGAAATAGAATACCAGTGTTCCCATCATGACACGTACAAATGCAGCGATGGAAGAAGAAAAGGGAAAGAAGCCAAGACAAGAAAGCCAGCCAACACCTGCAGTTTGGCATTGGACTCAGTACAATGAGTCAGGATTATTCGACAATTCAGGAGAGTTTGTTAACCAATGATTTGGAAATGAAAGCATGGAATGTCTTACTGCAAGATTCTTGTCCCAAGAAATTATCTATATGGCTCATTCACATGGATACATGAATATGCATCCCAGTGCAGAACACTTCTCACCATGTTAAAACAGTGGCTGTGGCTCTTAATGAGACATGCCACACAGTTTGTTTACGCCCAATACCGCTGGAGAAATTATACTGTTTCGCTGGTATTGCACCACCTGACATCCATCAGGAAGTAGCAGCCAGCCATGAAAGGACCAAGGCAGTGGCATCTCTAGCTCATCCTCTGTTTGGATATGAGCCAGCATGCAAATGCGTTAAATCAAGAAACAGCTTTGTAAGATCTACAGAGATACTTGCAGGAACACCTCAGCAAGCAAGAGTCCAAAAGTGGCAGGCTAAAACCCAGCACGTTAATCTATGGATGAGAGTGGATGAGAAACTCCTTCCTGGGCACATAGAAGATTGGGCAATCTGGAAGGTACTGAACACGTTGTGGTCTGGCAGCACAAGATGCAGAGTTAACCTTAAGAAATGGGGCTACAAAGTAGAGTCCATGACATGCAAGAGAGGCGAAGAGCAAACCACACGCTTTGGTCACATTCCGAATAGATTACGTGCAATGGACTCTACGTGAGGTTGCATTTGAAGACTGTTCGGAAACTTCAACTAGTCCAATGGGCAACAGCCATATTGCTCACTGGAGCACCATACAGGGAGCACACCACCCCCCTGCTATATGAACTCCACTGGCTGCCGGTCCATTTCCGAGCACAATTCACAGTGCTAGTCTTGGCCTATAAAGCCCTATACGGCTCCGGCCCAGCTTACTTGTCCGAATGTATCTCCCTCTACATTCCGCCTTGTAGTTTAAGATCCACCAGGGAGGCCCTGGTCTCGGTCCCACCGGCGTCTGGTGGGGATGAGGGACGGGGCCTTCTTGGTGGTGACCCCCCGCCTGTGGAATTCGCTCCTCAGCGAGTTTAGATCGGCATCCTCCCTCCTTTCCTTTAGGAAAAAACTGAAATCATGGTTTTGGAACCAGGCTTTTGACTAGTAGGCACAACGGCACTTTGGACACTGAACTGGACCATATGATTGTTATGATAATGAAAACGGCTATATGACTGTATAATTAATGTTATTGTTTTTAATCTATTATGTATTTATGGTTTTATATTGTGTTATATTGTGATATTGTGGCATCGAATTGTTGCCAGTGTTAGCTGCCCTGAGTCCCCCCTTGAGGGTTGAGAAGGGTGGGGCAGAAATGTTGTAAATAAATAAATAAATAATAAATATATACAACCTACTACAATGCAACCCGAGCCCTGCCACATGCACAATGGAGGACCTTCTCACAGTGACATCAGAGGCACTCCAAGTGGCCAGCTTCTGGTCAAAGGACATTTAGTATCATGCCAACTTTTTAAACTTTGTGTTGTATTGTTGAAGGTTTTCATGGTCAGAATTACTGGGTGGTTGTAAGGTTTTTGGGCTGTCTGGCCATGTTCCAAAAGCATTTTCTCCTGATGTTTCACCTGACTCTATGGCAGGCATCCTTGGAAGATGTCTGCCATAGATGCAGGCAAAACGTCAGGAGAGAATCCTTCTGGAACACAGCCATACAACCGGAAAAACTCACAACAACCCTTTGTTTGTGTTTTTAAAAACATGCTAACTGTACCCTTAATTTGCTTCTGACACAGAGAATAGTAGAAAAAAGTCACCCAGATACTCCACATAAGATTAATGAAAATGCAGAGTGTATTTGTGCACAACATCCTCAAACATACTTCCTAATTCTTGCACTTCAGAACTTAAAAGCCCACTTGAAGTGTCAAATAAGGGAACTCCTTAAAACCCCGAGCATATCAGAGTGTTGGGGTCTTCCTTTTCCTATAAGGACTCAGTTTAATTGCACATTGTCTGCAAGAAGCAAGGGGAGGAAGGGCTTGCACGTTTTCTCTCTTCAGTGAACTTTTCAGATTCACAATTAAAAATCCTCACCCCTCTCTGGAACATATGCAACACGCACTGAAAGATGCTACACCAAGTGCCTTCTAAAATCTAAATCCTCTCTGACAAAATCACCAAGTACAAGGGCAAAATATGCTAAAATATGTTAATTCAGGATTAACAGCAGCAACTAGGAAAAGCAATTCAAAGTTCAAAATATGGGATACCGAAAGTGTGCCTGAGCTTCTCTGTGTCAGTGTTAATGGCGGACAGGAAGGAAAGGAAAGAGAATTGGGTGTAGCTTTTAATCCACAAAGCAGAAAGCATTCAAGTAGAGAAGCCAAGCATAAATAAACCAAGCCACCATTAAAACAACACTGGTGTTTCAATCTCTTGGCAAACCCTGAGATCTAGCCATATGGCATAAAATGACAGGACACTGAGAACAAGATGGAGGTTTGGGATGATCCAATTAGTTGTCGAAGGCTTTCACGGCCGGAATCACCGGGTTGCTGTGAGTTTTCCGGGCTGTCTGGTCATGTTCCAGAAGCATTCTCTCCTGACGTTTCACATCCATCTATAGCAGGCATCTTTAGAGGTTGTGAGGTCTGTTGGAAACTAGGCAAGTAAGGTTTATACATCTGTGGAATGTTCAGGGTGGGAGAAAGAACTATTGTTTGTTTGAGGCAAGTGTGAATGTTGCAATTTGGTCATCCTGATTAGCATTTAACGGTCTTGCAGTTTCAAGGTCTGGCTGCCTGCTGCCTGGAAGAATCCTTTGTTGGGAGGTGTTAGCTTGCCCTGATTTTTTCACGTCTGGAATTCCTCTGTTTTCTGAATTTTGTTCTTTATTCACTGTCCTGATTTTAGAGGTTTTTTAAATACTGGTAGCGGTATTTTGTTCTTTTTCATGGTTTCCTCCTTTCTATTCAGTATTAAAAATCAGGACAGTGAATAAAAAACAACATTCAGAAAACAGAGGAATTCCAGATGTGTATCAATCAAGGTCAGTTAACACCTACCTAGAAAGGATTCCCCGATGCAGTAAACTTAAAGGCTAATCAATACTATTCAAGGTGGCCAACTGAAACATTCCCACCTGCCTCAAATTGAGAAGAGTTATTTCTCCCACCCTGGACTTTCCATAGATATATAAACCCAATTTTCCCGGTTTCCAACAGACCTCACAACCTCTGAGGATGCCTGCCATAGAGGTGAAACATCAGGAGAAAATGCTCCTGGAACATGGCCATACAGCCTGGGAAACTCACAGCAACCCGGTGATCCAATTAGCTTTGTCATGAAGATATGTTTAAGATGCATCCAAATTAGTATGGTAAAGGTTACTTCAGAGAAGAATATTGTTAATTTATATTGGATATTTTCATGGAAATTTTTGATAAAAAATTAAGGTCAGTAGAACCAAACAGCAATCTAGGAATTAATTGATATCGGGTACATGAAAACAGGAGATGTCTTGGAATTGAGTATATCTGAAGCTATCATTATTTTGGTCTAGTAATGCCCATCAGATACCTCTAGAATTCCTGACCTCTAAACAAACCTTTAATTGCAGATGTTCCCACACATTCAGTCTGATGGAAGGGCAACGTACTGTTATGAGAGACTCGAGGCTTTTCCTAATAGACTGCATGACATGAATTGGCTCCTCACCAACAGCCCAGAGACATTGAAGCTCCTAGGAAGTGTCTCTCTCTGCTTCAGTCTCTCTCTCAATTGTTTTAAAGGCAAGGTTTGGTCATAGGAAACCTTTAGTTTTATAAACACACTATGCAACCTTGCATAAATAATAATAAATAATAAAAACTTTATTTGTAGGCTGCCCTATCTCCCCGAAGTGACTCAAGAGCAAGAAATCCTCAGCATTTCCCATTAAGCTTGCATAACTTCTGCAGGACATACACTGCAGCAGAAATAACAAAGGAATTATGCAGTGATATTAAACTCTTCTCTGAAATGTTATACTGTAGCCGGTTTTAAGTTGGTTAAGACAGAAGTCATAGCAGAGCATAAGGCAAGGGAATGCCACCAATGCTAGCACATTTGTTTTAGGAAAGGAGATACAGAAATTAGGGAGATAGTCCACATATATATCTTGATACTACTCATGTCTCAATTGCTAAAAGTTACAAATATTGCTTACTACAAATGCTGAATGATCATCCTTCATTCGCTCCGATGATTTATAAGCTGGGTTAGCTCTAAATAAAGACTCAACTATGTAGACTACAACTTTGCATATCAAATACCTTATATACTTGAGTATAAACCGACCTGAATATAAGTCACAACACCTCATTCTACCACAAAAAACTGGGAAAATGTATTGACTTCAGTATAAGCCTAGGGTGGGAAATGTAGCAGCTACTGGTACATTTCAAAAATAAAAATAGATACCAATAAAATTACATTAATTGAGACATCAGTAAGTTAAATGTTTTTCAGTATTTACATAAAATTGTAATTTAAGATAAGACTGTCCAACTCTGATTAAAATATTATTCTAAACTTCTTCAATGTAAATGTGCTTACGTATCCTTCCAATATTAAGAGAGTAAAAAAATACATGTCATAAAAATAATAATATAATAAAATAATGGAAATGAAATAATAACAGTAATAATAGAGTAAAATAATAAATGTAATAATAACAGTAATAATGTAAAATAATAACACTAATAATAGAGTAAAATAATAATTGTAATAAAATAATAATAATAGAGTAAAATAATGGAAATGCAATAATAAAAATAATAGAGTAAAATAATAAATGCTATAATTAAGTAAAATAATAAATGTAATAATAATAGTAAATAGAGTAAAATAATGCAAATGTAATAATAAATAGAGCAAAGTAATAAATGTAATAATAACAATAAAATAAAGTAAAATAATAACTGTAATAATAATAGGGTAAAATAATAAATGTAATACATAGTAATAAGAGAGTAAAATAATGGAAATGTAATAATAACAATTATAATAAAGTAAAATAATAAATGTAATAATAATAATAATAGACAAAACAATAAATGTAATAATAATAATAATAATAATAATAATAAATCAAGTAAAATAATGTAAATGTAATAATAATAAATAGAGCAAAATAATAAATGTAATAATAATAATAAGGTGAAGAAGAAGAAAAAGAAGAAGAGAGTAAAACAAAAAGCTGAGGGGGCTTTTTCAGCCTAAAAAAGGGCTGAAAGCGTGGCTTATACTTGAGTATATATGGTAATTCCATCACTCCTCCCAACTGGGGAGAGGGATGAATTTAAAGTATTCATCTAGATGCTATAAAAAAATCTTCAAGGCACTTGACATGCATCCCCACTACTCGGAGTGGAAGCTGTTTCACAGATGTTGAACACAGGATTTATCTCTTTCCTTCGCAAGTGATAAAACATCGGCAGAGACGACAAACCCACTTACACAGTCTTTTCTGAGACAGTTTGCGCCACCAGTTCATAAATATGGGCTCCATTTTCCGACATAGAGATGACGAAGAATGCTTTGTTATCTAGGGAAAAACAAAGAGAACGCTAAATAGAATAGTAATTTTGTCTGATTTGTTTTATTTAGAATTTAGGGAAATGTGTTTTACACTTCAGCTGGTGCTGGAGAAAGAGAATTTGATGAGCAAAGAGTGAAGCATTTCTTTGAAAGGCCACTTTATGAGGGGTGGTTTTTCCCCCTACTGCTGCCCAAGCAAGGCAAGGGGTCATGTGATCTAAACGCTTCTTTAAATCCCTAAATACAATTTTCATAGCCATGTTAGAGGACAAGTAGACAGAATGCTGGTCCCTCTGGACTCATTGTGTTGCTTTGGTCTCTGCTTAGATTATATGTACAATGGGAACATTGCTCATTTATTGACACAATTGCGGTGAAGATAACACAAGCCAACAAAATCAAAATTTCAGAATCATCAGAAATGAGAGTAACACAGTTTAAATTAATTTTTATGTTGATTTTAGATATGTCTTTGTTTTTTCCCATCATGTCAACTTTTTAAAAATATGATGAATGGTACATTACAGCAGACTACTGTAAAGTCTGCATATCTCACATCCTATTCATGTAACACAAACCAACAAATATTTTTTATTAGATATAATTTTATTCTTATAGAGTTTTTTTGCACTGAATTCAGATCTGTGTTGTATTTTTTCCTCTATCACCTGTAGTTTTTGCAATGAGGCTAGCAAATAATTAATGCATTTGTGCACTGATATCAACAGAATCTAATTAACCACAGCCAACAAGTATTTTTCATCAGATATAATTTTAAGTCGTTCTTATAGAGGTTTTTTTTTGTATTGATTCAGATCTGTGTTTATTTTTTCTCTATCACGTGTTGTTTTTGTGATGAGGCTAAACAAATAATTAATGCCTTTCTGCACTGAATTCAATTAGATTCTATTGCTATAAGTGCATAAATGCATTAATTATTTGATTAGCCTCATCACAAAAACTACAAGTGATAGAGAAAAATAAACACAGAACTGAATTCAGTGCAGAAAACTACATAAGAACGATGTAAAATTATATCTGATGAAAAATATTTGTTGGCTTGTGTAATATATGCATATGTCATCAGCTGGGGACCCCTCCCCCCAGCACCAATTGCCGCTCTGGGCCAGAGTGAAGAGAGGGGGGCAGAAGACAGTTCCACCTTGTCTCCTGTGCTATTCTAATAATATAATGTAATGTAATGTAATATCTTATATATACATATATTTAGACTATTATAATGTAATGCAATATAATACTAAGAAGGCAGTAGGAAAAGAGGAAACTATATGCCAGAATTAATCAAGTTTGCATGATCTGAAAGGGCTGTGGAGGGCAGTATGCAGTTGTGATCTCCCATTAAAAGAACAATATTTTGGAAATGATATTTTGTTGGGTTGCTGTGAGTTTTCCAGGCTGCATGGCCATGTTCCAGAAGCATTATCTCCCTATGTTTTGCTCACATCTATGGCAGGCATCCTTAGAGGTTGTGAGGTTTGTTGGAAACTATTCAAGTGGGGATTATATATCTGTCGAATAATGTCCAGGTGGGAGAAAGAACTCCTGTCTGTTTGAGGCAAGTGTGAATGTGAAGTGTGAAGCCTTGCAACTTCAAGGCTTGGCTGCTTCCTGCCTGGTGGAATCCTTTGTATGATATAATATATTGTATATACATATAATATTTATAATATTATCATGTAATATTACAGTCAATTATCATGTAATATTACAGTCAATTATATAATTATGTAATATAATTGACTGGTTGCTGATGACTCGATAAATAAAAAATAAATAAAATTATGTAATATAGTATAATATTAATAATAATATGACACTATAATCATATATTTATATTACATGTAATATTACTAATAATATTACAATATAATTGTATAGTACAATATAGTAATATTTAATACTGATATTCTACTATGCTTTTAATATAATATATTGTATGTATGTGTATATATATATATATATGTGTGTGTGTGTGTGTGTGTGTGTGTCTTGTAAGCCGCTCTGAGTCCCCTTGGGGTGAGAAGGGCGGCATATAAATGTCGTAAAATAAATAAATAAATAAATAAATATAAAGCAGCATGTTGGGAACTTACACTGTCATCTAAATGTTGCATCACAATAGATGCAGTCAACAATAACCAAACCAGAGTTTTCCAACTTCAGATAGTTATGTTTGAAAATAGACAAAGGATGCCTATGTCTTTCCCAGATAAAATTCAGCTCGAAGAACATAAAGAGAAGCAAATGGTTCTTCCCCTGATTCCATGTCCCAGCTCCATATTCAGGGGATGTACAAGCTGATTGGTATCAGATTTGGAGCTATGCTCCAGGTTGTGAAATCAGTTTTTCCCATCTGTGCAATGGCCTCATTAAACAAAGTGATCTTTCAGAAAAAAGGTATTTGATATGAGAGCAGGTGGTTTGCGCCTTGACACTCACCTGTGGCCACTTGGCGCACCAGCACCGTGTTCAGTTTGATGACTGGGCTGAATGTATGCTTGCTGTCCGCAGCATTGGCCAGGATCTTGCTGTGGCATCTCAGTACTAGTCGATCGTCTTGCTTCTGCAACAGCACTAGAATGTCCTCCAAGAGCAGCGTGTAGAGATCTAGAGGAGGCAGCAACCAAGAATGGGTTGCATCCTATTTCATAGCTCATATGGAAGGCTGCACCATTTGCAGCGATTGGCCATGGGCTCTCTTATCTCTTTTCATTCACCTCCAAATGGGACTGAATCCATTATGATTCCCTCGGCCCATTTCAAAGAACTCAAAAATAGCTTAAGCAGCTCCAAGAAAGCTACATTAGTACATAATCATTAGTAGCAAGGGAAAAACTTAAGATCAGGCATGAGCAAACTTTCTAATGTGGGGGCCGCATGGCGGGCCAGAGCGGGTGGGTGGGCCGGGAGGGAGGGGGTTCTCCCCCAGTCCCCTCGCTGCCCCTTCCTCCCCTTCCTCTTCTCTTTTGGAGACGGAAAGTGAAGGAAAGATGGGGAAACATTTGGATCCCAAAACAGTTGGCCTTGGTCAGGATGGGATGGTGGACAGGAAACACCCTGTATTGCCTACTCCTGAAGAATCCTAGAGCTGGAAGAGACCCCCAAGGGCCATCCAGTCCAACCCCCTGCCATGCGAAAGTACTCCTGCTGAAAAGCCTCCAGAAAAGGAGACTCCACCACACTCCCAGGCAACCTATGCTACTCTCCAACAGCTCTTACTCTCAGGAAGTGCTTCCTAATCCTTTCAGTTGAATCTCTTTCACTGCTATTTGAACCCATTGCTCCCTTGTGCCCTGGTCTCTAGAGCAGCAGGAAGTCAGTTTTCACCCTCTTCTTCCTCAATGGACACCCTTTGAAATCTTGAAGCATGGTTCTTATGTTCCCTCTCTACCTCCTCTTCTACCAGTTAAACATCCCCCAAGAGGAAAGGAGGAAGGAGAGGGAGAAAAGAGAAAGAGAAAGAGAAAGAGAAAGAGAAAGAGAAAGAAGGAAGGAAGGAAGGAAGGAAGGAAGGAAGGAAGGAAGGAAGGAAGGAAGGAAGGAAGGAAGGAAGGAAGGAAGGAAGGGAGGAAGAGAAAGATGGAAGGAAGGGTGGAAGGGAATGGAGGGAGGGAAGGGAAAGGAGGGAGGGAGGAAAGAGAGAAGGTAGAAAAGACAAAGGGGAAAGAAGGAAGGAAGCAAGGAAGGAAGGATAAAGAGGGGAGGAGGGAAGGAAGGATGAAAGGGTGGAAGGGACTGAGGGAGGGAGAAGGAGCAAGGAAAGGAAGGGAGGAAAGGAGGAGGACAAAAAGAGAGAAGGAAGGAAGGAAGGATAGGATGGTGAGAGAGAAGAGGGCCTGAGAAAAGAGCACATTATATTCAAAATTTCCTGTAATATATCATGGATTTTTTTCCAATATGTTTTCAATTTCTCACATGACCACCACATGTGGAAGTATGATCCTTCCACCTTTCCACATTTCCAACATTTTGTGTTTATATTTTTGTAACATTTTGAATACAAGAATCCCTTTGAAACCAGAGATATTCCTGCTCGGGATAACAGATCAGAACTTAGACAAAAACACTGATAAACTCCTATTTTTACTGAACACAGCTTCAAGAATTTGCTATGCAAAAGTTTATAAAAAGGAGGAGATCCCAGAAGATGATGACTGGATAGGGAAAATTGCAGATATTAGAAACATGGATAGACTGGCATATCTAATATCTAAAAATAGGGGGGTCCCAATAAAAGAAACTGGACGACAGAATATTTGAAACATAAAAATAGAAACATATTGATATAGTAAGAAGAGAGAAAAAGATGGAAGAAGAACAAGATACAAGAAGGGAACGGAAAAACCCACATGAAGATGCTCAGGAAGTCAACAAGCTTATACATTTTGTCTCTTTTTCTCTCTCCTCTTTTCTTTTCCTTTCCCCCCCCCTCTTTCCCCTCTTCTTTCCCTCTCTTTTTCTGATCTCTTTTTGACAATTCAAAGATACACACACATTTCATTTTTAAGGAAACTCTCAATAAAGATCATTTTAAAGAGAGAGAGAAAAAAAGAGCCCAAGGGGTCGTGATCGGTCCCCCAGGTCTGGGTTTACCCATACCTGCTTTAGATGTATGTTCTAATGTTTTTCCCCTCCACCCCACTTTCTCCTACATACATCAGGGGGGGAAAAGACAGCCACTTCTAGGACTTACCAATGGTCTTGTCACGATTCACCTTCCAGGTCAGGGGCCCTTCATGAATCATCTTCTTCCTGGTTAAATCTAAATTCTGTCAATAAAGAGCAAAATAAATATTTATAGGAGATTCACTGGAGGGACAGATACCAATATATATTTCAAATGATCATCATAGTCATGGATGAGTAAGAAATAAAAGCCTCTTTGAGGTCTGAATAATCAATGTTGGATGGCTTTTTAAAAAAGGAGTTTGGGAACACTTGAGGTAAGTATCACTTTCTTCTTTAGATGGCTACCTTCTTTTCACAATTTGACCTTGCTTCAGGTTTGCTCGAAAGAGCTGGCTAAAAAAAAAATATCCTTTACAATATTGCAGCTCTGTGGGTTTGCTGCTCAATCTCTGAGACTTCTCACCTCCAGATGAAAAAAGATCTTGCCATCGACTTGGGAGGCATAGGTTTTAGAACATTGTATGATGCCAACTAGAGAGAGCATCACATTTCCATATAACCCATCCCTGATCCTACTACTAGGAGGTTATAAATAAATAACCAAGACGGATATTAACCAACACAAGTTGCATGTTTAGAAAGCACTGGCCGCAATCACAAACTCATGAAAATTTCATTATGCACTTTATTGTCCAAAAGCTAGAAATAAAACCAGGTATTATCTGACCAAATAATACGCAGGAAATGCCTTTTGACCTTCAAAGAAACCCATACAGTGTAAGACGAAACCGATGGTATGGAGTACATACACATGCACAAAGGTTACCTTCCTCTATACCAGTGTTTCTTAACCTTCCCAATGCCGCAACCCCTTAATACAGTTCCTCATGTTGTGGTGACCCCCAACCATAACATTATTTTTGTTGCTACTTCACAACTGTAATTTTGCTACTGTTATGAATCATAATGTAAATATCTGATATGCAGGACGTATTTGCATTCACTGGACCAGATTTGTCACAAATACCCAATATGCCCAAATATGAATACTGATGGGTTTGGGGGCGGGATTGATTTTGTCATCTGGGAGTTGTAGTTACTGGGATCTATAGTTAAGTTACAATCAAAGCATTCTGAACTTTACTAATGGTGTAATTGAATCAAAATTGACATATAGAACTCCCATGACTAACAAAAAATACTGGAAGGGTTTGTGGGCATTGACCTTGAGTTTGGGAGTTGTAGTTCACCTATATACAGAGAGCACTGTGAACTCAAACAATAGGACCAAACTGGGCATGGATACTCAATATGCCCAAATGTGAACACTGGTGGAGTTTGAGGAAAATAGACATTGAAATTTGGGAGTTGTAGTTGCTGAGATTTATAGTCAATCAAAGAGCATTCTGAATTTCACCAACGATGGAATTGAAATAGACTTTGCACATAGAACCCGCATAACCAAGAGAAAATACTATGTTTTCTGATGGTCTTTGGCGACCCCTCTGACACCCCCTTGCAACCCCTCCAGGGGTCCCAACCCCCAGGTTGAGAAACACTGCTCTAGTAGGGGGATGCCAGTGGATGTTTTATAACCATTGGGTTGGTGCTGAATATTCTTGGGGTGGGGAAGAAATGGCTCCAATTAAAGTTTGATCGCAGAGCATTCTGAGCCCCACCAACGATAGAATTGGGCCAAACTTCCCACATAGAACCCCCATGACCAACAGAATATTGTGTTCTCTGATGGTCTTTGGCAATCTGATGGTCTTTGGCAATCAATTGTTTCTTATATAATAGAGGAAGATTAAGAAGCATCTAGTAGCTATTGGAGACATGGAAAAACAAAAAACAAAAACAAAAACAAGCCAATTAAAGAGCTGAACAAGAGTATGATCAAAAAAATTCATCAAGAGGGGAAAAGAATCTACTATCAACAACATCAAGTAATGTTGAGCATAGGATTCAAACACAGCCACCGTCAGATGCCCCATGAGTCAAGGACACTATAAAGTATTGATAAATGTTAACAGATCTGTGGGACTTGGGCTAATAGATCTTTTCTACTCACCCTGAATTCTTCTAGCATAGGGCCTTCCAACTGTTTCAGATAGGACAAATCAAGTCGGCGCTGGTAGTCTTCTAAATGCTATACATTAGAGAAGAAATGCACCCAAATCAAGTTCATTTGGAAAAAATGAGTTAACTGTGCTAAAGAAGATCAAACAGAAATCCCAGTAGGATCTCTAAGATCACTCCTTCAACAATAATGTTAAAAAGAGTGTTACTTTCTTCTCCTCACCTGCTTGTTTTCTGCTTCTTTGACTGCTTGGTTCACAAAGTTGAGAATCTGTCGACAATGATCGGCGGCTTTCTTCACTTTCTCCTTCTCCCCAGGTTGTTCTAAAAACAAAACAATTACCTTTTAGGATGTGCCAAACAACCTAATGCAAAACAAAACCAGATCTCATCCTGCTCAGTTTTATTTATTTCGTATCAAATGCACTGCATAAATTAGTATAAAACTGATAAAAATAGAAGGAGCACAGACTGTTATATATTTTTTGACCAGAAATGGGCAACACCAATGGCATTGTCTGTAGCCTCCAACAATTCTTCCTCTGTACACGAGGCAGGGCAAAGTGGACAAGCATACAGATGTGGAGTTGTCTGTTCTGCTCCACAGTCACACAAGGTGTGGGATTGTTTTTGGTAGTGCCATTTTGCCAGGTTGCCTTTTGATCTGCCCACTCCACTTCTGAGTCTGTTCAGGGACTTCCAAGTTGCCCAGCTCAGTTGACAATTATTAAAAGAAAAAAACTTTGGAAGGATATTTCGTTTTTGCTAGTGGTCATTAAGTTAGCTTCCACTTATGGCACCCCATACGCTGAAGCTGACTTGATGTCAGTTAACAACAAAATATTGAAACCCACAAGCATGTAGGCAGTTTCAACAGAAAGGAGAAAACCATGAAAATGAACAAAATCTCGCAAGCAGTATATTTTAGAAACTCTAAAATTAGGACAGTAAATAAAGGACAACACTCAGAAACACATGGGAATTCCAGACAAAAAATCAATCAATCAGGGGCAGAACCAGACAAGAATCAATCAATCAAGGCCAGCTAACACCTCCTTAAAAAAAGGATTCCCCCAGGCAGGAAGCAGCCAAGCCTTGAAGCTGCAAGACTTCACACATCACATTCACAGTGATGTGTGGAGTCTAACAAGGTTGTTCTAACAAGCCATGAACACCACACAATATGTTCTAACAAGCCATGAACACCACACAGTATAAAGCTCTGCAAAGAGAAAGTTGCATTATTTTTGTGTTGAAGGCATTCATGGTCGGAATCACTGGGTTGCTGAGAGTTTTCCGGGCTATCTCTCCTGACATTTCACCCACATCTATGGCAGGCATACTCAGAGATTGAGGAGTCTGTTGGAAACAAGGAAAATTGGGTTTATATATCTGTGGAATGTCCAGGGTAGGAGAAAGAACTCTTGTCTGTTTGAGGCAAGTGTGAATGTTGCAATAGATCACCTTGATTAGTACTGAACAGCCTATATAAAGAACAACATTCAAAAACATGGAAAATCCAGACAAGAATCAATCAATCAGGGACAGAACCAGACAAGGATCAATCAATCAGGGCCAGCTAACACCTCCTAACAATTTTTTAAAATTTATTTCCAACATTTATATGCCGCTCTTCTCACCCCAAAGGGGACTCAGAGCGCCTTACAAGATACATACATACATACATACATACATACACACAATACATTATACCATGAGCACAGTACAATATCAGCGCTATACATCACTATATTGTACTATACAATTATATTGTAATATTATTAGTAATATTACATATAATATAAAATATATAATTATAATATCATATTATTATATGATACCAAGTTTGCAAAATTTGTGTTGTTTTTTTATCTGTTTGTTTGTTTTGTTCTGTTAGAAATGTAATACAATGTTCTGGTTGCGGATGACACGATAAATAAAATAAAATAAATATTATTATTATTGTTATATTTATTTATTTATTTATTTATTTATTATTTGCACTTGTTAACCGCCACTCTCAGCCCGGGGGCGACTCGTGGCGGTGTACAAAACATAGAACATAGAAAGACAACAGTTTACAATAAATCGAGACCATAACACAACATCTCACGAGTACACAACTAATTAAACTAAAAATCCGCTTCGTCTTGTTTGGGGTCATAACCAGTCTCATAGTCATGGTCCATTCCGGTGGTCATTCCAAAAACATAGCACTTAATTGAAGGCCTTTTCGAAGAGCCAGGTTTTCAGGCCCTTGCGGAAGGCCTGAATTATACTGTATTACATAATAATATTATAAGTATTATATGTCTATATATTATATTATATTATACAAAAGATTCTCCCAGGCAGGAAGCAGCCAAGCCTTGAAGCTGCAAGGCTTCACACTTCACATTCACACTTGCCTCAAACAGACAGGAGTTCTTTCTCCCACCTGGACATTATTCCATAGATATATAATCCCCACTTGAATAGTTTCCAACAAACCTCACAACCTCTGAGGATGCCTGCCATAGATGTGGGCAAAACATAGGGAGAGAATGCTTCTGGAACATGGCCATGCAGCCTGGAAAACTCACAGTAACCCAACAAAATATCCTTTCAAAATATTGTTCTTTTAATGGGAGATCACAACTGCATACTGCCCTCCACAGCCCTGCTCAGGTCATGCAAACATTAATAAATCTGCTATTAATTCTGGAATATGGTTTCCCCTTTTCCTACTGCCTTCCACTTTACCAAGCATTATCAACAATGCTATTGTCATGTGATGCCATTTTATGATACAGCCAAAGTAGAAAGTCTCAGTTTGCTCATTCTAGAGAGTTTGGGCATGATCTATTTATTTACAGTATTTATATTCCACCCTTCTCACCCCAGAGGGGCCTCAGGGTGGATTACAATGTACATATACATGGCAAACATTCAATGCCATCGACACACAACATATATAGACAGACACACAGAGGCTATTTAACATTCCAGTTTTTTCATGAGGGTATTCTGGACACCAGGGGAGCTGTCACTTCACTGTCCATTTGTGACACTGATGAAGTACTTTCTCATTCTTTGCATGCTTGCTGGAGATTTTTATGGTGTCGTAAATTAGCCTCCCTGCATTAGCAGTACCTAAATTTCCTACTTGACAGATGCAACTGTCTTTTGGGCTGCAAAGGTCGGCAGCAAGCTACACAAAAAGCTCACTCTGACCCGGGCTGGCTTCGAACTCATGACCTTTTGATCTACTCTAGGAATGATCCACTAGACCCTTTGGCAATCCACAGAACTCTCCCCGAAATGGAATAGATTCTTTTTCTCTCTGTTTTTTCACTGCCCAGCTTTCAAAACCATATACACAAAACAGAAATATGATGTCATGGAGAGAAAAGATATACGGCTGTCTTATTTATTGTGGCTCCTTCCCTTGTCACAGTCTGAAGTCATGAAGTCTGGAAACAAATCATTTTTTTCTGTTGGCAAACATCTTGCTTGCTTGAAACAATGCTTCACAGCTGCTTCTACAATAATAACATTGGATGGAGGTACATCTGGATTTATTAATAGATCTGTAAGTGATTAGCAAAGATTCTGGAGATCCAACTGTTTAAGAATGGTAGCAGTAAAATGACTCTCCCTCCCTCCCTCCCTCCCTCCCTCCCTCTCTGCCTACGCTGTATTGCTAAAATGAAGTACGCATTGGGTAAGCATGAATGGAATTTTGCTTGGAAGGAGTATGACCTGTCATTCATTTCTGGTATTCAGAATAAATTCCTGGGTCTGGATTTTTGACTTCATGTTTTGTTTTTGTTTTTTGCATAAGAATCTGGTTGTTGTATATTGGAGTTCTAAGGGCAAAAGATGTAGAGTTTAGTGCCACAGAATAGCAGCACAACAGTGCCAAAAAAGCCAACGGGATTTTGGCCTGCATAAATAGGAGTCTAGTGTCTAGATCCAGGAAAGTCATGCTACCCATGCTCTATTCCGCCTTGGTTAGACCACATCTGGAATAGTGTCCAATTCTGGGCACCACAATTGAAGGGAGATATTGACAAGCTGGAATGTGTCCAGAGGAGGGCAACTAAAATGAGCAAGGGTCTGTAGAACATGCCCTATGAGGAGCAGCTTAAAGAGCTGGACATGTTTAGCCTGCAAAAGAGAAGGCTGAGAGGAGACATGATAGCCATGTATAAATATGTGAGAGGAAGTCATAAGGAGAAGGGAGCAAGCTTATTTTCTGCTTTCCTGGAGACTAGGACATGGAACAATGGCTTCAAACTACAAGAAAGGAGATTCCATCTGAACATTAGGAAGAACTTCCTGACTGTGAGAGCTGTTCAGCAGTGGAACTCTCTTCCCCGGAGTGTGGTGGAGGCTCCTTCTTTTGAGGCTTTCAAAGAGACGCTTGATGGCCATCTGTCGGGGGTGCTTTGAATGCAATTTTCCTGCTTCTTAGCGGGGGGTTGGACTGGACGGCCCACCAGGTCTCTTCCAACTCAATGATTCTATGATTCTAATCACCTCCCAACAAAGGATTCCCCCAGGCAGGAAACAGCCAAGCTTTGAAGCTGCAAGGCTATTCAATGCTAATCAAGGTGGCCTATTGCAACATCCACACTTGCCTCCAACAGGCAAGAATTCTTTCTCCCACCTTGAACATTCCACATATATAGAAACCCTACTTGCCTAGTTTCCAACAGACCTCACAACCTCTGAGGATGTCTGCCATAGAGGTGGGTGAAATATCAGGAGAGAATGCTTCTGAAATATAGCCATATGCCTGGAAATCTCACAGCAACCCATTGCATTATTTTATTTTTACTGTATTTAACACTACGACACTTTAAAACAGTTTACTCATTTTTCCTACTAAGTCCTCTCCACCAAGAGAAAGACAAGGGGCAGTTTAAAGGGTTGCAGCAGTAAATAGGCAAAGACAGTAACTGGCACTCTGTAACACCATAAATGATAGCAACAGGGTTCTCTATGAAACACTCAATTGTTCTTTGCAACTGTCAAAACATCACCCTCCCACCGACAGAAAGAGCCCCATAATACCTGAGTACTTTGCAATATTATCCAGCAGAAGGGGATATTTGGTCAACCTCTGCATCTCGGTGGGAATTATGTCTTTTAGCTGCAGTCGGCGACAGAGTGGGTTGCTTTCCGCGTCCTAAATTTAAACAGTATAATAACAGTGTTTGTCATTTTTATTAAGACTATAATTACCTGAATGGGCCCCATCTATTCATCATATTAATGTCTTGCTGGTTCACATTACTAGCAATTAAACACAAGTCAGGGAATGGCCAAGATTTATCAGGCAGGTAATGCAGTCCTGTGGTTATTGGGCAATTACATGGAGAAAAGCCTCGCTGCAAAAACTGGCGGCAACTTCCTTCCTTTATGATTTCATACAGACTTGATAGCATTAGCAATCGATCTCAGTCAGTATTTTTATTTATCGTGTCAGGAGCCAACCAAACAGTTGTATTGCATTAAAACAAACAAATAAACAAAACACAAAGTCAGTGACCTTGGAGGAGACGTCTTAGTATTTTGTGTTATGAAGAGACTTCAGAACTCGAGCTGTTTCCAAATGACCAGAAACCCAGCCCAATTTGAAAAGCAATTCCCTTGTCTAGCAGGGCTTATAGTCTGTTTTGAACCTGGTTTAGGGCAGGAGGGTTTCAATTCTGTGTGCAATTAAAAGAGAGGGCATTTTTCACTTCCAAACCCTGGGAGCGCCAAGTGGCGCAGTGGGTTAAACCCTTGTACGAGCAGGACTGAAGACTGACAAGTTAGAGGTTCAAATCTAGGGAGAGTGCGGATGAGCTCCCTCTGTCAGCTCCAGCTCTCCATGGAGGGACATGAGAGAAGCCTCTCATAAGGATGGTAAAACATCAACAGTTTTGTTCCCAGAGTATATTTCCCCACCTGTATGAAGGTCTATATTTATGACCCCGCTCCTTTATGAGTTTCTCCCCCGCAAAAAATCTACTCCATCCCTATCTCATCCTGGTTTTAGGATTTTTAGTATCTTAGTTTTTATCTTGCACATGCGGCCCGCTCATTGTTATGTTATGTTATTTTACTGTGTATGATTTTGCTTTATTGTCTTTGTACTCATATGATGTATGTATTTTACTGTGTTGTTATTGTGTTTTGATTTTACTTTATTGTAATATGCTGTTGGGCTTGGCCTCATGTAAGCCGTCCCGAGTCCCCATTGGAGAGATGGTGGCAGGGTATTAAAGATGATGATGATTATATATTGGGGAAAAATACACAAGCACACCCCAAAAAAATTAAAACTAAAGTTTAAGTTAAAACCAGAATACTATTTATTAAACCTAACAGATTTCCAGATAGAAAAAAATAAAGATAAAATATACTTTTATTTAACTTCTGCAGCAAGAACACTACCAGCACAGAAATGGCATGAGAAGGACTCCCAACAACTGACTCATGGTTTGCCAAACTTATAGACTATATGGACATGGATTCCCTAACGTTCCTGCTTCAAGACCAGATGGAGAGACAAAAAATAGATTGGACACTGCTGAAAGAATATCTCCAAACAATGAAACTTATAAATTTTGTACAGAGAGTAGTACTGACATGAGGCATGTTAACAAGAAAACAGAGGAAAGAAAGAAAATCAAATTTAAACAAATAGATAAATAACCAATTCAAATTTTAATAGAGAAAAGAAAAAATGGTGAAAGCTGTGAGCAAGTTCAGAAGAAGAAGGAGGAGGAGGAGGAGAAGGAGGAGGAGGAGGAGGAGAAGAAAAACAGGAAAAAGGAAATTAAACTCCCCGTGGAATGGACCGGAAGACACCATTACCCCCAATCCTTATGTATCATCCCCATTTCTCTTCTTGTCTTTTTCTTTTTATATTATTCTTTTTTCACCTCCTCTTTCTTTCCTTTTCTCCCTTACCTAACCTCCTACCCACTCTATCCCAAATTCTTTTAATGTAAATAATGAAAGTCATTGCAATAAAGATAATTAACAAAAAAAGGATGGTAAAACATCAAAACATCTGGGTGTCCCCTGGGCAATGTCCTTGCATACGGCCAATTCTCTCACACCAGAAGCAACATGAAAAAAAAAAAACAAAACAAAACTCCCAAGCCCACTGTAACTCACAGTGGGACCAGAAGTTTGATTTTTGGCTGAATTTGTGTTTTGGGATATGTAGGGGCACACTTTGGGGGCAAAACCTTCACATTCTGAAGATTTTGGCTATTTTTGACCAAAATATTAATGGACCTTTTATGTGAGGAGGGCGTGGAGTTTTTGGTGGGCCTCAGGGCAACACTTTTACCATTCCTACCTTAAAGACATCAGCCAAGTTATAATCCCTAAATGAATACGTTGTCCAGAATTCCTTATTTTACCATCAAATGCCATCTCTGCTAGTCTTTTCCTACCACTCAGAAGGACTTACCTGGACAAAGGTTTGGAAGCGAGAGTCCTTCTTCTGCCGCGACTTGATCACTTCTAGAGCAAAGGGCTGGTTGCTACAGAAGGTGGCAGTGGCTTGCTTCAATTTATCTTCCCCTGCTCCACTGAACTGAGGAAATAAACCAGGAGACCAAAAATTACAAAAGGCCAAACACTTCCCAACAGAAGCCATGGCATGGATTATTATTCTAACAGCAAAGTCAACACTAAGGGCAAAGAGGTATCCAAAATAAGGCTAGCTAATATCTCAGAAGAACATCCTTTAGGCTTTACCACTACTTGTCTCCCCCCACCCCATCTAAAATGTCTACATCAGGGATTCAGATTATGCTTTAAGTTTCTCATCCTTGCAAAGAACGATTCTTACTGAACTCTCCAGGATTTGGCAAATGACAATATATAAAGTAATGTATGTTCCGCCAAAATGGATACAGCTCAGCTTTGAGTGGAATTGAGCACCAGGACTGTGGCACAGCTGTCTGGGAGTCAGCTGCATCAAGATCACTACTAACCAAAAGGTCATGAGTTTGAAGCCAGCCCAGGTCGGAGTGAGTGTCTGACCAATTTGCGTAGCTTGCTGTTGACCTTTGCAGCCTGAAAGACAGTTGCATCTGTCAAGTAGGAAATGTAGGTACCGCCTATGCGAGGAGGCTAATTTAACTAATTTACGATGCCATAAAACTCTCCAGCAGTGTGCAAAAGAATGAGGAAGTACTCTATCAGTGTTACAAGTGGATGTTGAAGTGACAGCTCCCCCGTTGGCCGGAATACAAAAAGCATACCCTCATGAAGCTGGAAAGTTAAATAGCCTCTATGTCTCTGACTATTTACAATGCCATTAAAATCTCGAGCAAGTCTGCAAAGAATGAGGAAGTACTTCATCAGTGTCACAAATGGTCGGTGAAGCAACAGCTCCCCTGGTGGCCAGAATACCCTCATGAAAAGTTAAATTGTCTCTGTGTCTGTCTATATATGTTGTGTGTCTATGTCATTGAATGTTTGCCATGTATATGTACATTGTAATTTGTCCTGAGCCCCCTGCGGGGTGAGAAGGGTGGAATATAAATACTGTAAATAATAAATAAATAAATTGTGTGGAACTTAAGAGGAAATATAGCAAACCGAATGTCTTTACTACTGCATATACACCTTAGCGTTTGTAGTATGTAATGTCAAAGCATGTATATGCTTGGGATTCGGAATCTGAAATTTGCTGGAATTAGCAATCTTCCAAGCCTTCACTATTTGTTTGTTAATGTATATATTTGCCAACCTGTATTGAATGTATATGTTGATTTGCCAGTTTGACTGTATCTCTTTGGTGTGGGAGGGGCTACACACATGTGATTGTACTGATTGTTCAGACTCAAGGCTCCAATTTTATTTATCAGTATGCTTTTGGACGTCAATGGGAGCAGAGGTCATTTGGACTTATACAGAAATAGTTTACTATATGTTTGAGAAGCAGTGAGTACAATTATCCAGTTTGGATTCAAGACTCCATTTTGTTATCAGTATGCTTTTGGACTTCAATGTTAGCAGTTCGCTTTAGACCTCAGTGGAGGTGGATGCAGTATGCTTTTGGACTTCAACGGAAGCAGATGTCATTTGGACTTACACAGGAACAGTTTACTATATGTCTGCTTTGAGAAGCAGTGAGTACAATTATACAGTCTGGACTTTTATAACATGTATATTTAAAGACTTTGGACTATGGACTATTGATTAAGAATGATTCCCTGTGTTCCCAGCACAGCAAAACTTATCTATAACTGAACTTTAATAAGAAATGTGCCTGTATGGTGAATTCATACAAGAGGTTTGTAAGTAAACAAGATGTGTTATTTTTCAAAGAAAACTTTGTTTTTTTGTCTCTTGAGTGCGTATTTTAAACTAAATAGTTTCAAGGGAGAGTATATGTTTTGGGCAACTGCAACCTCAATTTCAACTTCAAAGAAACATCTTTAAAACTCTGCTACCCAAATATATTTTTGTGCCGTGGCATGTCTTTGTCCCAGGCAGTTCAAAGACATGGTTTATCAGTTGAAGAGCCAAGCTACCTGTGTGCCATTACATGAATGCTTGTGAACATTACTTGTTCAAAGGGTTGACTCGCAATCCCACCTGCATCGCAAGCACGACTGGTGGGGACAAGGGACAGGGCCTTCTCTGTGGTGGCCCCTCGACTCTGGAATTCACTCCCCAAGGATATCAGGCATGCCCTGAGGCTGGCAGTCTTTAGGAGGAGTTTGAAAATGTGGCTGTTCCAGTGTGCCTTCCCAGAATAGGAAACCCCAAAGCACTTTGTCCCAAACTTTACTAGAAATCTAGGATTGTCTGCGCGCCCTATCTTCTCCAAAAATATCTATCCATTTCATCCAGTCATGCTCAGCTTTTAATTTTTTTAATCCATTACAACTGGCTCTGACACTGATTTTAAATTGCGTCGTACTGTTTAATGTCTGTTGCTTGAGTTATTTATTGATGTATTGTTGTGTTGTTTATTGATGTATTGGGTCTCGGCCTCTTGTACGCCCCACCAAGTCCTTCGGGAGATGGTAGCGGGTTATAAATAAAGGTTTATTATTATTATTATTGACTTCAAACAAGGTTATGCCTTTTCTTGACAAGTGGCTTTCAAAAGGTGGTCTCCAGATGTTCATGAAGATTCACATTTGCCAAAAGGATATGACATCATTTTTCCTTTTCAAAAAGGCTAAGAATGCAATTTTCCCCAAAAGAATTAAGTTTAAGTGAAACATGTACCACATGCCGTGTTCACTTCATCTTCCATAACTATGGCTCTGCAAGACTACATTTATTTAAGAAATAGGAATTTCTGAGACAATAGATCTGAGACAATACAAATTGGCAAGGCTGACCTGTGGCCTGCTTTGCTTTTTTCACTTCAACCTTTGGTTTCTTGAAACATTTTACTATTTTGGAAAGAAAAAGCAAATTCAAGCAGTTCATTTACCCAAGTTAACAAGTCCTCTCCAATTTGATCAATGACAGACGTCTCATTCCGTTTCCTCACTGCTTTCATCTGCTCGTTCAATCCAGCTACACAAAAAAAGAAAAGGGATACAATTACTACCTGGTTTGGAACTACTGAAGGAATAGCATTGTAAAGCTACTATCACCAATTTGTAACGAAGCCGCTAATTTGCGAAGAGCCGCCACCAAATTGCGAAGAGGTGCTTAGGTTTAGGAGAGAGGAGCCACCGATTTGTAAAAAGCTCTGGTATTAATACCACTGGATGCCACCCTATTTGTGTTGTGAGGTAATTTTGTATGATTGGGTACACCGAACGTAGGATTAATGGAGATGAGGCAGTTTTAAAAACAAAAGAGAACAAGTTTATTTTGTAACAAAGCGTATGGTTGCAGTTTGATGTTAAGCTTGGCAAATACTTGGAGAACGTTACATGTAACTTGGTTGCGATACAGTTCAGACTTCCGATGTTACAACTTATAAAACTCTTGCTGTGGTGAGCACTTCATTAAACAATGTTTTCTGTGGTGAATAGTCTCCCTGTTTGATTCTTCTGTGATCAAACACCAGATCTCTAGTTCTTTTAACTAGTGATCTAAACAAGCCTCTGTTAGTTCTTTCTAACTAAAGAAACTAATAAGGTTTTCCCCTTCAGCTTTCCTAACTGAAGAAATCTCTGACTATTCACGAACACTGTTTCTCTACTTCCCACTTTCTCTCTACATGACTGTTCACTCCTCCTAACCTAACTCTTCACTCCTCTGAGCCTAAAAACTGACTGACTCTTAACTGTCGCTTTTCAAAAAAAACTCTTCTCTAAGCTCCTCCCACTCCTCTGCAGCATCGTTTCCATGGTAACACACTCCTCACAGCTAGGCCGCTCCAGCCTTAGGGCAACCAATGCAAACACAAATACAGTTATAATCATATTATTATAATCACTTCTGTACAAGCATCAACCCAGTCTTACTTGAAGAGCCAGAGAGCAATATACTTCAATCAAAGTGCCAAAGTTAACTTGGAGGTCACAAACTCAGTTTGCCTAGCAGTCCATTTAAAACAAATGAGGTAATTGGGAAAAAGTGTTCTGCAGTCAGCATGTATCTAAGTACTAGCTGTTAGTTTACAGAATGTTTCAAGAGCAATACACAGCTGTTAATCTCAAACAGATTGGTGCAATCAGACAAGAAAACCATATATTTCACCACTGTCATTTATAAAAGCAAAACTCGGGTACCGCCCCTCACCATGGAGTTGAAGGATATCCTCCAAGTTTGAAAATATCTTCCGCAATTCCGAGTGAGGCAAGATCCCTTCACGAGACACACGCTGATAGAAGACCTGGTCCAGAACCTTCAGTGTACGGACGTGAGCACGCTCAGTGTAAAATAATTCTGGAAATCAGTAAAAGAAACAGAAAGTCTATCAGATGGCCTTGGCATAATGTAGTTGTACAAAAGTTGGGAAGGAAGTAAACAGTTTAGCATCTGGAGAATCCAATTTGTCAGACAGTCAGTGAAAGGGATTTGAGCCATTTCAGGAAAATGTCGATTTGTGGGGTCAACAACGTAAGTCTGTGGAAAAAATCCCCATTGATTTGAAGGATGTGAACAAAAAGAAGTGATACGCTGCTTGGCCAAACGACTGGATAAGAAACAAAAGATGTATGAATGTTGTTTATGAGCCAAATGGTTTAAAAATCTGCATGTCAATTCTGGTTGAAGAGAAAGTCAGTACTGAAGTATGGTAAAGATAAAATAGCCCATGTATAAAAATGGAAGCAAAGCTACCCCTTACCATGGTGTGGGAGGGGCTACACACATGTGTTTGTACTGAGCATGTTCAGACTCAAGACTTCATTTTGTTATCTGTATGCTTTCAGACTTCAATGGAAGCAGATGTCATTTGGACTTACACAGGAACAGTTTACTATATGTTTGCTTTGAAAAACAATGAGTACAAATATACAGTTTGGACTTTCGTAAGATGTATACTTAAAGACTTTGGACTATGGATTATTGATTAAGAATGATGGCCTGTGTTCTCGGCACAGAGAAACTACAGCCGATCTATAACTGAACTTTAATACGAAATGTGCCTGTATGATGAATTCATACAAGATGTTTGTAAGTAAACAAGATATTTTATTTTTCAAAGAATTTTTTTTCTAGGTTCTTGTGGGTTTTTTCGGGCTATAGGGCCATGTTCTAGAGGCATTTCTCCTGACATTTTGCCTGCATGTATGGCAAGCATCCTCAGAGGTAGTGAGGTCTGTTGGAATTAGGACAATGGGTTTATATATCTGTGGAATGGCTGGGGTGGGGCAAGGAGCTCTTCCCTGCTGGAGCTAGGTGTGAATGTTTCAACTGATCACCTTCATTAGCATTTGAAGGCCTGGCTGAGCCTGGAAATATCCCCTGTTGAGAGGGTTTTTTTTCTTTCTCTGAGTGCATATTTTAAACTAAGACGTTTCAAGGGAGAGTATATGTTTTGGGCAACTGCAACCTCAATTTCAACTTCAAAGAAACATCTTTAAAACTATCTTTTGTGCAGTGGCATGTCTTTGTCCCTGGCAATTCAAAGCCATGGTTTATCAGTTGAACAGTCAAGTTACCTGTGTGCCATTACATGAATGCTTGAGAACATCACTTGCAAAGGTACCCCTTACCATTAATCACTTCCTGGCGTTTAATCTCAGACGGCTTCAGGCCAAGCAACACCTCGCGGCTCACAAGTTGCTGCCAGTTGGGTGGGTCTGTCTCCATATCAAACTCAAACAGCTCATCTTCGCTCTGGATATCGCCTGCGCCCAAACTGTCCATCCTAGGAAGTAATGTTTAGTGAACTCTCTTTAACATAGGATGGAGAGATGAGATGGAGAAAGCTAGTCATGATAAAATGAACCAGGAACTTGATCAAAACAGCCAAAGAAGTTACGAGTAGAATTATAGAATCCTAGCGTTGGAAGAGACCAGGGGCCATCCAAACCTTCTGCAATGCAGAATAGGCACAATCAAAGCATTCCTGACAGATGGCCATCCAGAATGTTTAAAAGCTTCCTTTTCGAGGCAGAGTTGTATTGTTGAATAGTATTTCTTACAGTCAGGAAGTCCTTCCTAATGTTCAGGGGGATCTCCTTTCCTGTCATTTGAACCCATGGCTCCCCTGAGTCCCTTGTCTTCAAGGCAGCAGAAAACAAGCCTGTTTCCCTCTTCCTTATGACATCCTTTCACATATTGATACATGGCTAGCATGTCTCCGTTCACCCTTCTCTTCTGCAGAATGAACAGACCGAGTTCTTTAAGCCGCTCTTAAGAGGAATTAATTGCCTCCAGATCTTTTTAGTCTCCCTTCTATGGACACCTCACAGTGTAAGAGTCAATAGCCCTCTTGAATGGCTTTGCCCAGAACTGGACACAGGGTTATTCCATGATAGTGCTGGCCAAACCAGAATAGAGAGGCAGCATGACTTCCTTTGATCTAAACACCCAAATGTAGCCCAAAATCCCATTGGCTTTTTTAACTCCTGCGTCACATTGTTGGTTCATGTTCAACTTATGGTTTACTAGGACTCCATGAACTGTAAAATTCAGTAAGTGAAATGCCCTACTCTGATTAATTTTCTGCAATTGTCCTCAGAAGCACTTTATTACCCATTGGGTTGGTCTCCCTACATTATTTTTTAAACCCTCCTGCTTAGATACATCCTACCTCTGTTCACGACCAGTGCTTATTTTAAAAAAAAAAAATTATTACATCTGGCCCGGCCATAAGGTTTTAAATTCTGTGTATTGTTTATATGTGAGTTATATTAATTGTATTGTTTTATTTGCTTGCTGTTTTGTTTTTACTGATGTGTTGTTGGGCTTGGCCTCATGTAAGCCAAGGGAAGATTGTGGCGGGGTATAAATAAAGTTGTTTATTATTATTATTATTATTATTATTATTATTATTATTATTATTATTATTATTATCTCCACAGATAAAAACTCTTGCCAGAAGTTTGCCAGTTATTATAAACATGTTTAATCTTCTTCTAAAAGTTTTGGTGAAGAGATAATAAGACTTGTCTGTGACTCTATAGTTCAACAGAAGTGAAAATCTCTCACTGCATTGTTAGTGTAAATGTGTACGAGTTATGAATGGTTGAAATTATTGGCATTTGAAAATTAGAGATCAAAATTGGCTTGACCTGCAGCATACCATTTGATAAAAAAAATCTATTAAGGTATTTGATATGCAATGATTGCAGCCCCTGGTGGTAAAATGGATTAAACCCTTGTGCCAGCAGGATTGCTGACCGAAAGGTCGGTGGTTTGAATCTGGGGAGTGGGGTGAGCTCCTGTCTGTCAACTCCAGCTTCTCATGCGGCAACACAAGGGAAGCCTCCCATAGAATGGTAACATATCTGGGCGTCCCCTGGGCAACTTCTTTGTAGACGGCCAATTCTCTCACACCAGAAGCGACTTGCAGTTTCTCAAGTCGTTCCTGACACACACACACACACACACAAATGCCATCATTGTGTGTTCCTGCACAACAGAGGGTTGCAGTGGGCAGACCTCTGGTCTCTTGATTCTACTTGAACTGGATAAGGAAATAAATGCCTTTAGACGATACATAGAGTTTATTTTTACCTAATTCATGTCAGAATCCACTTTAAACATCTTTATGATTGTACTTACTTGCGGAAGGATTTCGGTGTTCCTGATTCTGCTAACCTACAAAGCAAATAACATTGTTGTTAAACATTGGTCAATAGCATAAACTAGTTAACCACAAAAGTTATGTCAGGTATATTTCTAATGGAGGAGGAGTGTTTATATATGTTTTAGTATGTTTAAATATGTCTATTTTAAATAATCTTCTTAGGTGAATTTGTGTTTTACAATGTTGTATCCCACCTCAAGCTGTATTATTACACAAGCCAAGTATTTTTCATCAGATATAATTTTAGGTCATTCTAATACGAGTTTTTTGCACCGAATTCAGATCTGTGTTTATTTTTTTCTCTATCATGTGTAGATGAGGCTAATTGAATAATTAATGCATTTACAAACTGATATCAATTAGATTCTATAGATGTCGGTGCGTAAATGCATTAATTATTCAGTTAGCCTCATCTACACATGATAGAGAAAAAAATAAACACAGATCTGAATTCGGTGCAAAAAACTCGTATTAGAATGACCTAAAATTATATCTGATGAAAAATATTTGATGGCGTACTCTTTCCATGTTCCAATTTCTTTCAACTAAGGATATAATAAAAAATAAAATAAAAAAATACTTGCTGGCTTGTGTTACATGAATATGATGTGAAATGTATGTGTTAATGTTTTTTTTTATGTTTTAATGTTTTTATGATGTTGTTGGCATTGAATCGTTGCCTTGTGAACCGTCTCGAATCACCTACGGGCTGAGAGGGGTGGTATACAAATGTAGCAAATAAATAAATAAATAAATAAAATAATGTGCAGACTTTACAGTAGTCCACCGTAACGTACCATTTTTAAAATATTGACATGATGGGAAAAAAATAAATACATATCTGAATTGATTTAAACTGTGCTACTCTCATTTCTGGTGATTACAAAAAGTTTAAATTGTTATTAGCAGCAGCAGTGAGTTCCTCCAATTAAACACTTGGAGAAGAGCTAATAATCCCTCTGGAAAATTAAGTGTGCTACTCATTTCTCCCTCTCACCAAAAGGCTGGTGGCGGCTGCTTTGAGGCGAAGACTTGCCTGTCAAAGTCACCTTCCTCTTCCAACAAATGGTCCAATGGAGGAGATGGGAAATCAAAGATGGTGTTGGTTGTGCGAGGCGTACCGTCCACAGAGTCGCCTGAAGGAGGAGTTTCTCCAACTTGTTTCAAACCTAAAAATATACATATACATACATCTATAAAAATCAAAATGTAATGTTCGTCTTTTGGGATTAATATAACTCAAAAACCACTGGACGAATTGGAATTGAATATGGACACAAGACACCTACTAACCCAAGGAGTGTCTTATCACTCAAAAAAATTGATTTTGTCATTTGAGAGTTGTAGTTGCTGGGATTTATAGTTCACCTACAATCAAAGTTTCTACCAATGATGGAATTGAACCAAAGGTGGCACACAGGACTCCCATGACCAACAGAAAACACTAGAAGGATTTGGTGGGTATTGACGTTGAGTGTGTGAGTTGTAGTTCACCTACATCCAGAGAGCACTGTGGACTCAAACAATGATGGATCTGGACCAAACTTGGCACAAATATTTCATATGCCCAAATATGAACACAGATGGAGTTTGGGGAAAATAGATCTTGACATTTGGGAGTTGTAATTACTGGGATTTACAGTTCGCCTACAATCAAAGAGCATTCTGAACCCTACAAACGATGGGATTGGGGCAAACTTCCCACACAGAATCCCCATGACCAACAGAAAACACTAGAAGGGTTTGGTGGGTATTGACATTGAGTGTTGGAGTTGTAGTTCACTTAAGGCCATCCATTCCAACTCCCTTCACCAGGGCAAGAAAACATAATCAAAGCCCTCCTGACAAAGAGCCATCCAGCCATGGATAGATATGATTCACACACACATACAGAGATATAGTATCATAGATTGGAAAGGGACCCCTAAAGAAGGACAATGATATGTTGCATGTTCCAGAGTAGGCAAACCAGACAATCTCCACATCAACACTGACAAAGAAACAACAAGAAATACTGTTTACCCCCAAGCATCAAGACATTACATATATTAGAAACCAACACTTTCCCATTACTTTATTTTCCAGATCACCAGACTGGGCCACAGCAACGCGTGGCAGGGGACGGCTAGTATATTTATAAAACAGGGCATGAGAATTATAGCAATATTTTTCCAACTTTGGAGAATCACACCCATTTTCTTTCACATCAACCCAACCTCATTTTTCTGTGCTTCTTCGTTTCAATGAAGAGTAGTACCAAGAGAACTACTGAAGGACATTTGAGTTGCACATTCAACACCATTTCTAGTGACAACTACTATACATTTTACCTGCTTCGCTATCTTTGTTTCCTTCTTGAGAAGGAGAGGAACCGGCTCCCAGAGGGGACACCAGGTTGGCAGGAGGGTGGGCTGCGTCTGTGCTCTCAATGGAGCCGCTTTGGCGCATCCTGGCAGAGTCTGCTGGCTCCGGACTGACAGAGGAAGAGGAGGATAAGTGCTTCGGATGACGCTGCTTCTGTATTTCCATGGCTCTGCCTACTGGATAGACAAGACATAATCAGTTGGAGAGAGACACTATTCTCAATGAAACCTTTGTTTCTTAGCCGATTCAAAATTATTTGTTACCCAGCTCTCCTTGTCAAGCACTTCAAACAAAATGCATAATAGTCTATTTTAAGCACTATTTCTAAAAGATTCCATCACAGACATTATGCTTTGCACAAATACTAGACCAGAGGGATATATTTATTTATTTGTTTATGGCATTTATATGCTGCCCTTCTCACCCCGAAGGGGACTCAGAGTGGCTTACAAGGTATATATTACATACAATATATTATATTATTAGCATAGTACAATATCAGCATTAAACATTGCTATATTGCACCATACCACTATATCATAATATTATTAATAATATTGCATGACATACTTGCATAACTGTCGTGGCGGCTCGGCCTTCTTGGGGGTCCCAGGATATTGGGGAAGACTCTCCTCTTCTTTTCATCCCCTTCCTTCTCTTTCTTTATGCTTTGCTATTGATGGAAAGGAAAGTCATTGTGAAAGCAGTCCTTCCACAGGCATGTATTCATAAAGAAACTGTTCAGAACCAAATATGTAGGGTGAGAGTTTCCCAATGTCATTCTTGTAGCTCATTGTAGTATACTAATATTTTAAATGTGAAGGGAGGAGGAGACTGGCACAAGAATAGGAATGGTCTGCTTGCAACATTTATTGCCTAGAGCAGAAAATGTAGATTGCACATTTTTTTCCCCATTATTCAGTCCCGGGGTTCAATCAATTGGAAATTCCCCCATTAAAATCAACAGGTGCAGAAGCAAAACACATACCAGCAATGCCCTTAACTGATCTCAAAGTATTAGGATGTGGCCCTGACAAGAAATATCGGAAGAAAGTACGAATAAGACAGTATTACTTCTAAGGGACTGATTGTCTGTCTCTCTTTCAGGGGATTTGCAGTGCTGCTGAGTTCTCCTGACCTGTGCAATGCAGAGGGGAGATGTGCTGAAGCCTGCAATGAATCCCTGCCAATTTAGCACTGGAATGGCTAAAGGAAGATTATATTTATTTTATGTAACTTTATTTCTACCCCGCATTTCTCCCCATGAGGACTCAAGGAGGCTTACAATCCCACGACACAACCCAATAAATTTTAAAATATGGCAAACCCCAAAATTAAATACAAAAATTAAATACTGTGTCATAGATTAAGTTAAAACACAGCTAAGATACAAATAAAATACTGGTAGGGTTAAAACTGTATTTAAAACTAAATAACTCCCCAGCAGTGCACACATCATATTCCTCTAAAGGTCCGATGGCAAATACCGTATATTCCAGCATATAAGGCGACTGGGCATATAAGATGACCCCCAACTTTCTGAGTTAAAATATAGAGTTTGAGATATACTCGCCATATAAGACTACCCCTCTTCCCATGCACACCAAATAAAAAAAAATTAAAAGCATCAGATTTGATTTCAATATGGTAATTTTCATTTTACTGAACCTCCTTCTCTGCCTCTCAGATCTCGCACATGTGCACCTGAACCACTTCACTGCAGTTTTCAGGACCAAGATCTGAGAGGCAGAGGAAGAGGTATGCTAATAGGATACAAGGGTGGGCCAGACAGGTAAAAGAGGTGTGTTTTTCTGGGCCCAGAGCCACTCTATCTTTTTTTTGCATACCCTGGGTGCCCCAGACGCCTGCAGCTTGTTCCATCCTTCACTTATACCTTCCCAGTGAGGCGCCCCTTCACCTCAACATCAGGACCGCATTAAGTCCACGAAACCTGATGAATGGATTTTCTTCTACTTTACTTGTACAGCGTCGCCCTTAATGCTTTCATACAGTCGCTGCATATGGCAGGGGCATGGCCACTGCCATTTTTGAGCTCCCCCCACCATATGCGGCAACCACAGATTCTCCAATCTGGATTGGAAATTTCAGCATCCGCTCTATAAGACGATTCCCGGTGTATAAGACAATTCCCGGTGTATAAGACGACTCCTGGCGTATAAGATGACCCCTGACTTTTGAGAAGATTTTCTTGGGTTAAAACGTAGTCTTATACGCCAGAAAATACAGTAAATGTCTGAACTTGTTTGCAAAAAGCCAGCAGGGTCTCTCTTGGGTCTGGGAGGAGCAGTCATCAAAAATATCCTCTCCTCCCTTGTTCCCACCAAACGTGCTTGAGAGGACATGGTCGGACAGGGAGAAGGCCCTCCTTAAAGGATCACAGATTTCTAACAGGTTCATAGAGAGTGATATGGTCCCTCAAATAACTTGGACCCAAGTTGATTATACACCACAGCAGGTGCTAACACTCATTCCAATCAGCCATGCAGAATTCATGTTCCCGAGGAGAACAATCCTTACAAACTTCAGTGTTACTCTTTGCACTCTCATACTGCACAACCTTCACCCCTCCAGCTATTTGGGCTTCCAGTTCCCAGAGGCTTCAGCCAGCTGTTCCAATGGCTAAGAATTCTGGGAGTTGAAGTCCAAGACATCTGGACAGTAACAGGTTGTGCAGACCTGTCTCACATTTTAAAAATGCAGCTTCTCCTACAATATGTGTGGAAAATTAAAGAGGCATTTCACACTGTTAAGAAGACAATGGCAATAGGAATAACTTTTGGCTTGTGTTACAGTGGGTCCACCTGTCAACCTTAGGAGAATTCGGATAAAAGATTACCTTTACCTTGATCTTTGGCAGGAATCCGATCCGTCCCCGCTTCTGATCCAGACTCCGGGGCTCTTTGACTCTCACGCCAAGGTGCTTCATGTAGGTGAGAACGACATACTGTATGCTTGAACTACAGACAAGGTCAGAGAGGAGAAAAAGATATAATTATGTCTAGCCTTACATAGGTAGAACCCTGACACCAGGCAGAAGTGTTTACACTGTTGATGGCTGTCATGGCCAGAATCACTGGGTTGCAGTAATTTTTGGGGCTGTATGGCCATGTTCCAGAAGCATTTTCTCCTGACGTCCAGTTTCCAAAGAGCTTACAACCTCTGAGGATACCTGCCATAGATGCAGGCAAAACATCAGGAGAGAATGCTTCTGGAACATGGCCATACAGCCCAAAAAACGTACAACCCAGTGTTTACACTGTTCATAGACACAGGAAACTGGTTAAAACAATCTCAGTAAAAGGAAGAACTCTTTATTTCTAGCATTTCTAATAATTTCAACAGAAAATATCTGTTATAATCTAATTGTTACAAAATCTGTGAAAGTAAATGAAAATTCAAATTGAGCAAACTCAGTATAATGCAAATCAAACCTATTTAAGCCACACTTCACTGAAAATGAAAAAAAAAATCAAAAGCAAAACATCTTCCCAGTGAACACTGCATAAAATTTGAATACCGGAAATCCCAAAATCAATTCCTGGTATCTCTCTCTTCAAAATCAGAAAGGCCCCCATAAGTCAAAGTAAGTCGGGTCAGTCTGATATTACAGATATTAATATGTAGGAGCTATGAAATTTCCAAAACAGCCAGCAGGGAGCACTCGTTAGCACTTTAAAATCTGTTGCATTACCTCTTTTCTTCTTCTATGGGCTGAGAGGTCATCCTACAAATGAAAATGGAAGAAATCAATCAAAACCAGTTGTATCAATATGTACTCTTGTTCTTCCTAGCCTGTTCTGACAAATGATGAACTGCCTATCTGAAACACTATAAAGGGGCATCCTCAAAGGTTTATTAGGTGTTGGTAATAAAAAAACTGTATGTTGAAATGGGCAGAAAATTTCAAAAGACTGATATCATTGATTGGGAAACAATGTGGAGCAAAAAGCTAAATTACACATACGCAACTGATATAAAAGGATATTGGCTAAAAATGTTCCACAGGTGCTATATCACACCGATAAAATTAAACCACATGTACAAAAACACATCTAAAAACTGTTGGAAATGCAATGATCATGAAGGGAGTTTTTACCATCTCTGGTGGACCTGTAGGGAAGCCCAGAAATACTGGAAAGGGATTCACGAAGAATGCCAACTAATTTTTAAAAAGGAATTTCCAAAAAAAACTCCGGAATATTACTTATTAGGGATTACTGATGAGGAAATAAAACTGGATGCAAATGAAGATATTTTATTCATGTACATGACAAATGCCGCTAGAATAAACTACGCAAAATGTTGGAAGCAGAAGGAAATACTGGAGAAGGATCAATGGATAAAAAAGATAAATGAAATTAAAGATATGGACATATTAACTTTTTTTATTAAACAGGAACACAGGAAATCCGGTTAAACAAACAAACGGGCCACAGGTGGATGAACACATAGAAAAGAGAAGCAAAGAATTATAACTGTGAAATATCATACAATTATAAATCACAATAGCGTACAATTAGAAATCAGGAAGTTCATATAGACAACAAAGTTGAACCCGTGAAAGATTGGAAGGAAGTCACCAGACTTTTTCTTTTACTTTTTTATTTTTCCAGGTTCACTTTCTCCCCCCCTTTCTCTCTCTCTCTCTCTCTCTATATATATATATATATTCTTTTTTCTTCAGTTTTATCTAAAATAATTTTTTGTATATATACTTTATTTTCGGGTTTTGTTTTGTTTTTTTCTGTTTCTTTTTCTTATATAAACATCTCTATCTCACACATCAACGACTTAAATCAAGAAATAGTTTTCTTAGATCTACAGAGGCACTCGCTGGAACACCTCAGCAAGCAAGAGTCCAAAAGTGGCAGGCTCAAACCCAGCACCTCAATCCGTGGGTGATACCAGATGAGAGACTCCCCCCTGGGCACACAGAGGACTGGGCAACTTGGAAGGCGCTGAACAGACTGCGCTCTGGCACCACGAGATGCAGAGCCAACCTTCAGAAATGGGGTTACAAAGTGGAATCCTCGACATGCGAGTGTGGAGAAGAGCAAACCACTGACCACCTGCTGCAATGCAACCTGAGCCCTGCCACATGCACAACGGAGGACCTCCTTGCGGCAATACCAGAGGCACTCCAAGTGGCCAGATACTGGTCAAAGGACATTTAATCAGCTACCAAGTTTGCAAAATTTGTGTTTTTTTAAATCTGTTTGTTTGTTTTGTTCTGTTAGAAATGTAATACAATGTTCTGGTTGCGGATGACACGATAAATAAATCTCTATCTCTTTCTTTTCCTACTCTTCTTCAAAATATTTTGTTCCCCCACTTTACTTGGATAACATATATTTACTTTATACCAAATAATTTTTTTTTAACAAAAGGTTTATTGGGTGCTGGTGATTACAAGTAGAGCTAAAAAGTATCAGGCCCAGGCTGAACCCAGCCCACTAAGCTTTATCTCTAACAGTAGTCATCAAGATGCCTTAAAGGAGTTCATATCCTGGCCAAGACTTTATAATCAGGGATGTGCGCCTAAATTTAACAGTGCCATTCCTAACTAGCAGATAGAAGATTTTAAAGAACAAGTCAGAGAGTACTATGTTTGTAGTCATGAATAACATTACCGTATATACTCAAGTATAAGCTGACTCGACATAAGCCGAGGCACCTAATTTTACCACAAAAAACTGGGAAAACGTATTGGCTCGAAGATAAGCCGAGGGTGAGAAATGCAGAAGCTGCTGGGAAATTTCAAAATAAAAATAGATACCAATAAAATTAAATTAATTGCGCCATCAGTAGGTTATATTTTTTTAATATTTACATAAAACTGTAATTTAAAATAAAACTGTCCAACTCTGATTACAATACTATTCTAACCTTCTTCAATGTAAATGTGCTTACGAATCCTTCCAATAATAATAAAGAGAGTAAAATAATAAATGTAATAAAAATAATAGAGTAAAATAATGGAAATGTAATAAAACTAATAGAGTAGAATAATAAATGTTATAGTGATATTAATAATAATAATACAGTAAAATAATACATAGAGTAATAAAATAGAGTAAAATAAGAAATGAAATAAGAACAATAATAATATATTTATATACTATGTTTACCTGTTTCCTGTACTTATATACTGTGTTTTCTGGGTTGCCAAAGACCATCAGAAAATACCGTATTTTCTGTTGGTCATGGGGTTTTGTTTGGGAAGTTTGGCCCAATTCTATCATTGGTGGGGTTCAGAATGCGCTTTGATTGTAGGTGAACTATAAATCTCAGCAACTACAACTCCCAAATGTCAAGGTCTATTTTCCCCAAACTCCACCAGTGTTCACGTTTGGGCATATTGAGGATTCATGCCATGTTTGGTCCAGATCCATTATTATTTGAGTCCACAGTGCTCTCTAGACGTAGGTGAACTACAACTCCAAAACTCAAGGTCAATGCCCACCAAACCCTTCCAGTATTTTCTGTTGGTCATGGGAGTTCTGTGTGCCAAGTCTGGTTCAATTCCATCGTTGGTGGAGTTCAGAATGCTCTTTGATTGTAGGTTAACTATAAATCCCAAATGACAAAATCCCGACCAGTATTCAAATTTGGGCAAATCGGGTATTTGTGCCAAATTTGGTCCAGTGAATAAAAATACATCCTGCATATCAGATATTTACATTACGATTCGTAACAGTAGCAAAATTACAGTTATGAAGTAGCAGTTAAAATAATTTTATGGTTGGGGGGTCACCACAACAGGAGGAAACCGCCCCCCGAGTCGCCGGAAGGCTGAGAGGGGTGGTATACAAATACAGCAAATAAATAAATAAATAAATAAATAAATACTGTATTAAGGGGTCATAGCATTAGGAAGGTTGAGAACCAGTGCTCTATACAAACATGTTATGGATACTTCTTGTGCCAAACTATCATCCGAAAGAAGTAAGCATCATTCAAGCTAATTCTCTTTGCTAAAACTAAGAGGGAGGTTTATTATTATTATTATTATTATTATTATTATTTAAAACTTTTATATCCCGATCTTCTCAACCTCCGTAGAGGGACTCAGACCGGCTTACAGCAAGGATGCAATGCTAATAGTACAATCTAAAAACATCATATAATAACGGGTTAAAATACATATCGATTAAAATTTCAAATAAGCCAAATTGCCAAGATAAAATCATGTACAACTCAGTCCGTATGTGTTCTGTAGCAGGTTTCAACCATTACTCTGGGAATGTTCCTTCCATAGCTAGGATTTCACCAGCCTCCTGAAGGACAGGAGGGAGGAGACAGATCTGATCTCAATCAGGAGAGAGCTCCATAGCCGAGGGGCCACCGCAGAAAAGGCCCTGTCTCTCGTTCCCACCAGACGTGATTGCGAAAGTGGCGGGACTGAGAGCAGGACCCCACCAGAAGATCTTAATTGTCTTGGTGGTTCATAGGGGAGAATACATACATAACCTAATTCTCTTTGCTAAAACTAAGAGGGAGGTTTAGACTGATTGTGGCCTGAAGAAGCACGTTTCTAACAAAATCTCAATGACAGGATGGTAGTCAAGGTTTAATTCATCATATATTTATCTGCTCTGATTATGAAAGACTAAGAAAGCACACACACACACACAAGACAAACTTACAGCACTTCCTCAATTTTGGTAATGATCTGCTCTGCGCAAATTCTCTCCTTCTCCTGCGTCGTCCGGTCACGGATGCGCTCGGCATCTAACCTGGTCAACTCCCCTTCTGCCAAGGTCAACCCCATGCTGCGTTTCTGTCTGGAACGATAGAAGAGAACTCCTGTAGAGATGGGAGAGCACTGAAGCCATGTTCAGCCACCACTTGGGTCAGCCGATGTGTAACTGCAAGCTATGCCCTGTACACATGCACTACTATCAAAGTACCTAGGCCTAGTCAGGTTGCTTCCAACACACTCTGCTTCATACAGCAGATGGCCACAGAAGCACATTCAAAATCAAAACAGATGGTCCCATCCCTACTTCTACGAAAATGCATACTAACATAAAACCAATTAGTCTTGTAGGTGCTGCCACATTCCTTAGTTCTCCTCCTCCCTTCCTCCTTCTGAAATCATACCACATTTTATCGTTCAATGGCATTAGAGGCACATGATCCATGCACGAACAAAAAAATGTACCTAAAATCTTCAAGATGCTTGGAAACTTCAGGAAGGACTTTCTCTTGCATAGTGTGGATATAGTGGCGGTGCAGTTCTTCGGGAATCAAATCTAAGCGTCTTTTCTCTGCAGGTAAAAAGAGAAACCCTGTTTTCATTGGAAATGAAGCATTTGGCTATGTTTCTGGTTCTCCAGCACAGAAACATTCACTATACAAAAAAATTTCCCCTGACATTAAGTCTAGTTGGTTTCCCACAGTCACAAAATTTTTATTCCTACCTCATCCAGGGTTTTATCATTTTACCTTGTCCTCTGGCCTGCCCATTCTATTTGATTTTATATTTTGTTAATTTGATTGATTTATGTTATTTTGTACTGTATGTATTTTATTCTGATGCAAATTATGTTGTCTGTAGTTTGTATTTTATTTTTGCTGTATTGTACTTTTGGACTTGGCCTCATGTTAGCTACCCCGAGTCCCCTTTGGGGAGATAGTGGCAGGGTATAAATAAAGTGTATTATTATTATTTATTATTATTGTGTCAAACTCTAGGGCAGGGGTCCTCAAACTAGGGCAGGGGTCCTCAAACTAAGGACCGAGGGCCGGATACGGCCCTCCAAGGTCATTTACCTGGCCCTCACTCAGGGTCAACCTAAGTCTGAAACAACTTGAAAACACACAACAACAACAACAACAACAACAGCAACAGCAACAACAACAATCTTATCTCATCAGCCAAAAGCAGGCCCACACTTCCCATTGAAATATTAATAAGTTTATATTTGTTGAAATTGTTCTTCATTTTAATTATTGTATTGTTTTTAAGTGTTTTGCACTACAAATAAAATATATGCAGTATGCATAGAAATTCATGTTTTTTTCAAAATATAATCTGGCCCTCCAACAGTTTGAGGGACTGTGACCTGGCCCTCTGTTTAAAAAGTTTGAGAACCCCTGCTCTAGGGGGTGGTGCTCATCTCCATTTCTAAGGTGAAAAGCTGGCATTGTCAGTAGACACCTCCTAGGTCACGTGGCCAGCATGACTGCATGAAGCACCATTACATTCCCACTGGAGTGATACCTATTGATCTACTCACATTTGCATGTTTTTGAACTGCTAGATTGGCAGAAGCTGGGGCTAACAATGGGAGCTCACCCCTTCCCCAGATTCAAATCACCAACCTTTTGGTCAGCAAGTTCAGCAGCTCAGCGGTTTAACCCACTGCATCAACAGGGGCCCCTCTAAACCATATAGTCAACACCAAATGTCAACAGGCTTTAAAACATTTTACAGTGGGCCACTATATCCAATGGCAATTGGTTCTGCAGATAGGAAAAAATGGATGATCCAACCTATACTATTTTTTATAACTGTTTATTTTCCTTAATATAGAATCAAACACAACAGGGAATTAAGGGCATTGGGAAACAAAATCAAAGAGAAGAAAAAGGAGATAATAACAAAAAAGGAAAAAAGAATTCACACACACATATAAAGGTAAAGGGTTCCCCCTGACATTAAGTCCAGTCATGTCTGACTCTGGGGTGTGGTGCTCATCTCCATTTCTAAGCCGAAGAGCCAGCGTTGTCCATAGACACCTCCAAGGTCATGTGGCCGGCATGACTGCATGGAGCGCCGTTACCTTCCCGCCGGAGCGGTACCTATTGATCTACTCACATTTGCATGTTTTCGAACTGCTAGGTTGGCAGAAGCTAGGGCTGACAGCGGAAGCTCACGCCGCTCCCCAGGAACACACACATATATATACCCCAAAAATACATCAACACTACAGTAAAATTCAAATTCAAATACATATATATTTACATATTGACTTCCATCTACTTCCAAGCTATACTATTGATTGTAAGATTTTTTGGCAAAGGTTTTTTTTTTCCCCAGTGGAGGTTTACTATTGTCTTTCTTTAAGGCTGTGAGAGTAGGATTTGCCCAAGATCACTTGGTGGGCTTCCATGGCTGAGTGGGGATTTCAACCATGGTTTCCTGAGAACAATACTCAAACCACTATATTACACCAGCGCTTATATGCTGAAGAATACCGTTCCATAATTACAATAAAACCTCCATGTCCAGGAGATTGGTAACTGCGATTTCACCTATCCACGTCCAAAAAAATTATGTTCTTTCTAGACATTTTCTAGGTACTCCAGCATGACTCTATATTATAATAACAAAATATAAGAATAATATAACTTCTGCTAGAAGTTGACCATAAAGTTGTGTTTGTCAGCAAGTTCAGCAGCTCAGCGGTTTAACCCGTTGCACCACCGAGGGCTCCCACATTATACAAACATCGCATTATACAAGCACCAACTTAATTTCTGTCTCCACCCTAAACAAACTATGTGATAATAAAACAGGAATGAGCAAAATATAATCTCCCTCCCAAATTATATTCCTGAAAGAGAGGAATTTCTCAAGAAGCATTATCTTTGCAAGACAATCTTACCTAAATCTACAGAAATTTCATCTGGGACTGGAACCTTCAGATTCTGCAACAAAAAAGGAACAAGAGTTTAGAAAATATAAATAAAATATTTTTTCTGCATTAATTAGAGAGAGGGAAAGACACTCCCTTCATCTCAGTGATATCCTTCACATCAGTGATACTGAACTGCATATATTAGTGTTTATGTATATGCATGCACAGTAAATGTATGCAAGCATATAATGTCAGGCATACAACTCTTTCCATGCATAGTTTGGTCTTTCAATATTTATGAAAATTAAGCGGAACTAAAAATCAACCAAATTAAAATAAAACAAAAACAAAAAATATAACACAGAGTTTTGCATTTTGATGACTTCCAGTTTTTGACAGCGCTCCTTAACTTGTAAAGGAACTCCAATTCAAAAAATTAATCTACCTTGGAAATACGAGGAATTACATATTCTCTGCCCAAATGCATTTATAGGTCTACAGACGGTTTCGTATATTTTAGTCTAACTGCAAAGATGTGTCTCCTGATAGCATCAAACTTAGAAAATAATACACTAGTTGTAATTAGTTACATATATATGGTATATAGACACACAGAAAGACAAACTGCATGTATGCTTTGAAACTTACTGCAGATTTATCCAAGAAAAACTGGTTGAACTCAGCAAAGACACGACGAGTCTCTTTGGAGTTGGTTTGTTTGTAAAGGTCAGCAAAAAGGTAGCAAAGCTATGGAAATAATTTAAAAAAGAATACATATCAAGGAAAGTACACATTTCTAGCTTTCAGCATTTCTTCCAGGTTTCCAAGGGATGATATTTCCTTAGAGAGCACTAGTTAGGGCCAGAATCATGTAACAATTTGGATGCTAATTTAAATACATTATGTGTTGCATTAATTTTCTTATTTGAGTTTCTGTTTCCCTTCTCACTGTAAAAGGCTACTATTGCACTGCTTCCATCTGAATCTGATGATCACGCCATCACCGCTTAAGCAGGAAGCTTTGAAATGGTTGAACAGAAGCTCTCCGAAGCTTTAGGTGCTCTTACTGCCTATTACAGGGAAAACCAGCTGATTCCTGATCAATCTAAAATGCAGACGTGTGCTTTTCACCTTAAGAACAGACAAGTATCTCAAGCTCTGAGGATCACTTGGGAAGGAATTCCACTGGTGCATTGCAGCACACCAAAATACCTGGGAGTCACTCTGAACCGTGCTCAGATTTACAAGAAACACTGCTTGGATATTAAGCAAAATTTGGTGCTAGAAATAATATCTTATGAAAGCTGAATGGCACAACCTGTGGATCACAACCAGACACAGTGAAGACATCTGCCCTTGTGCTTTGCAACAGTGCTGCTGAATATCCATGCCCAGTGTGGAAAACATCTCACCATACTAAAACAATGAATGTGGCTCTTAATGAGACATTCCGCAATATCACATTATCTCTAGGCCCCACACTACTGGAGAAATTACACTGTTTAGCTGGGAAGTAACAGCCAGCAATGAAAGGAGTAAGGCATTGACAACTCCAGCCCATCCTCTGTTTGAATATCAGCCAGCATGCCAATGCCTTAAATAAAAAAACAGTTTCCTAAGATCTACAGAGATACTGGCAGGAACACCACAGCAAGCAAGAGTCCAAAACTGGAAGGCTAAAACCCAGCACCTCAATCAGTAGCTATGACCGGATGAGAAACTCCCTTCTGGTCACACAAAAGAGTGGACGACCTGGAAGGTGCTTAACAAACTGCACTCTGGCACAAACATGATGGAGAGCTATCCTTAAGAAATGGAATTACGAAGTGGAGTCCATGACATGCAAGTGTGGAGAAGAACAAACCACAGACCATCCACTACAATGCAGCCTGAGCCCTGCCACATGACACAATGAAGGGCCTTTTTATAGCAACACCAGAGGCACTCCGAGTGGCCAGCTACTGGTCAAAGGACATTTCTTATAATGCCAAGTTTTAAAACTTTGTTTGTGTTTTTTAAAACGTTACAACTGTACCCTCAACTCACTGCTGACACAATAAATAGATCTGAATCTTTACTACTAAATCTGTGCTGTGAAACTACCAGCAAGCTTACCAAAGAAGCTGGGTCAAATTGCGACACGACGTGATGCAGAAAGACAGCCAGGTGAGCGGGGCGGGACTTGAGCAACTCAATGTTTTGGAAACAGCTGCACTGCCCATTGATCTGAACAGACAAAAAAAAGAATAGTTATCAGGACTAGCACTCTGAATTTTTGCTGCCTTCAGTCCCATTTGAAGTGCACAAGCTTGCTTCCCATTATTTTCTAGTGCTATGAGTCAAATAAGCTAAGGAATTCAACTAAGCTTCAGTATGTTCACAAGGTAAAAGTAAAGGTTTCCTCTTCACATTAAGTCTTGTAGAGTTCGACTCTGGGGAGTGGTGCTCAGCTCCATTTCTAAGCCAAAGAGCCAGTGTTGTCCGTAGAAACCTCCTAGGTCATGTGGCCAGCATGAATGCATGGAGCGACGTTACCTTCCTTCCAAAGTGGTACCTATCGATCTACTCGTATTTGCATGTTTTCGAACTGCTAAGTTGGCAGAAGCTGGGGCTAGCAATAGGAGCTCATCCCATCCCGTGGATACAAACCGCTAACCTTCTGATCAGCAAGTTCTGCAGCTTAGTGGTTTAACCCGCTGCGACACTGTGGCCCCATATGTTCATAACTTAAGTGTAAAGAAAAAAATGTTCTCCAAATATATTCTCTAATTTAAAACACAGTGAACCAATGGTCAAGGTCAACAATATCAAACATTCCCCTAACACATTTAAATCTAATTTTCCTGAAGAGGAAATCATTTCCCATTCCAACTTAAAAGGAGAGATCTGTTACTCAAGCAGAGATTGATAATCCTCTCACAACTCTTGTGTTACAACCATAAAGGGGATATTTGAATTTGTACCTGTTCCTGTTCACCATCAAAATCATCATCCTCTGCTCCGATGATTGGGGGTGCCATGCGAGACGAGGGGCTTCCGATACTAGATTGGGAGTCCTAGATTGTTGGATGAATAAACAAGAAAAAAAATCAAAGCCTTTACTTTTTGCAGAAAGCAGATAAAACAAATTCCCCTCCCCAGGATGTGTAAGCTGATAATTAAGACCAGAATAAAAGCAAGAAGGCATTAATTGGCATGTTTGTCCTTTATACTGCTTGCTTTATCCCATGTTACCCACGCTTCAAGGTCTTGCAAACAAAAATTACTGGCAGCAACAGAAAAACACAATTTCCAGTGTTTTCTGGGAGGAAATCAGATGCCTCTGCTTGAATGGAGCAAGGTGTCGTTGAAATAAGTGTGGGCCATGACCTCTTTACACATGGAGCTATTTTGAAGAAAGAATATAAACTCCACAATAGGTAAAAATAATATGTTTCCAGGGACTGCTTTGTGGGACAAAGACATGCCAGTTCCTATACATTTAACATGCATTCCCAGCACTCTTTTTCATGGAGACCCCCCCCCCCCCACACACACACAGCAAACAAACCAGTAAGTGGGTTGCTATGACTTTTCTGGGCTGCCTGGCCATGTTCCAGAAGCATTCTCTCCTGATATTTTATCCACATTTGTGGCAAGCATCCTCAAAGATTGTGAGGGCTGTTGGAAACTAGGCGTGTGATATTTATATATCTGTGGAATATCCAGGTGGGTGAAAATTCTTGTTTACTTGAGGCAGGTGTGAATGTTGCAACTGGCCACCTTGATTAGCACTGAGTAGCCTTGAAGCTTCAAAGCCTGGCCGCTTCCTGCCTGGGGGAATAATAATAATATACTTTATTTATACCCCGCCACCATCTCCCCAATGGGGACTCGGAGCGGCTTACATGGGGCCAAGTCCGAGCAACAAATACAATACAGAAAATACAAAATTGCAATAAAATAAACGATATAATAATAGGGAAAAAAGAATATAAACAATACCCATAAAACATAAAACCAAAACATAATAACAGAGAGCAGGCCGCATGTGTATAAAATGATTTTAAAACTTCGGGTGCGGAATCCCTTGTTGCGGGTGTTAGCTGGCCCTGATTGTTTCCTGTCTGGAATTCCTCTGTTTTCTGAGTGTTGTTCTTTATTTACTGTCCTGATTTTAGAGGAAAATCTTCTTTTATTGTATTTGATCAGATTCTGTAGTTTTATGTTGACCTTTAACCATCTTCACAAATTTAAAGGATGGCAAATTTAATCCCAATGACTCGTTAATTTTCTTTTCCATACAAATTCAACTGTTTTGAGTTAAATTTAAGTTCAGTGTATCACTCAAGAGCTTGAAAACCCAAGCACTTGATGTTGACTACAACACCAACTGCTCTCAAGACCTTTGGGGGACACTCACGGTATCTTGAGTCTCGCTCTTTTCTGGACTCTCGTCGAGATACATTCGTTCTCTCAAGCCGCTCCGGGGACTCTGTTGTCACCAAAATGAAGTAAGAAGAGAAAGAAAGCTTCACTTTTTGATAAAGTAAGCACAGAGCAGAACCCAACAGGAAAACGACAAGTAGGTGGATTCAACAACCACAAACTTGTAAAATATACATCAAGGGGTATTTTTAAAAAATCTAAATAATTTAAAAAAAATCTAAATATGACTAAGCAAGCAATCCGTTTTTTGTCTGTTACAATCCTGTGTAATATAGAAAGAGCAAAATGAAAACAGTTTAGATTGATTTCCTGTCTCCTCTATTTCCTGTACTACCTTGAAATCTGAAGGCAAGGCATGAGTTGGAAGAGATCAGATGGACCATTTTGTCCAACCCCCTGCCATGCAAGAAAAACACAATCAAAGCACCCTCGACAGATAGCCATCCAGCCTCTGTTTAAAAGTTTCCAAGGAAGAAGCTTCCACCAGACTCTGAGGCAGAGAGTTACACTGTTGAACAGATCATATAGTCAGGAAGATCTTCCTAATGTTCAGGTGGAATCTCCTTTCCTGTAATTCAAACCCATGGCTGAGTCTTAGTTTCAAGGGCTCCCTCCTCCTAAGGACACCCTTTCAGATATTTATACATGGCTCTCATGGGTCCTCCCAACCCTCGTCTCATTTTGTTTTCAAAGGACTACTAGTTATTAAAGGGATTCCTGTACATGCCCATCCTAAGTAAGCTCTACAACTTCAACCAGAGTTTGGTCCCTGGAAACCAAACTGATGTACACACAGCAATCACTTCCCCAAAATAATTTGTGATTCACTCAGACTGAAAATGCTCCCAAATATGAAGATAACCAACATTTTCCTGAAAAAACAACAATGCTTCCAACCCTGAGCATCCCTCTAAAAACAAAAACATTCCACAGCTGGAAGTTCTGGGATTTGAGAGAGTTCTTCCTTATGAACACAGTATGAGTCACATAAACACCACTTTCTAACTATAACATTCACACCTTAATTTCATATCAAGAATCAAAACTAGATTTACTTCAAGTAAGCTCAACTCTTATTTAAAATGGAAAAAGGGAGGGAAAACCAAATGAATTTCAGAAACTAGGTGGGAGCAGAACTCTTCTTCTGATACTATGGAAGGAACACCAGTACAGTAGAGTCTCGCTTATCCAACACAAGCTAAAATGTTGGATAATAAGGAAGAATTAAGGAAAAACGTATTAAACGTCAGATTACATTATGATTTTACAAATTAAGCACCAAAACATCATGATTTTACAAATTAAGCGCCAAAACATCATACAAATCAACAGAAAAAGCAGTTCAGTCCACGGTAACATTATGTAGTCATGACTGTATTTCTGAATTTAGCACCAAAACATTGCAATGTATTGAAGCATCTTTGGATCAGGCAGGAGGCAGACTGCATTGGATAATACAGAATGTTGGGTGAGTGAAGGTTGGATAAGTGAGACTCTACTGTACCTTATATCAGTGGTTCTCAATCTGTGGATCCCCAGTTGTTTTGCCCTACAACTCCCAGAAATCCCAGCCAGTTTACCAGCTGTTAGGATTTCTGGGAGTTGAAGGCCAAAACATCCGGGGACCCAAAGGTTGAGAACCACAAGGTTGGGGTTTAGCACAGCTGGTAAAATCACAAGTATTGATAACATCTACTAACAAAAAAATATATGCTAGTTCGAAACCCCGGGTCAGCATGAGCTGCCAGCTATCAAGCCCAGCTTACTGTTGACCTAAGCAGTTTGAAAACAGCTTGTTCTATAATTAAGAAATTAGGTACCGCTAAAACAAGTGGGGGAGGTATTTTACGATACCATCAAAAGAAATGCCAGTGACCAAAAAGGAAGGAGGAAGTCCTGATGGCTGTGTCATAAAGGATGGAGCGACAGCACCCCTCTGTGGCTGGATTTTGAGCACAACTTTCCAAAGGCGCTGACCACAACATAACATGCCTCCTTTCTGTCTGTTCTGTTCTCGTCTGTCCAAACAGCACTGAATGTTTGCTGTATATGTGTACTGTGATCCGCCATGAGTCCCCTTGCTCCCCAATATATAGGATATATTCCATCCTATATTCCATATAGGATGGAATATAAATAAAATATAAATAAAGTATTATTATTATTATTATTATTATTATTATTATTATTATTACTTATAGCCTTATTCACTGGAATTGCAAAATATTCCAGTGCAATTTTTGTCCGTCCATATTACAACAACCACAGAGCTTAAATCATTTAGCTTTGGATCACTATAAGGCAAAGGCACCTACCACAGTTCATTATAAAATAAGAGAAGCATCTGAACAACAAGATCAGAAATATTCTCTCACCAACCTCCCTTATAAAGGCAAAGCCAAAGAAATCAAAATTCTTATCCCCCACCTTAAAAAAAACAATTTTAAAATAGATTAACTTTCACGCATCTTATTATACAGCTTCAAAATGCTTGTTTTGCCAAGAACAAATATGAAGCACTGAATGCTAACTTTCACCTAACAGCTCTCAAACACAGATGCCAAAGTCTTTTAAAAACGTCAAATTTCACGGTACGCAGAACTTTAAAAAATTCAACAATTATGAAAATTAAATCACGATGAGAGGGAAGATAATAAAAAAGCAAGCCATTATGAAGAATTGAATATCTCTGAAGCCTTCACCTCATAAACTATTCCACAGAAGAGGCATCATAACTGGGAAGGACTAGTTTTATACCTGAAATGGAGATAGTTCTCTAAACTTCTAGTTGAACACGTCAGTTAATAAACAATGCTCTTATAGATGACAACAAAGTGATATAACCGTGCAAGAACCAGACTCCTACCCGCGCCCTCGCACTGCAAACTGCCCCTGCGAGTTTGAGTCACTCTAACCACAAGATAGATTCTGACATGTTTGGTGCTGTTTTCCCCTCCTGTTCTTTAGGAGAGGCCAGCCATCGCTCGTCTTTGCCCAGCAACAGGGCGGGTGCCAGGAACCCCGGGTTTGAAAAACAGGGCACTCCTTTTCCAGAACGGCCAAAGATGCCGTACAAATCAGGCTTCTCCACTACCTTAGGATGAGGTCTAAGACTATAACTATAACTAACTATAAATCTCAGCAACTACAACTCCCAAATGTCGAGGTCTATTTTCCCCAAACTCACATTTGGGCATATTGAGTATGTGTGCCAAGTTTGGTCCAGATCCATCATTGTTTGAGTCCACAGTGCTCTCTGGATGTAGGTGAACTACAACGCCAAAACTCAAGGTCAATCCCCACCTAACCCTTCCGGTATTTTCTGTTGGTCATGGGAGTTCTGTGTGCCAAGTTTGGCCCAATTTCATCATTCAGAATGCTCTTTGATTGTAGGTGAACTATAAACCCCAGCAACTACAACTCCCACATGACAAAATCAATGCCTCCCACCCCCACCAGTATGCAAATTTGGGTGTATCAGGTATTTGTGCCAAATTGGGTCCAGTGAATGCTTTGAGTTTTCAAGGCAGTCTGGCCATATTCCAGAAGCATTCCCTCTTGATGTTTCACCCACATCTATGGCAGGCATCCTCAGAGTTTATGAGGATGACTGCCATAGATGTCAGTGGAAAAGTCAGGAGAGAATGCTTCTGGAACATGGCCAGACAGTCCGGAAAACTCACAGCAACCCAGTGATTCCAGCCATGAAAGCCTTTGACAACACATGAGAACAAATTACTGTTCAGTCAGGAAGTTTGTAAAACATCTTCATCCCATATCTAATTGAGTTTTCCTGGAAGATAAATCCACCCGGAGGTTTGATTCTGGATCAAAGGAACTAAAAAAGCATTTATAGAGTTGTGAAGTGAAATGAAAATGAAAATACCCATTCCTTCGAACTAGGGAAAGATAATGGGAGAAGTTACTCCCTGACATGACTCTCAAGCTATCAGAACTAGCTGATCTAAAATGACAAAGCATCAGCTTAGACAAATCACATGGGTCAGGTGATGTCCTGCTTTGGAAAAAGGGCTCACCTCAGCCAGATCACTATTCGTATGGGAGCTGTCCCCAAAACTGCTGTCTCCTCTGTTCAGCCCGTCCCCTCTTTCTGCTTCTATCTCGCTGATTTGCAAAGACTCCATCACAGACTTGGAAGACAAGACCCCATCCTGAAAACAGAGAGAGCTGCGTAAGAAACAGGAATCACTCCACAAAGGGGTTTGAAGAGAACACTTTTTCAAACAAGGAAAGCAACATGATCTGAATTGTCAAATCACTGTGTAAGATTTTACAAGTCACTGTTCAGAAAACCGTTTGCAAAACATTTCTGTTAGCCTTTAATTTAAAGGGTACACCACACTTGTACAAAAAGGACCAATGCCACGGCACAAAGCTCTAAATGTGTTCTTACCAGGCCCTCTTAACAAAGGGATGATATGTAATTTTTCGTTACAAGATTTTAATTCAACTATAACAGGTATGGGCAAAGCCAGGCCCAAGGGCCAGATACAGCCCCTTGGGCTCTTTTCTCAGGCCATCCTCTCTCTCACCATCCTGTTCTTCCTTCCTCCTTTCCCTTTTTCTCCCTCCCTCCTTCCCTTCTATGCTTTCATCCTTCCTTCCTTCCCTCCTCTTCTTCCCTTCCTCCATTCATTCCCTTCCACCCTTTCCTTCTTCCTTCTCTCTTTCCTTTCTCCTTCCCTTCCTTCCATCCTTCCTTCCCTTTTGTCTTTTCTTCCTTCCCTTTCTCCTTCCATCCTTCCTCCCTTTCACCCTTCCTTCCTTCTCTTTTCTTCCTCCTTCCATCCTTCTCTTCCTCCCTTTTTTCCTTCCTCCTTCCCCCCTCCCTCTTTCTCCTTCCATCCTTCCTTTTCTCTTTCCTTCCTCCTTCTTCCCTCCTTCCCTTCCATCCTCCCTCCCTTTTGTCTTTCCTTCCTTCCCTCCTTCTTCCTTCCTCCTTCCCTCTTTCTCCTTCCATCCTTCCCTTCCTCTCTTTCATCCTTCCTTCCTCCTTCCCTTCCTTCCATCCTTCCCTTCCTCCCTTTTGTCCTTCCTTCCCTTCCTTCCTTCTATCACCAAGAAGCCAGTCCTCTTAGCAGCGAGTGCTAGCATGTAGCCCCCAAGTTAGAAAGGTTGCCCATGCCTGATCTTTAGCGTGCTCTCCTTCATCAATCATCTGTTTGAGCTCAGAAGTGAGACCAAGTTGTTAGTTGTGTAATCTGTAATTTACTGCTCTGGGAAGGTTGTGTAGGCTTGTGTAAATTGGCACTAAAAATGAAATTGGTGCTAAAACACAGTGCACGCCCATAAGCCATTCCCAAGGAGGACAACACTATCAGGACTGCCAAGATTCCCATTACCTGGATGGAGCCTGTTGCTTTGGACAACTGTTCCTGCAGCTGAGGGATGTGCTTCTTGGCCTCCTGGATCTCCTTCAGCAGCTGGGAGGCAGGGGAGCGGCTGTAATCTTCTTGCAAAGACTGAAAGACATCGAACATACTACGTTCAAACCACTGCAGTTAAGAAAGTGGAAGACTCATACATGTGAGCCACAAAATTGGGGGTGAAAACAAAAAAGGGGGGATACAAAAAAGAAAAACACAGGATGAGGACTCTCGATATCCTTTTGGAGATAGGTCAGTGTTATTGGTAAAATGTTACATTGTATACAATTGCTTATCTCAAATAAAGATTATTATTACAAAAAAAAAGTGTACGCTTTTGTTGCAGCTGCCACTATTTTCTATCCACAATAGCAACAAAGTGACATAAAATGACTGAAATTCACACAGGGGCCGGACCGGGATGTCGTGTACCTCCCACACTGGAAAAGAACTGGACCTGAGACTGCAAAATTGCATTATAATTCATTTCCAGGTGGTCACTGGCTGCTTTAGGAGCCGCGGTGGCACAATGGGTTCAACCCTTGTGCTGGCCAAACTGCTGACTTAAAGGTCAGCAGTTCAAATCCATGAGACGGGATGAGCTCCTGCCTGTCAGCCCCAGCTACCCATGCGGGGACATGAGAGAAGCCTCCCACAGGATGGTAACACATTTGGCCGTTCCCTGGGCTACGTCTCCCCAGACGGCTGATTCCCTCACACCAGAAGCGAGTTGCAGTTTCTCAAGCCACTTCTGACATGATTTTTAAAAATGTGGCTGCATGTTCCTCTAAGGAAGAGCTTCTCATGCCATCTGATATAGGGGACCAGTCATTTATTCTCCAGATGTGCCAGAGCTATATTTGTGCCCATCAGCCATAACATTTTTTCCCAGTAATACTTCCCCAAGCAGCAGCCAAGGGCTGACTGTTTTTTTGGTACATCAGAATCACACATATCCCAAAACCCTCTACATTAAACAGCTATTCCAGTGGTAAGCAAGTCACTTCATCCCAATACTTAGGACTACGAACCCCATCCAACCCCCTGCCCTCTCCATTTCGCTCCAGGATCAATCACATCCCACTTGTGATGCTCCTCTTGAGTTTTACATTATGAACTGTTAATATTATACTCTTTTATTCAGTACGATTTCAACTATCTTGTACTAAAAGGTAAAGGTTTCCCTTGACATTAAGTCTAGTCATGTCTGACTCTGGGGGTGGTGCTCATCTCCATTTCCAAGCTGAAGAGCCGGCATTGTCCGTAAACACCTCCTAGGTCATGTGGCCAGCATGGCTGCATAGGGCGCTGTTACCTTCCCGCAGAAGCGGTACCTACTGATCTACTCACATGTGCATGTTTTCAAACTGCAATAATGTATTGTATATACATATAATATTTATAATACTATAATGTAATACTATATAATACTAATTTATTTATTTATTTGCTTTATTTGTATACCGTCCCTCTAAGCCTTCCAGCAACTCAAGGCAAAATTCAATGCCACAAAAACACAAGTACAATTTAAAAAACATTAGCAGCAATAAAATCATAACAACAGCAGTAAAAACATACATCAGTAGATCCTCAATAAAAACATTGTCCAATTCTATCGTATACTTGTTCTGTTTTCCTATTTTCCGTTACTCAATATTTGCAAATGCTTGCTCGAACAGTCATGTCTTGAGTTTTTTTCCAAAACATTAGGAGCAAAGACGACGATCTAATCTCCTTAGGGAGGACGTTCCATAGCCGAGGGGCCACAACTGAGAAGGCCCTGACTCTCGTCCCCACCAAACGTACTTGTGACGATGGCAGGACCGAGATAATATGATAATAATATATTATAATTATATATTTTATATTACATGTAATATTACTAATAATATTACAATATAATGGTATAGTACAATATAGTAATATATAATACTGATATTGTACTATGCTAATAATATAATATATTGTATGTATATATATCTTGTAAGCCACTCTGAGTCCCCTTCGGGGTGAGAAGGGCAGCTTATAAATGTTGTAAACAAATAATAGGTTGGCAGAAGCTGGGGCTAACAGAAGGAGCTCACCCAGCTCCTCAGATTCAAACCACCATCCTTTTGGTCAGCAAGTTCAGCAGCTCAGTGTTTTAACCCGCTGGGCCCTTAAAAAAAATAGTCCGTATCCACTGGAATCAATAAATTGTGTACTTTCACACAAAAAAGGAGTTCATTTTCTCCTTCTTTGCTCCCAAACTCTTTGCATCTGGTACCTGCAACCGCTCCTGTTCTTTCTGCAACATCTTCCGCAAAATCTCCACTTTCTGGCTGTGAACAATATTATTTTCTTCCTGATTAAAAAAAATTAGACAAGTCAGCTTTTACTTTTGGAAAAAAAAACTTTAGTTCTTCAGTAGATTCTAAATAGCAGCTATCTTTGAAATTGGTCAAACTGTAAATGTTTGATACCCAGCAATTATGTCATTACAACAACATATTCACTGCAAATTGATCTTCTACAGAACCAAATTACATGTACCATGTCTCCCCAATTTTAGCAGAAAATCTTAACAGAAAATCAAGACATATGGTCAAGAATAGATGAGTCCCTTTATCGACCTTTAATATAAATAAGATGTCTGAGTGGCATAGTGATTCAACTAAGTGGGGAACTCTATACAGACTAAGACCTTGGATACCACTCAGGTTTCACCGGCAACCTGACTAGATGGAAGAGGACAAGAAGAAATTCCCACCCAAACAGACTAAGACATTCCCTCCGACAACAGCACCAGAATCCTATAGCTCTTACCCCCATCAGCACTGGACTTGTGATCCTCTCCGTGTTTCCCGATGCTCCCGGTGAGTGAGGAGATGTCATGATGGGAGACATATGACCAAACGCTGCCGGATCCAACTCGGAATCAGCCAGAGGTATCTGGGGCGACCCTGGTGGGCGCCCTTGCACAGTGAGGGCTACATAGGACCCCGCTGAGGAAGAAAAGGGGGGCAAAACACACCTTTTAACCACTACATAGGAATAAGCTCATGCTTCCTCTCTTTAATTTGTCAGCAAATTAGCTCCCTTCAACAGATGATATGGGAGGGAATGCTTGCTAAGAGAAACTGGGCAAAACAACAACCGAACACCTCCCAAGAATCTGTTATTAAGAGTCATAAGACATCTCTGAAGTGCGATGCTTGTCAGATATTTTGGATATTGTCCTCCTACGGCTGCGGTAAAACAGAGGCGACGCAGGGAAGGCATTTTCTGTTTGCAGGAATTAGCAAAAAGAAAAAAATAATAATGAAAGAGCACTGAGAGCTTGCAATTCCTCCTACAAACAGAAGTGTCACTTGGCAGGTTTGATGAGTATTTAAGCAGTATGTTTTTAATTGCATTCCGGTAAACACTCCTTATATAATACTGTGGCACTGGAACATTCAACCACGCCTACAGTACCACAAGAGCAAGGTAAGCACTTGATTTTCCTTGGTCAAATTACTCTTGTCGAAAGACCAAGTTGGCTGTTTATCATCTCACCTTCTTTAAGCTGTCGTGCATAGAATCCTAGAGTTGGAAGAGACCTCATGGGCCATCCAGTCCAACGCCCTGCCAAGAAGCAGGAAAATTGCATTCAAAGCACCCCCGACAGATGGCCATCCAGTCTGTTTAAAAGCCTCCATAATAGGAGCCTCCACCACACTCCAAGGCAGAGAGTTCCACTGCTGAACAGCGCTCTCTCGCCGTTAGGAAGTTCTTACTCATGTTCAGGTGGAATTTTCTTTCTTTTCTGTAGTTTGAAGCCATTGTTCCATTTTATCCTAGTCTCCAGGGCAGTAGAAAACAAGCTTGCTCCCTCCTCCCTATGACTTTCCCTCACACATTTGTACATGGCCCTCATCATGTATTCTCTCAGCCTTCTGTTGTGCAGGCTAAACATGTGCAGCTCTTTAAGCCGCTTCTCATACGGCTTGTTCTCCAGACCCTTGATCCTTTGAGTCACCCTCCTCTGGACACGTTCCAGCTTGTCAGCTTCAACTGTGGTGCCCAGAATTGGACACAGTATACCAGGTGTGGTCTGAACAAGGCAGAATAGAGCATGGGGAGCATGTGCAAAGTGCACTAGGACAAGTGCGTTCACCACATGCAGCCTAAGCCTTCACTGAATAGTGAAGGCACCAAGACAAATCAAATGCAAAAGGTTGGCAGATAGGCAACTTCCTCTCCTATGTTGGTTAACAAAACAAGCAATAAAGGCTGCACATGGGTCCAGTTGTTTCCCAAACCCATGGATATTTTCCAAATTATTCACATTTCACTTCGAACCATCTTTCAGAAATGTATTGCAACTGATGGATTAGTATAACAGCTAAAAATAATTGACTTCTTGGTTGCATTAGGACACTTTGACCTCTGTTACTCATCCCACTTGCAGATGAAAGATGCAACAGAAAATAAAGAATGTTGCATGATCTACTCACACTTTATCAGTTTCACCACTTCCAGGTGGTTTGAATGTGTTACTAGGGTCCCATTCACCTACCAAAAGAAAAGCTGCATCATTTCCAGTTTTGAACACGAAAGCTATCTTTCACTATGAAGCTAAATTGTCTTAACTTCCACCATGTCCATTATTTATTCTATTTATACCCTGCCTTTCTCTATCCCGAAGGGGATTTAAGGCAGCTTACCTAGAGGCAATTATTCAATGCCTTAAAATGCATACAATTCCAAAAAAATAAAATAAAAAAATTAAATTAGATTAAAATTAAAACATAATTAAACATTTGAAAACATTCCATTCCATATTAAAATTACACCATCCATAGCCACAGTCCAAACCATTCCATAGTTATGCCATATATTTCAAATATTGGACTGTTCTATTCTCTGAAGGCCTGATCCCACAGCCAAGTTTTTATCTTTCTTCTGAAGGTTAGGATCTAATGTCGCTGGGGAGGGAGTTCATAGCTGAGGAGCCATTACTGAGAAGGCCCTGTCTCTCGTCCCCACCAGTTGAGTCTGCGAAGAAGGCGGGAATGAGAGCAGGGCCTCCCCGGATGATCTTAGTCTCCAAGATGTTTCATAGGGGGAGATACATTTGGACAGGTAATCTGGGCTGGAACCGTTTAGGGCTTTATAAGCTAAAGCCTGCACTTTGAATTGTGCTCGGTAGCAGACTACAGTCTGTGGAGCTGGCATAACAGGGGGGTTGTATGCTCCCTGTACATCGCTCTGCTGAGCAATCTAGCTGCCACTTGTTTGGACCATTTGGAGCTTCCGAACAGTCTTCAAAGGGAACCCCATGTAGAGTGTGGGGTTACCAAGAGATCTTTACCAAGAGAGCTCATCCTACTAGAGAATAATGCCCTGAAAATTCTAATTAATCCTTTCATCAAAGAGATCACATGCTAAGTCTAACAATGGAAATCTGAAGACTTCTTCCTGGTGGCTTGAAGTGAGGCTATGAGAGAAAACAAAGGGAATGTAACTATACAGCTATGGAGCAGAGATTTTGGCTTCTGAAACATGCACAGAGAGTTTAAAGTCCTTTTAACAGACAAAAAAAATGAAACCTTGTGTAATATCCATGAGCTTACAAAGCATGGTTATGAAACGGGAGAGCTTTCCATGAAAAAAAAAAAGGCAAGCATCTGGCAACAGAAGCATCTTACTTAGTGCCAGTTCTAAATATAGGAAAATACACAGTGCCTTAAATGTTCCTGAGAGGTAGATTTTGGCAAAACACAGTTGCAGCGACGAGGGTCACTGAAAAATTCTTATCTCTTTCCAGCAGCAACTGACTCTTCTGAAAACACCCAGTGCTCCTACCTTAATAATTCGGTCGCCAGTTTGAACTCCAGCCCGCATGGCTGCGCCATCTAAAGGGAAGAAACAGATTATTTACAAATAAATACATTGTCTGTGTTGGTTTTGCTCTCTGTTATCCAATGAAAGCACATGTTCCTTTATAGGTTACACAAGAGCTACACTGATTGGATGTACTGTCCCACTGTTATACTGTGGGCCCATGTGCACTAGCTCAGGCATGGGCAAACGTTGGCCCTCTGGATGTTTTGGACTCCAACTCCCACCATTCCTAACAGCCTCAGGCCCCTTCCTTTTCCCCCTCAGCCGCTTAAGCGGCTGAGGGGGAAAAGGAAGGGGCCTGAGGCTGTTAGGAATGGTGGGAGTTGGAGTCCAAAACATGCAAAGGGCCAACGTTTGCCCATGCCTGCACTAGGTGCACCTAATCAGAGTGTAGAAATGTATTTTTTCCCAAATGAATTTCGTCACCTCTTTGTTTTACACTTTGAAGTTGGCATCCTTTGTCAGAATCAGTATTGTCTGGAGTAAATATAACATTTTTGGGATTACATTTATTTTGATTGTTGACATTCTTCCAAGTAGGAATAACAGGTCTGAGTTATTCCATCTTTGCAGATCTTTCTGTATTTCTTTCCATACTTTTTCATAATTATTTTCAAATAGTTCAGAATTATTATTTATCAATTGGATTCCCAAATATTTTAATCATAATAATAACAATAACAACAACAACAACAACTTTATTTTTGTACCCCACCTCCATCTCCCCAAAGGGACTCGAGGTGGCTTACATATAGCACAATGTGCCTAGAACAGGGCATAAAATAAACACACAATACAATAAAAGATAAAACCACTAGCATATAAAACAATGATTTAAACTCAAAATAGGGCTCTAGTTTTACTTTAATTGTAACATTTAGTTTTACTTTAGTTGTAACATTTATTTGTTTCAACGTCTCTTGGGTTTTTAAACTCCTATTGTGAATTATTATTTTTGTTTTGACTCTGTTGATTGATAGCCTCACCACTTTTCCAAATTCTGTTATTACTTCTAGTGCTTTTGGGATGTTCTGTAAGGGATTTTGTGTCAAGATCACAATATCATCTGCAATAATAATAATAATAATAATAATAATAATAATCATCATCATCATCATCCTTTATTTATACCCCGCTACCATCTCCCACAGGACTCGGTGTGACTTACAAGAGGCCGAGCCCAAAATACATCAAAACAAAAAACATAAACACAACAATACAATGCAGCAATAAATAACTCATAGCAAAGCAAAAACAATAACAAAATATCACAACGCAATTTAAAAACATGGCAGGGCCAAATGTAAAGGTTAAATTTTTTTAAAAAAAAATGCTGGGCATGACCAGGTGAAAAAGGATGGATATTTTGGGGGGTAAGTGGGTGTGCAGACACTTCTAACTCTCTCGTAAAGTCCTACCTTATAATTTTCTTGTCTGATTATTAAGATTTCTATATTAGTGTTTAATCTAATTTGTCTAGCCAGTACTTCCACTGCTAAAATAAAAGTAGAGGTGAGCAGAGTGTAGAAATGTTAATGTTGGGGATCACAAATTTTAAGATTTCCCAGCACTCCTTTTGGGACTACAGATCCCCAAGTCTTCAAGCTAGTATCACCATAGTGGTTGGGAATTCTGTTGAGGGAAACAACCTTCTCAAACCTCCTCTATATGATGTTTGTATGTTTTATAATGTGTTGTTTTGTAGCCTGAAGTATGTGTCTTGTTTGATTTGCAGTGTCCTTATCTCTATATACCTAAAGCAGTGGGAGGGGCTGCAGGTCACGTGACTCAGTGACAGAGTGTTCAGATTTAAACAGGGTGACATTTTGGGAATGTCAGTTGACATTCCCAAAACTGTTAGAAAAGTGTGTTGAACCTTGAATGAGCTTGAATATAGAAGTCTGTCAGAGTGCAGAACCTTATGCTAGGAAGTTAGAAACTGTTGAGGCTTGTGCTTTATTTGAAAGTAAATTCTTATTAAAGAAAGCTGTATAAAGCAACATAGTTTATGAAGAAACTGTTAAGGATTATAAGTTCAAGATGCAAATTCTCTGAAATGTTACTGAAGGTTTTAACCCTTGACAAGAAATTTGCCTGTATCTTTAAATACGGGAAGTTGTCAGTAAACAAAACATGTCTTTAAAAGAAGTCTGCTTGCATCATTGTCTGCTGAATGCATCAAACAGAAACAAAACGTCTACATGCTCAGCAATCATCTATTAACAAACAAACTTTGCTATCCCAATTAGGTTGTGATCCTAACAGGTCATGATCCATTATCCCCAATAAATTCAGAAAGAAACAGTGCAAAAAAAAGGTAACATTTCCAAGCTCTGTTCAGGACTTGGACAGGTTGTCACTTTCTCAGTTGCAGTTGCAAAATCAGCACAAAATACAAGAGCTACACTGCTGACTTCTGTAAAAGTATATTTTAAAGACAAAAACAACTATAATACTATATATACTTGAGTATAAGCCGGCCTGAATATAAGCCGAGGCACCAAATTTTACCACAAAAAACTGGGAAAACTTATTGACTCGAGTATAAGCCAAGGGTAGGAAATGCAGGAGCTACTGGTAAATTTCAAATTAAAAATAGATACAATACAATTACATTTATTGAGGCATCAGTAGGTTAAATGTTTTGAATATTTACATAAAACTATAATTTAAGATTAGACCGTGGAACTCTGATTAAACCATTATTCTAACCTTCTTCAATGTAAATGTGCTTGCATATCCTTCCAATAAAAATAGAGTAAAATAATAAACATAATAATACCACTAATAATATTAGAGTAAAATAATGGAAATGTAATGATAACAGTAATAATAGAGTAAAATAATAAATATAATAAAAACAATAATATAATAGAATGATCAATGTAACAACAACAACAACAATAATAATAACAATACATTTATTACATATTTCTAACAGGGTAAAATAATAAATAACCGTGACTCGAATATAAGCCGAGCGGGACTTTTTCAGCCTAAAAAAAAGGGGCTGAAAAACTAGGCTTATACTCGAATATATACAGTATTTCACAAGGCACAAACACACAGTAGATATTCAACATATACATGCTGAAGTTGGCACAGGAATTGAACCTGACCAGGAAGACTCACCTTCTTTGACAGACTGTACAAAGACTGGATTGTCTCCACTGACTGTCAACCCAAATCCATTTTCATCCCGCTGTATAATAACACAACGCTGAACAAGACCTGCACCGGGGAGGGGCGAATAAGAGCAAAGAAAGATAGGAGTAAGCATCAGATCAGAATCTTATTGTGCTCACAGAGAATCACTGTCTACAGAATGGAATCTGTGCAGAATCTGAAGCCAGGGACAGCAGTAGGGAGAGAGAAGAATCAATATTAGGGAATCTGGGCATAAGCAACGAAATCAACACAGCAACTACATCATGCTTACAACAATGATCACATGGGTCAGGGATACAGCAAAAAGAGGTATATCCAATGTGTTTTGAAATCACAGAAACCTTTAAAAAAAGGAATTATTAAGTCATACTGCAGAAATGTCTTAGTCCCAATAAAATTCTACACAATATATCTATCTTAGCTTGATAAATCTGTCTCTAGTACCAGAGTTATGCATACTTAAAACATCCCCAGACTTGTTTGCAAGGAAATGGACGCCTGGACAAACTAAAGGACGGAATGGAACCCTTTCCAAACAGAAATGCTCAGTATTTTTTTTTTTACAAGTGCATACATTCATTTATTAAGTTAGTCTTGGTAGTAAGAACATAAAATTTCAAGCGTAAACATATTTCATGTTGGCTGCAAGAGTAACTGGTAACACAATGGGTTAAACCAAGGGTCCTCAAACTAAGGCCCGGGGGCCAGATACAGCCCTCCAAGGTCATTTAGCCGGCCCTCGCTCAGGCTCAGCCTAAGTCTGAAACAACTTGAAAGCACACAACAACAACAACAACAACAATCCTATTTCATCAGCCAAAAGCAGGCCCACACTTTCCACTGAAATATTATAAGTTTATATTTGTTAAAATTGTTCTTCATTTTAATTATTGCATTGTTTTAAAGTGTTTTTTGCACTACAAATAAGATATGTGCAGTGTACATAGGAATTCATTCTTGTTCTTTTCAAATTATAATCCGGGCCTCCAACAGTTTGAGGGGCTGTGACCTGGCCCTCTGTTTAAAAAGTTTGAGGACCCCTGGGTTAAACCTTTGTGCTGGCAGGACTCCCGACCATCCGGTCAGCGGTTCAAATCCAGGGAGTGTGGGTTGAGCTCCCTCTGTCAGCTACAGCACTCCATGAGGGGACATGAGAGAAGCTGCCCACAACTGTGGTACAACATCAAACATCCGGGTGTCCCCTAAACAACGTCCTTGCAGATGGCCAATTCTCTCACACCAGAAATGATTTGAAGTTTCTCAACTAAAAAAAAAAGTTGGTTGCAGAGAAGATGTCTTCTCCTACCTTATGGTTAAAATAAAAACAAAAGCTACTATATTTTTATTTATTTAAAACTTTTATTTGAAACTTTTATATCCCAATCTTCTCAACCTCCATAGAGGGACTCAGACCGGAGTCCCTCTGCTAATTTTAGCAGGTTAATGTCAAAAATGATTTTATGTTGATCTTGTATTCTATGATAGCTATAACAGATACCATAACTACTACAAATGTGAGCTGCTGGAGCAAACTGCAAGTCAAACAGGGCATCCTTTCCCAAGAGAAATAGTTTGACAAACTTTTGTAAGCTACACATGAAAAATTTAGAGATCGAAATGACCCATCTCTCTACCAAAGGGTTTTTTTTCTCCCTGTTCCTTCTTCTTCATCATCCTTCAGGACGTATTTGTTTATTGCAGGAAGCAACATCAAGGTATTGACAGTTTATTTTTCACCTTCATTACTGCTTTTATGTTCCAAAGTCTATTGTTTTGTTAAAGTCAACTTTGACTTCTGGCGACCCTAAAAATGAGAGACTTCCATGTGACTGGGTTGTTGTAGGCTTTTTTGGGCTATATGGCCATGTTCTAGAGGCATTCTCTCCTGACGTTTCGCCTACATCTATGGCAAGCATCCTCAGACATTTTCCATGTGACTTTTATCACCAGCAATCCTGTTTGAATCTTGCAGACTCAGAGCAACCACGGCTTTCTTGATTCAGTGCATTACCTCCTGGATATTGATTGCACTTCTTTTAATTGTTGTTGAACATTTAGGAAGTTGCTTAATAATCAAGACAGAACATTAGTCCTACTATTTTCTAGGCGGAGCAAGTGAAAAGAAATCAGTGTTTCAGCAAATGGCCTGATGAGTAGAAGTAGAAATCATGCAAGAATAAAACACAATTTAATATCAATTTAAATATCATTGGCTATATTTCTATCAACATCTATTAACCTTGCCATCACTGTGATAAGTGATACTACTATATTTCAAATTATTATGAGGAAAACAAAAATTCATCTGTACTGAAGCATCCTACATACATTTGTTATAGTTGTGTGCCTTCAAGCTGTTTCCAGTTTATGTCAACCCTGAAGTAAATGCATATTATGGCATTCCTTCAAAGGGTGTTTCTTCTGGGAGAATGCGCCTTCCCTAAGGTCAACTAGTGAACTTACGTCGCTGAAAAGATTCAAAGCCTGGTCTTCAAAGATACAGTCTAAAACTCAAACTACTATACCATGCTCTCTCTCTTCTGGGCACATTACCACATTGGTAAGAGCTCCCACATTCCCTGGAGAATTGAAGCATTAAAAAATAGGGGCAGGAAGCACTCGTCTCACATAGGCTCCCTTCGCACAGCTACGAGATTATTTTTGTTGTCTGAAAGTCAACTGCGTGGGTGTTGCATCGTGCATATTAATGGAGGGGAGAGCAGGAGTTTTGATCCAATTTTTAAGCTTGACAAAAAAAAGACTCCCACAAAAATGTTTTTAAAAGAGATCAAATTTACATATGCATTGCCTTACAAAAAGAGGACAACGGCATGAAGGCCTGAGTCCAGTTCTTTGGTGCAACTGGATGAGAAGTCTCCCTTTATTGATTAAGAGCCTTGTCTCAAAACATTATATAAGCACAGGCAACAGAGAAAGAAGTAAAGGTAATTCAACATTCAAGTTGTTTTAAAATTCATCAGACACTTCAGGTTTTAGGGTAAGACCCTTAACCAACCATCCTGTCAAAACCCTTCCAAATATCAAGTCGCAACATTATTGGTAAATGCGTTGCGGTGTGTTTTCCAGGCTGTATGGCCACGTTCCAGAAGCATTCTCTCCTGACGTTTCACCAGAAAGGAGGAAACCATAGAAATGAACAAAACCTGGCTACTAGTATTTTAAAAACTTTAAAATTAGGACAGTAAATAAAGAACAATACCCTGAAAACAGGAGAATTCCAGACATGAAACAATCAGGGCCAGCTAACACCTCCCAACAAAGGATTCCCCCAGGCAGGAATCATCCAAGCCTTGAAGCTGTAAGGCTTTGCAATGCTAATCAAGGTGATTAATTGCAACATTCACACTTGCCTCCAACAGACAAGAGTTCTTTCTCTCACTCTGGACCTTCCAGAGATATATAAACTTCCCTTGCTTAGTTTCCAATATACCTCACAACCTCTGAGGATGCCTGCCATGGATGTGGGTGAAACATCAGGAGGGAATGCTTCTGGAACATGGCCAGACAGCCCAGAAAATTCACAGCAACCCATGAAAGCCTTCGACAACACTGTTAGACTGCTTCATTTCCAAGGGATGTATGATATAATTTCTCTTCCAGTACTGTTAAATTAGATTTTTTTTGTTTATGAATCACTCATTTGCTTATTGCAACTGCTACCAAGAAAAAATCCTTTGATAATTTGATATTCAATTCAACTACAAACATAAAGCTGTGCTGTTAAAAGAATAGCTTGTGTTACAGAAGCAAGGCAAATGGACAATTCGGTGGTATGCTGTGTTTGCTGCTTCTGGATACAACCTAGTACACAGAGCAAAGATGCTATCATGAAGAACAAGATATGTTGACTTCTTTATCATTCATCTGGACCAGAGAAAAGATATGAAATGAGTTTAGGATTAGATCTCTCAGGCTTTGACTTTGTTATGTCTACTAGAATGCAACCATTTTATAAAATGTCACAGAAGAATATACAATAAAGGAAGTATGTCAGAAAGGTGGTTCAAGCAAGTACCACCTGATTGTCATCAAGGCTAAAATAATTTGCTGCTAATCTGAGATGGTCATCCTTCCTATTACAAGACTTTTATATTTCTTCCTAGATTACCATATATACTCGAATATTAGCCGAGGCACCTAATTTTACCACAAACAACTGGGAAAACATATTGACTTGAGTATAAGCTGAGGGTGGAAAATGCAGCAGCTCCTGGTAAATTTCAAAATAAAAAATATATACTAAAAATTACCTTAATTGAGGCATCAGTAGGTTAAATGTTTTTGAATATTTACATAAAATTGTAATTTAAGATAAGTCTGTCCAACTCTAATTAAACCATTATGCAAATCTTCTTCAATGTAAATCCTTCCAATAATACAATACAATGTGAAACTTTATTATGGTCACTGACCAGCACAACCTTCCAATAATAATAAATAGAGTAAAATAGTAAATGTAATAAAAAATAATAATAGATAATGAAAATGTAATAATAACAGTAATAGAGTAAAACAATAAATGTGATAATAATATAGTAAAATAATGTAAATGCATTATTAACAATAATAGAATAAAATAATAAATATAATAATGATAATAGAGTTAAATAATTAAAGTAATAACAAAAATAGAGAATAATAAATGTAATAATAATAGAGTAAAATAATGAAAATGTAATAATAACACTATAATAGAGTAAAATAATAAATGTAATAATAATAGAGTAAAATAATGTAAATGTATTAATGATAATAAAATAAAATAATAAATGTAATAATGATAATAGAGTTAAATAATAATATTAAATGAGAAAAATAATAAATGTAATAGAGTAAAATAATAAATGTAATAACAATAATAACATAGAAAAATAATGTAAATGTAATAAAAATAATAATAGAGTAAAATAATGTAAATGTAATAATAGAGTAAAATAATAAATGTAATAATAATAATAATAATAATAACAGAGTAAAATAATAAATAACTTTGACTCGAGTATAAGCCGATGGGGGCCTTTTCAGCCTTTAAAAAAGGGTTGAAAATTCAGCTTATGCTCGAGTATATGCGGTAATCTCACGGCCTGAAATGTACAAATGTGGAGAAACAATAAATGGAAATAGTTACAGAAATATACAACTGAAAAGGGAGCTACTGAATTGTATTACAGAGCTCTTCTTTTAGAATACAATAGAAAATAATGCTCATTCTTTACTGGATGAACATAAATACTGTCATATTCTCAGATGGAAGAAGAAAGAATGGAAAACTGACCGTGTAGTTTCCACAAAGTTAAAGCTGCTTTCCCTGCCAGCTATACATTTCCTTTCAGAAACAAACACATTGCTCATTCAAAAGGGGGAGAAAGGGAGGAATTTCAACAGCTCTCACTTCAAAAAGGTAACTGCCACACCTCTAATCAGTTTTGCCACTTCAAGATATTTCCTCACTAACACCCAAAGGCAAGTAAAAAGGCTTTAGTCATCAGCAATACAAAGCGCAGCTTTCTTTACTAGCAGGCTCTTAAACAGCTTGCTCAGTCCAAAGCAAATATTGCAAACTTTTCCACACAGATTTCAGTGTCAGGAGGAGGAGCTGCGCAGGAAGAGAGCCAGCAAAGCCAAAGAGAAGTGGAAAGGAAGGAGGGATGGAACCTGCCTGACTAAATCCGAACAGTAGACAGAACTTGAGCAGGATGCCTGCAGGAAGCAAAAGGGCACGCGTTAGGAAGTCATGTTTCATTACACATACGGGAAACCCCAGAACACCGCAGAGCAGGAGGAGATATGCTCCAGATACATTCCAACACAACTCTTCTATTTACTTTACAGAAAACTTAACAGTGTTGGGATTTCCCAGCAGTGTATTAGGGAGGAGTTCCTACCACTGAAGTTATATCGAATAGTTCAACCCATATTCAGTACGTCCAGCACTTTAATTTCTTAAATACACAACCTTCATTCTGTACATAACAGCAGATTCCTAATGGTTGGAAGGGGGAGGTCGTGGAAACTACAAGATATTCCGCTATGCAAGAATATACTGCTTTTGACCATTTCTACTATTTTAAACTATAACTAACTAGCTGTCCCCTGCCACGCGTTGCTGTGGCCCACTCTGTGCGTGTATATGTGTGTATGTATGTGTGTATATATTTGTGTATTTCTGTGTTTATATGTGTATATGTATATTGTACATATGTGTGTGCTTGTGTATATGCATATATGTGTGTATGTATAGGTATATGTGTGTAGGTGTATATGTATGTATATATTTGTGTGTGCTTGTGTATATATGTGTGCGTGTCTGTATTTGTATGTGCATACGTATATGAATATATGTGCATATGTATATATGGTTTATTTTTTGGGAGGTTAAAAGTCTGTTCTGCTGTTTTGTGTGTGTGTGTTTTTAGGGGTGATTAACACTTGTTGGACTATTAGGTCTATTAATACTGACTTAGGATGGACTGTGTTCCCTCATTTCTCTCCGAAAAATCCTATCCTAGTTATATTTTACCTTGTTCACGTCAGCATATTTTCAATTTTAATCTATTACATTTGGCCCGGTCATTTTTAAAATTGTTTATGTCACTATTGATTATTTTTTGTTTATGTGATTTCTGTGATTTGTATTTTATTGATTGTTTATTGATATTGTGTTTATTGATGTTTTGTTTGATGCACTTTGGGCTTGGCCTCATGTAAGCCGCACTGAGTCCCTTGGGGAGATGGTAGCGGGGTACAAATAAAGATTATTATTATTATTATTATTATTATTATTATTATTATTATTATGTCAAAATTTCATGTCAATCCATCCAGTTGTTTCTGAGTTATGTTTCCCTCACAAACAAACATTACATTTTTATATATATAGATGATTCATAGGTCCAGGAAGAAAATAACAGAAAATGAAGTAAGCCTGTCTCAGGAGACAAAAGCACAGAACATGCCCCTAATGGAAGTAAAGTAATTTAATATTTTTGGACAAAGGAACTCATACTCTTCTATAGGATTCAAAACATTTTTTATTTAATATCATAAGGAAAGATCATTATGTGGATAATTCTGGAAGTGATGCTATACATCAATACTATATATTATCTTCATCTACTAAAAATCTGTGAAGCCACTGATGGAGATACTAGTTGGTGCTGTTCTAGCTCAAAGAAAGGTTTCCCCTCAGGGAATGCATGACAATACAGGAGACAGCCAATGTTGGTACACGTAGGTTAGTATTTATCAGCAAGCTTGCACACTTAAGCCACGTTAAAAGCTCATTCCCTTTCCCTGCCATAGAGGAAACCATGCCTGGCAGGCAAAAAAGGGCAGAGGCCTTGGGCATACAGAACAACAGCACAAAGCACACCGAACAAAGGCACAGGGCTGCAGCGGCTGCTTCAGCTTACCATACGTCTCGGATCTACTCTCGTCCGAGCTACACTTTGTCTTCCTGGAGGAGCTGTCTGCACGAAAGCAGGAGAGAAGGAGAAAGAGATATAGGAAATATGGAGACCAACGTGGAAAAAAATTCATAAAAAAACAGAATGATTTGAATAATCGGATTAATTCATGCAAAACACAAAGTATGGGCAAACATAGAAGTGACAACATTTGAAATCAGAATGTGAATACAAGAGATTTGAATTACACACATAACAAGGTTCTAGGAAGGAAGGAAAAGATACCATGAAGCTCCACGTTTTAGACATCATATAGTGACTAGGAGAAGATGTTTAATGTATATATACACAACCTATACATCCTATTATTGCACACTATCACATGCAATGACAATGCTGCTTAAAGCAATAATGTGCTGTTCCAGGCACAAAGGGGAATCATAGAATAATAATTGCAGCAAGTCTTAAAACTAACTTTTAGTTATTTCCCTCCAGCTGTGTTATCCAGGATTTCTGGACAAGCTATCACATGATTATTTCATGAGTAACGGAAACAGACTAGTGTCACTATTTAAGATGCAAAAATCCAAAAATACTGAACAACCCCCATCAGAATACAGAGGTCCATAGGGAATGTTGTGCTTTCACAAATGAAAATATACGTATGTATTACTGCCATAGATATAACTTAAATATTCTTTTTAAAATCATGGTGGTTTTGCACAACATTTGTTTGTTTGTTTACTTGATTTACTGCCTGCCTTTCTCCTTGCGCAGGACACAGAAACCGCTGTCCCCCATTTTGATATCATCAGCTCATTGCATTATTGAAGCATCACTTTTCATTCTGCCTCATAGGAAAACTAGGAGGCAGTTCTCTCTTCATTTCACAAACCCCAACAAATTATGGATTGCACCTAGCAAAAATTCCAAAGGGGATTATATAAACACCTGGTCTACTGACTCCTCCCTGTAAGTACGCATCTTTGCATATCACATTCTGCAGTCTTTGAAATCAGCTCTCACCTGCTGCACGTTCTTGGAGAATAGCAACAAGCTAAACGGCAAAGTGCACAGACACAAAGCAACACACCGCATGGGGCCAAGAGGCTCACCCGCAAGCCAGTCACACAGTTAGGAGCACACAGCAGTCACTGGGTTAGTAGGCTGGGGTGGGTGGCACCATCACATGCAGACTAAATTCCAAGACAGCGTTAGACTCTGAATGCAACACAGATGGTCTACAGGTATAGGGAAAAAGAAAAAAAAAGTGAACAGCCACTTCCAATTAGAAGTTTATCAAAGGACAAAATGCTTGAAGGGAACTTCACTTGGGAAAGAGGTTCTCCAGCTAACGGAGCCAGTATGTATTACTCAGCATTGCTCCGTACATAGAATACTTCATGGAAACAAAAGTTTACCTAGCTGGTCAGCAATCAGGATCAGAAACTAAGGAGGAAATGCTAATATGGAGCTTTCAAGTATTGGTGGTTGAAAGCAATGTGGTGCTGAAAAAGGAATGGATGAAGCAAGAACTACTAGGAAAATAGGAAGATTGAGAGAGACCCAAATTTATATGAGATCTGCATAACAAAGCTCTCAGTGACCCCACACTTGTACCGGGACACCTGTGCTGACTGCCAGTTAAATTGTCTGCTGATTAGCAAAGCGGAAATATGTACCCAAATCAGCATAATCCTCGTGCAGCTTGCAGTTTGTTGGGTATGCTAATTCAGCAAGCTTGGCACCACAGAACAGAAAACAGCACTTCCTCTTCGTAAGTGTATCTGAAAGCCTAAGGCCTATACCACCAAAGATGAATGATCAGATATTGCAACAAGATGACATAATAATTCTGAGTGGACTAACAGTGCTGGAGGAGAGCCATTCTATGGTGCCATAGCTTCAAACAAATATGCAGCCATGATAGACTCCAACTAGGCAAAAAACAGAGTAATGGAAGACTTAAACATGCAGCCCATGTAATTTGGCCCTTTACTGCTGTCAAAAGATGAGTGTTCTGTCTATTGCAGCAAATAGTTGACAGCTCATCTAATTACATGAGTCTATGTGAACACAATCAACAGGAGAACTGTGAAGAACGCTGTGCAACTCCATTTAGAAATGTAAAACTTTGTGTTATGAGTGTGAAAAAGAAAGCCAGCAGTTACTTCTGAATACTACACACATAAAAAGAGTATGGTGATTTTTTTTAACTCTTAAGACCTGTTGGCTACAACCTGCTTATAGTTGTGAGGGCTATAAGCGATGATAGTTGTGATGTTACCTGTCGGGTCAAAGTCGTGGGCACTGATGCAGCGCTCAACCTTCTGTTTCTTATCTGCTGGAGACTCTCTGCTCAGAATGCTGCCGTGCCTGAAGCCAAACAAAGAAGAGTAGCAACTAAACACAACACAATACCACTGACAAGGAAATAAAAGTTACTGGGAAAGCTTTCGACAATACATTAAAATAAAAGTTAGCTTGCTGAACTAATGCATCTCATTAGGTCCTCAATGACCCCCCCCCCCTCCCAAATCCCTTCAAAGAATGTTCAGCCAAAAATAAAAAAAGGCTGGAAGCACTGTAACACAATGCCAACAAGTCCCAAAACAGTCAAATGATCCATAGGCATTCCATGATCAATGGTATCAAATGCCATTGAGAGCTCTGCCCTTACAAGTCTTTCTCCAGTGTCAATTGTGGCTGATCATATAAATAACATACAATGCCAGTCTTAAAAGAGTTACTTCTGCTCTAACGTGATAATGATATTCAAAACTCTAACTTTGAGAGAGTGCCTCTCCCTACATCTGCTTGTCCAATGACTGAGATTTGTGGGGGAGACGGGTTCCTCTGTGTCCTACTAGAAGGGTTAATTCTTTGTGCTGGGACTTGAGAGGAGGCTTTTTCATCTGTGGTGCCTCAACTGTGTAATGCCCTCCATCAGGAGACCCAATTGCACCAATGTTAATTCTGTGAAAAGTCAAAATCTGGCTATTCATTAAGGCCTTTGGGACTTATATTTCCAAATATTTCTTAAAATGTTTAAATATTTTATATCTGTTTTCAATTCGCCATTATAGTTAAGCTGTGTTGAGCTTATTTAAATTATTGTTATTGTTTTGGACAGTTCAGCTCCTTTCTTCAACAAGTAATACAGTTCAGCTCCTTTCTTCAATGAGTAGGCCATCCTAGGCATTGGAATTCTAGTTACAGACAGGAAGAACTATCTTCATCATGAATCGTGGTGGGAGTACAAAAATTATCTTGTCTATACATTCACAAAAGTAGTAAAATCCTGAAGAACTTACCTTGTAGGTTTTTTGAGAGGAAACCTGCAAAGTAGAAATAAAAATAAAAATTAGTATAAAATAGTTTCTTGATGATTAAAAAAGAATATGTTATGTTTCAGAAAAAATATGTTAATTTGCAATTTATTATTTGCTGTTTCTATTCATTCCCTCTTTGTTTAGTTGCAATCTGCTGAGCAAAGATTTCAGTTCCCAAAAACTGAAGAAACACTGAAGAGTTTTAACCTCTTAACTCTTTTATGCATCCCAAGAAAGACTATCTTTCTAAAATGTTATCCAACATTTAAAACTTTTTGACCCAGGTAATGCACTTCTGTTGCAGGAATATTTTACTTTTTTGTGTGTATCTGAAAAGGAATAGCATTTCCTCCAAACATTGAACTTCACAAAAATGCAGAACCCTATATTTTACTGAAGTATTAAATGCAGCATAAACTATAGGCATACCAGCATAGCTTAGACAGTCAATCTACACTTTGCTTGCAAATTATGACATGGCTGAAATTGTTTGACATAATATTAATATACAGTTTAACAAATACAAAAAATGCCTCAACACCTATTAGAATGAAGCTTTAATAATTGCTGAACTCAAAATCAGTTGAGTAATTTGAATAATCTCCATCTATCTACCCACAAAATTCTGAAGAGTGCTGTCACACAGGCAAGCAATGCAACTTTTAAATATATATATTTTATTAACAAGCCCCAGAACTTATATTACATTTTCCTGTGCTGCAGCAGAACATCTCCTCGAAAAGAAAGCAGGCTTGTTTTGAAGTCTGCAGAGATAAACACTCGGAAATGCAGCTCTAGCTGTATGAACTCCAAGCTTATGGCTGCCTCCCCCATCCTGCCTCAGTCTCCATCTCTCTTACATGAAAATGCCTGCAAACAATGCCGCATGCGTCAAAGGGGAGAACTCATCTAAAGGCATTCTGGGATAGGTTCCCGGAAGCTCTTGGGCTGCAAGCCAGCTTCCCCAGTTTCTCTCCACACATTCTGCACAAGGAGATGGAAAAGGAAGAACAGAAGCAGGGCAAGGAGGAGGTCATGTTCACAAGGAAACCACTCATAGCCCAATACACTGTTTCAATGCAATAAGATGCTGACAGATATTCATCCCATTTCCCTCAAAAGAAGGTATAAAATGTTCTTATTACTTTCTTAGGCAAAATAAAAGAATAAAACCAAGCTGTTGTGCGCCTGACCTACTCCCTGGAAGCAATTATTTTTGTGGTGTCTGAAATACTGCACAAAGAGCTGCAACATTAAGCCAATGGAGTTTTTAATGTGCTTATTTAAACAGAGCAGAAAAGCTGACAGAAATAACATTTCTTCTTATGCTACTTCATGGATTCACTGAATATTCTCTTATATACTTACTGGTGGGCAATTGCAGAAGGCTAAGGGGATGCAACAACCTCTACAACTCTTTTGAGAACAATATTCTACACTGAACTTGATCCAGCATAGAAGGAAGAAAGGCTGCGCCCAAGTGGCCCACATTACGCTTCTATGGGCCATTCTCATAATATGTTTGTCCCTTATGACAATATCAGCACTACAGGCAGCATACCATCTGTTTTGCCCTCCCTAGAGCATTGTTAAGATTTTACCTAAGAAAAATATTCAAATAACCATAATGGGATTTACAAATAAAGAGTGGCCAAGTGATACTAATATTTGGAGTGCTTCCTGATTTTATTTACAGAAAACAATACAATTATTTTTAATATAAGAGAAAAAATATATTATTTCTAATATAAGAAAATAAGCCCCAGGTGGCGCAATGGGTTAAACCCTTGTGCTGGCAAGACTGAAGACCGACAGATCAGAGGTTCGAATCTGGGGAGAGCGCAGATGAGCTCCTGTCTGTCAGCTCCAGCTCCCTATATGGGGACATGAGAGAAGCCTCCCATAAGGGTGGTAAAACATCAAACATTTGGGCGTTCCGTGGGCAATGTCCTTGCAGACGGCCTGTTCTCTCACACCAGAAGCGACTTGCAGTTTCTCAAGTCACTCCTGACACACACACACATATATGATAATAACATTCATAAATGGCAGATAACTTGTAAGAACGCCACACATGACATTATTTGCTTTAGATTTATGTCAGGTCCACAAATAGATCTAATCTCCACCGTGAAAACAACAATACTAAAGCTTAACAGTTTAAACATACCTCTAAAAAGTTAGAACTCCCAATTCCAGATCACACAGAATTATTCAATATGGAATATTATGCTATTAAGGATAACATACAAAAGAACTGCTGCCTATGAGCTACTCATTTGATTCTAGGCTGCTAAAAATGTTTAGGCCAACACTGCTTAGCTTTGGAAATGAGCTACCAAATAACCATGACAACAAGCAGACAACTCAGTACATTTTCCTCATGTATATACTACAGCGAAAATCAAGATGTGTCACTGATTGCCATTATATTGCTGAGCTAAAGTAAAATGAGAAAAAAAATTAAAGCAAACCAATACCAAATATAAAGCAGTAGACAACATAGTAAATGAAAAACGAACATTTAAGTGGCTGTTGATGGTAAATCCAATTGAGATACCCAATACACTAAAATGACACTGATAACAATAGCACTGACTGTGCCTATCCACTATCAGCTTGAGTAGTCTGGGCTATAAATTTTATTCCCATACTATAAAACCAGTTTCCTTTGTTTCTGACCTCTATAGGTATTAAACAAATGCATATATCTGCCTGTTCAAGGGAAACTAAAGCCTGTATGCTATGTTCAAAGTCTATGTATCATGCTCAAGTCTTTCTGCAGCCTTCCCACACTCCACATCTCACTCAATAGATTCTAATGACCCTTAGTACTGTTGGGGGGGTGGATGCAGCAAAGATGCTTTTCCGTTGTATTTGTAAGTATATACGTTGCTAGTAGCAAAGTACAGTGCTGCTCTTGTTTGAAGCCAGCCTTGAAGCAGACGGATTCTGCAATAGAGTATATTATATATTATCCGTCACAGCTGCCGGGTTAGAGAAAGGCTGGTGAACGAGGGGGTGGAAGTGTCAAAGCCTTGCTACTGAAGTTTCAGCCACAGTCCAGCCATTCAGCCCCAACCCAAGCAAGGCCCTCAGCGCTGTTCCATGACACAAGTTCTCAGATTTTTCCAAGAGCTGATGTCAGGACTTTTCGCAGAGAAAGAACTGCATTTACAGAGTCTGTGAGGAAGGAGGGCTTCCCCAGCAGCTAATCTCAATGTGGCCATTGTATTTCTCGGTAGTGAAAGCCAAACCTTGCAAGTGGTTTTATTTGGTGCAGAAATTCTGCCTCCTTAAGAAGAAGGTGGCCAAACATTCCCAGCACCAAATAATGTACTTGCCAAAGAGATCAGCTTGTACCTTGAGGAGTTCATTTTACTACTAAGCTCACAACACAGCCCAACTGAAGCTATGAAACAGACTAGCTTATAATTTGCTGATAGACCTGTGCATTGTATGTTTTTATCCTATTTCCCCTTCCACTCCCTCACTCCTATTGTGCTTCAGTATTTATATTTATATTTTAAATGTACTAAATGTACCAAGTTCGTATGAAATGTGACTTTTATTTCCTGTGCTGGTCTATGACCAAAATAAATGATTTGATTTTATTTGACTAGCTTACACCCAAATACATACTTTGGTTTTCCATCTTAATGATTGAAATTGTTGTCATGGTTGGTCCTGAAAAGGTCTGTTGGTTGTTTTGCTTGTTTGTTTGTATGCTGCAAGTCGCTTCTGGAGTGAGAGAATCAGCCGTCTACGAAAATGTTGCCCAGGGGATGCCCGGATGTCTTGCAATCCTGCGAGGAGGCTTCTCTCATGTCCTCCAGACAAGCATCCCGAGCTCTGAGGATTACCTGGGAAGGAATCCCACTGGAGCATTGCAGCACACCCAAATACCTAGGAGTCACTCTGGACCGTGCTCTGACCTACAAGAACTGCCTGAATATAAAGCAAAAAGTGGGCACTAGAAACAATATCATACAAAAGCTGACTGGCACAACCTGGGGATCACAACTAGACACAATGAAGACATCTGCCCTTGCACTATGCTACTCTGCTGCTGAGTATGCATGCCCAGTGTGGAACACATCTCACCACGGTAAAACAGTGGATGTGGCTCTTAATAAGACATCATGGGGTGTCTGCACCCTACACCACTGGAGAAATGACACTGTTTAGCGAAGTAGCAGCCAATAGTGAAAGGACCAAGGCAGTGACAACTCCAGCTCATCCCCTGTTTGGGTATCAGCCAGCACGTCAACGACTTAAATCAAGAAATAGTTTTCTAAGATCTACAGAGACACTCGCTGGAACACCCCAGCAAGCGAGAGTCCAAAAGTGGCAGGCTCAAACCCAGAACCTCAACCAATGGCTGATACCAAATGAGAGACTCCCCCTGGGCACACAGAAAACTGGGCCACTTGGAAGGCGCTGAACAGACTGCACTCTGACACCATGAGATGCAGAGTCAACCTTAAGAAATGGGGCTACAAAGTGGAATCCACGACATGTGAGTGTGGAGAAGAGCAAACAACAAACCATCTGCTGCAATGCAACCTGAGCCCTGCTACATGCACAATGGAGGACCTTCTTGCGGCAACACCAGAGGCACTCCAAGTGGCCAGATAATGGTCAAAGGACATTTAATTAACTACCAAGCTTGCAAACTTTGTGCTTTGCTTGTTTGTTTGTATGTTAAAAAAATGCAATACAACTGTTTGGTTTTCTCCTGACATGATAAATAAATATTCCATCTTAAGATATTTTAGAGGTCATTTTTCATAGCACATGATACTAACGCTGCTGCTTTTGTCTGCCAAGTGTTAATAAATATGAAGAACACCCTACACATTTAATACTATTGTGTTTTTAAAACCTATCTGGAAGCCTGAAGCAGAGAGGACAAAAAGCTTTCATCAGAATTGCACACAAAAAAACCAGAGTATAACTTTTAAAAACCTAGATCCACAGGAACATTATATTATAGCTTATAGCAA